GCACTATTCCAAGTGTGGCCTTACCAAGGCATTATAAAGTGGTATTAACGCTTCATGTGATCTTGATTCTATTCATCTGTTAATGCAGCCCAGCACAGTGTTGGCTTTTTTGGCAGCTGCAGCACACTGCTGTCTCATATTTAAGTGATTGTCCACTAGGACAGGGGTCCCCAATCCCTGGTCCATGGACCAATACTGACCGCAGCATGCCAGCAACCACTCCGCACAAACAAGCAAGCCCCACCTATGGGATGCAGGCAACACACAAAACCACACTCTCTCCAGTCTGCGGAAAAATCTCCATGGAACTGGTCCCTGGTGCCTAAAAGATTAGGAACCTCTGCACTAGGACTCCGAGATCCGTCTCACAGTTACTACTATTGAGCAAATGTACCTGTGCATTTGGTTTTTCTTGCCTAATGTAGAACCTTTTTTCACCATTGAATTTCATTTTGTTAGATAGTGCCCAATGTTCAAGTCTGCCAAGATCCTTCTATATCTTAAGCCTATCTTCTGGAGTTTTGGCTATTCCTGCCAGCTTAGTGTTTTCTGCAAATTTGATGAATTCCCCATCTGTCTCCTCATTCAGATCATTGATGAAGATGTTAAGAGCACTGGGCCCAGAACATAGACCTGGGGCACCCCACTGCACACTTCCCTCCATGTAGATGCAGTTCCATTGAGGACCACATGCTGCGTACGGCCAATCAGCCACTTACGAATCCATCTGGTGGTGATGCTGCCTAATCCATATTTTTCTATCTTATCAAGTAGTAGGTTGTGGTCTACTTTATCAAATACCTTACTGAAGTCCAAGTAAATTACATCCACAGCATTCCTCTGGTCCATAAGATTTTTCTGACATGTTTTTGACAAACCCATGTTGGCTTTTGGTTATGACTTTGTTTGCCTCTAGGTGGTTTGTTGATTCATTGCATAGTTATCTTTTCCAAAATCTTCTTAGGTATTGAGGTCAGGCTGATAGGTCTGTAGTTTCCTGGATCCATTTTTTTCCTTTTTTAAAGATGGGAACTATATCAGCTCTTTTCCAGTCCTTTGATAGTTCTCTAGTACTCCAGGATCTTTGAGAGATATAGTTCAGTGGTTCTGAGGTCACATCTGCCAGTTCCTTCAGAACCTTGGAGTATAATCCATCTGGTCCTGGTTATTTGAATTTGTATAGGGTGGATAGGTGCTCACCATTTTCTTGCCTATCTTAATTGTCTTTCTAATCTGTTTTTTATGTACTGTTTTTGATAGGTTGGACTGTTTTTTCTCTTTGTGTAAAGACAGATGCAAAAAATGAGTTTAGTAGTTCTGCTTTCTCTGTTGCTTGTCACCTTCTTGCCACTTCCTCCCACTAATGGACCAATCATTTCCTTAACTTTTTTCTTGTTTTTTACCAGTTGAAAGAAGCTCCTTTTTATTATTTTTGACTTTGTTCATTTTGAGCCTTGGCTTTCCTTACTTCATCTTTGTAGGATTGGGTCATTTGCTGATATTCTGCCTTAGTTATGTGCCCCTCTTTCTACATTTTATACTTGTTTTTGTCTTTCAATTTATCAGAGAGTTCTTTATGCAGCCATACTGGTTTCTTTTGAGAACTGTTATTTTTCTTCTTTGTTGATTTTGTGCTAGACTGGACTTTTATAATCTCACTCACTTTTCAAAATTTCCCAAGCTTTTTGAGTTGTTTTCCCCTTGAGGATTATCATCCATGGAATCCTTCCCAAGCTCTCTCTAAGTTTATTGAAATTAGCTCTCTTAATGGTCTATATTTCACAAGTTCTCAGGGCAAGATTTGAGGAAGATAAACCCATGTTATTGTAGAGTGAGACAATTCACTTCATGGCCACAACACTGAAGTCCATGTTGAATGCTGCCCAGTATGCAAATTGCAGAAAATATGGCCATGAACATTATTTTTCAAATCAATTAAATTCTTACAGGAAAAAGTGCAGCACAGCTCTGTTCTTACCTATTAAAAAATCTACTTGGGTTAGTTATATTTTCAAAAAAATCTCAGCAGAAAATATGTTTTCAATTAAAATACTTCCTTTGGATTCTTCAGCCAAAAGATTACAAAACCAAAAGATAAACAAACAAAAAATCTTTTAAATATTTTGTTCTATTAGTATTTGTTTTTAATATTTTTATTTTAACAAAAATGATTTCTGTAAGTGCTAACACCCTAAGTTTAGTACAACCACAAAATATTTGGCATACTATTTTGTGGTTATCTACCAAACATATAGAACAAAAGCAGCCATCTTTTCCTGATGTTTATGTTGGCACATAGAAATAGCTGCTAGGTGCCAAAAAATGCATCCAGAAGTTAGTAACTTTCCTATTTCCACATTATTTCATTAAGTTTAAACCAACAACAGAAGAGACAAGATGGTCCTTGCTGCTGCATTATAAAATATTTGAAAAATACAATCCAGTCATAACCCACAAAACTGTTCAGTCGCAGTGAGTAAAGCAGAAACACTCAAAACAAACTTTTTGGGAAGAAGCATTTTGTTTCATACCTGGAACATTTCAAAGAGCTGTTAAGAGATCAAACCCACCTCCTTTATGGGCAGTGGTTTATAGCTATTGGATAAAGTATAATTTCTCAATGAATCTATCAAAGAATGGTGATGGATAGCAACAAGGAACTGAAACTTGTGCCCTGATCAGAACTAGTAGTTTAAGAAATGTGTAGTCTGCTATGAACAAAAACTGAGTCAGCCTATTTACTAATGCAAAACAACTATAGAAATATTACACTTATATCTCCATGGATTTTCAGTATCTAGGAAGATAGTTCAAGATGCCGTTGGTTCAAATGGGCAGGAAAGGGAAATAATACTGCAAATGAATTATATGCTATATAAATGGTGTCAGTGGAAAGTTTAAGAACCATATTTAGATTTATGATGAATTACTAGGATTTCAAGATTCAACTCAAAAAGTTGTAAGCCACATTTACCCAAAGCATGAAGAGAGCTTCATTAGTTGAACTTGACAGGACTGGAGACTGAAAGCCTGATGGACTTCAGATAAATTTACACAATGCAGAAGGATATATGAATATAATTGTAATAAAGCCCATTGAATCAGGGGTTCCCAACCCCCGGTCCATGGACCGACACTGGTCTGCAGCATGCCACCAAGTGGGCTGCAAAAACAAGCAAAGTTCTATCCTCGGGATGCAGGCAGTATTCAAAACCACAACCCCTCTGATCCACCGGAAAACCTTTCTCCATGGCACTGGTCCCTGGTGCCCAGAAGGTTGGGGGCCTCTGCATGAAATCACTCAGTTAAAGATCGGAAAGGATATCGGCCCGAGGTTCATTTTCAGTCTACAATTTTGCTCTAAGTAAGGGAACTAAGTAAGGGAACTAAGCTAGTGATGAGACTTAGATTAATGTTAAACAGTTCAGTAAAGATGTTGATGCTCCATTTTCTGTAAAAGAAAAGGTGACAACATGTTGGGGATAATAAACATTATCTAAATTGGTGCTAGAATAGACATGTCAAACACAAGGCCCAGGGGCCGGATGCAGCTCGCAAAGTGGTTTCATGTGGCCCGCAAAGCCATCCTGAAAACAGTGAGGAAACGGCCCCCTCTGCCTTGGCCCTGGCCCAAGCCAACCAGGAGCCAATGTACAATTTTGTGGTGGCCATCTATGCTGAAACGTATTCAGTCTTAGCTCCATAAGGCCCCCCCTCCGCATGGCCTGAGAGGAACAGTGAGGCTCCTCCAGTGGATCATGCCTTGGCACTTGCCCTGGACCCACCTTCTTCCAGAGACCCTCAGATCTGTCCCACTTCTGCCCAGGCCCCCACAGGGACCCTTGACACAAACAATGTAGAGCTGGCCACACTCATCCAGTAGGCCACACCCACTCCATCCACACCCACCAGTAGGCTGCACCCACCCGGCCCCCTGAGGGCAATCATAATACTGATGCGGCCCTCAATGAAATTGAGTTTGACACCCTTGTGCTAGAATATACAGAACGGAGGTCCCCAATCTTTTGGGCACCAGGGACCAGTTCCCTGGAAAGAGGTTTCTTCACAGACTGGAGGGTGCATGGTTTTGTGCGCTGCCTGCATCTCGCAGATGGGGCTTTGCTTGTTTGTGTGGCCCGGTTGCTGGTGTGCCATGGCTCGCGTCTTCAATAAACTTTCTAAAATTATTAGAGTTATTTCTAAAGCAGTCACCATGTTGTTTATTCCCAGCTTGGACTAAATCAAGACGAAGACTTTTCCTTCAATAATTTGGCACCCCATATGGGACTTCAGCCTCCAATGGACTGAGACTGGAAAGCTCCATCTTGCTGGCAGGAGACCTCTTGTGTCTATGGATGGGTTTCCCAGGCCCTGCCCATGTGGAGCCAGGGTAGTAAAGGGAGTTTCAGGTTTGAGCTCAAGGGCTGCTTTGGAAAGAAAGTGAAGGTAAGTACCTCTAAATTTTAACTTTAAAGCCCAGGTGAGTGAGAAAAATGTGTGTATGTTTCTCTCTCTCTGTGTGTGTGTGTATGTGAGAGAGAGAGAGAGTGAGTGAGAATACCCTTTTTCCAATCACAGTTGGATTTTGCTCCCTCTGGCCTTCCCTAACCACAGTTAGGTCTGTTCAAGTGGCAGACCCTGGAAAGTGTGGGGATTTGTCCAGACTGCAGGACCTTTTGTTACAGAAAAGGGAGAGGCGGTGTGCAAGTGAAATGAGAATTGGATTTGGGCATCTTTCTATCTGGCTCTCCACTTCAATAAACTGCAACCTTCTTTCTAAAGCAGTCACCATGTTGTTTATTCCTGGCTTGGACTGAACCATGATGAATACTTTTCCTTCAACAAAATAATATTTCTTTCAGAAGAATACAAAATAGAAAAAACACCGATGCACTAAGAAAATTAAGAAACAATTCTTAAACTTTCAAAACGTAACAGAAGCCAGGAGAGGAGAAAAAACTTTTTTAAAAAAACCAACTTTCTCCAGCATATTAAATTTATAGATTAGGCACTGGTTTATTATGTTATCTTTTTAATTTTGTATTGTCTTAATATTCTTATGTTTTATTTTGCTTTCACCTCTTCTTTTTGAAAAAAAATCAACGTTATTCCCTCGACCCAAACTGAACGATTCAAGGCACCTGGAGAAGGATAGTTTTTGTTGTTGATCTCCTTGGCTCCAAGGAGAATTCTTCTCTCTCCTATGACGTGCATCACAGAGCGGCCGCTTGCATTTTCAATTATGTGTTCATTAGGGGAGTGGCGCTTTTCCCGCAAGTTTCACTCCGAAACAAAACAGGCGTTTTTCCTCTCCGACTGCTGTTTTCTGCCAAGAAATAGAAACTCCTGCGATCGCTTTCGTTTCCTCGTTTCCCCGCCGCTCTTCTTCCTTTTTTGCCTCGCCTGTTTAGTTTGGGCTGCCTTCCTTCGCTCCTCCTACGCTTCCCCCTGTTTTCCGATATTAAGAGGCCGCGCCTCTTTGTCCCCAGCGGCCCCCCGTCCTTTTCCTCTGCTGAAACGAAACAATCTGCTGCGTTCCGCCAGTAGCGCGGCCGGCGAGGATGGTGGACGAGGGTGCAACATGGCAGCGGCGGAAAGAAAACACCGACAACACAATCTTAAATGTCTTCGTGTACGACCGGCGTCGGGACCACTCGAATGACGCCGCAGAACTCCTTTCATGTCACAAGGAAAACTATGGGGGCTTCCGTAAGGCCGTCCGCCAGGTAACGTAAGGGAGAGAGGCGTATTAAAATGCGTCGTAGTTCTTGGAGTGGCGCCTCTGGTTTCGCCAGCAACGTCCTCCGCTTCGCGCTTCTTTTATTCTGCCGACTTGTCGGGTCACGCAGCGCACCTGGAAGCAAAATAGGAGCTTTTGGAAAGGGACAGGAACGGTCAAGCTAAAAAGCCAGCGGTAGCAGAAAGAAAATGCGAAGCTGCTATGTCTTTTTTTTTTCCTGTATCCCAGTAATGACTTAAGAAACAGTTTACTAAATAAATTTGAAACACTGTATGCTTCCTGCGTGCTATTAGGCTGCTTAGGTTGGGGGGGGGGGGAGAATCGTATTGATTGTATCATCATCGGTATTTTTTCCATCACGTGATAATAAAATTTGTTCTTGTTACGCTGTTAATAGTAAAAATAATAATTTAAAACAGCTGACATGCAAATGTCATTTAAAAACCCCGTTTTGTTACAGCCTAGCTCAGCTGTCATAGCATTAGGTCATACATGTATTTAAACGTTTAGGCCCGTGTGGTAAAACTGGTTCAGTAAATTCCTAAATGTAAGGAAGCAGATTCAGTCTCTACATTGTAAAAAACTAAAATGAAATCTTTCTGCAGATTGAGCCTATAGGTCTTGTATCTGTGCAGTTTACAGAATATGAATATGTCTTATGCAGGCGCTTGGATATCTAAGCACTTTTACTGCATCCTCTTTTAAGATTTTGAATAGCTCAGCTGGAATACTGTCACCTCCACTAGCTTTGTTGTTGCTCAGATTTTCTAAGGCCCATTTCACTTCACATTCTAGGATGTCTGGTTCGAGGTCGGTGACCATCTCATTGTGGTTATCTGGGATGTTAAGCTCATTCTTGTATAGTTCTTCTGTGTAGTTTTGCCATCTCTTCTTAATTTCTTCTGCCTCTGTTAGGTCTCTGCCATTTTGGTCCTTTATCATGCCCATCTTTGCATGAAACGTTCCCTTCATATCTCCAATTAGTTAAAGATTGTATGGTTAAATGGGCTCAAAATTTTGATGAGCCGATTTTATTAGACACATGGGAGATGATTTGGGTGAGGAATGTTAAATTTACTCAAGCTCAAAATTTACGAGAAAATTTTTACAAAATGTTTTATAGAAGGCACCTTGATCCACAAAAGATGTCTCCTATGTATCCAAATGTGCAGCCCAAATGTTGGAGATGTGGTTGTTTGGATGCAACGTATTATCATATTTGGTGGTCAGGTAGAAATATAAAGGCTTTTTGGATCAAGATTTGGTGGAATATTCAGAAGATTTTTAATAGAAGGATAAAATTTACACCACAATTGTTTCTGTTAGGTATTATTGATGATTGTGATGGTAAAGAGATTATTTTAATGTTGAATTTAATTACAGCAGCAAGGTTGCTGATTGGCAATACTGGAAGAAGGATCTCTTGCCTACTTTAGAAGAATGGTTTCTTAAAGTTTCTTATTTATCCGAAATGGCAAAAATTTTGGCATATCTGAAAGACCAATCGCAAGAGATATATATTTTGGTGTGGAAAAGATGGGTGAATTTTATACAGAATAAATATGATATTAGAAAGTATTATTTAGCTTTTGAATAACGTATATCTAAGGGTAAGCTTTTGAATAACTTATGCTTAAGGATGGTAATTTTTGTTTTTATGTATTGGAGTTAAAGTATTTAAAATTTTGCTTTTTGGATGTATGTATAATTGTTTGATGTTTATTTAAGTTGTATGTTTTTTGTCGTTTTTAACCCTGTATTCAGCTCTGGGAAGTAGGGGGGAGGAGGGTGGGGGTTGGGAGGGGGGAGTATTTTATTGTAAAATTTTATAAACTTTCAATTAAAAAAAATACAAAACATGACACATGGCATAGTTCAGTCAAAACAGTTCATTAAAATTTCCTATGATTTACCATTCTCTGTGTTGTTCTATTTACAAACACAGTGTTTCTCAACCTTGACAGTTTTATGGCATGTGGACTTCAACTCTCAGAACTTCACAGCCAGCAATCACCAACTCCATGGGAGGAGTCTTACTCCTTTGGTGGAAAATCAACTCTACTATTCTGGGAAAGAAACCAGGCTCATGCAATTCAGATTTTTAGCCAGAGATCTGAGACCATGATTTAACAAAAAATAAAACATTGAGATTGATAAAAACAGGGCCTTGACAAAATTCTAAATTTTTCAGCCCAAAGGGAGAGATTTGTTAAGTGAGTTTTGTCCCCATTTTATGACTTTTCTTTCCACAGTTGTTAAGCGAGTCAGACTGTTGTTAAGTGAATCCGGCTTCCCCTTTGACTTTGCTTGTCAGAAGGCCGCTAAAAGGGGTCACTTGCCCCCCAGGACGCTGCGACCGTCATAAATATGAGTCAGTGGACAAGCGCCTGAATTTTGATCACGTGACCCTGGGGATGCTGTGACGGTCGTAAATGTGAAAAAAATGGTCCTAAGTCACTTTTTTTCCCAATGATGTTGTAACTTTGAACGGTCACTAAATGAACCATTGTAAGTGGAGGACTTTCTACAATAGGATTTGAGGAAGCTTTTCCCCACAACCTGTGGCGGCAGGCAGGCCCAGGCGCTCCTGGGCAGCCATTGCAAGCGGCAGCGACAGTGCAAGCCGACCACCGGCTGGGCCACCAGCTGGCCCAGCCCAAGGGAGGTAAGGCACCCACCGGGCCCCACATGCGCCAGCAACCCGCCCTGCACCCGCCGCTGCCCCATTAGCCTTACCTTGGCCACCGCACATTCGGTGCGGCGGCAGGCAGGCCCATGCGCTCATGGGCGGCCATGGCATGTGGCAGCGAGGGCGCAGGCTAACCACCGGCTGGGCCACCAGCTGGCCCAGCCCAAGGGAGGTAAGCCACTCGCCGGGCCCCATGCCCACCAGCAACCCTCCCTGCACCCACCGACCTCCCACCCCTGGCCCTCTTTTACTTACATTTAGTTGCCCAGCAGGGAGGGGTGGAAACATCCAGAAAGCTCGCCTTAGCAACTAGCTGCAGACAACTTGCAGCACCGTTTGAAGAATGGGACTTTTGGTGGGCTCAGCAGGGCAGAGACAGCCTGGACAATTCCTATTGGCTTTTGAAAGCCAATAGATTCTATTAGCTTTTGAACGCCAATAGAATAGAGTCTCTTGAATAGAGTCTATTCTATTGGCTTTCAAAAGCCAATAAGAGGGAGTAGCACAGCTAAGGAAAAGGGGGAAAATGGCGGACTGTGTTGTTTGTCGACCCCCGTGAAATGGTCGTTCGACACCAAATGGGGTTGCGACCCACAGATTGAGAACCGCTGGTCTACGGTTTTAGGACAGGAAAGGGTATAAGAGATTGGGGCCAGGGCTGATTGATTTGCTGCTGGCCAATAGCCATCCTTGTTGGATCTACTATGTCATTGGACCTCATTGCAATGAGTTGCTAATGTAAGTGATGTTATGATGTTTGCTTATGTTTCAAATTATTGTTGAAATAAACCTCTGAATCTTAAAGCAGGGGTCCCCAACCTCCGGTCTGTGGACTAGCACCAGGCCACGACATGCCAGAAACTGGGCCACATAAACAAGCAAAGCCCTATCCGTGGGATGCAGGCAGTAAAAACCTCCACGGAACTGGTCCCTGGTGCTCAAAAGGTTGGGGACTTCTTTCTTAAAGTAAGAAGTATTGTTTTGTATTGCTGTCTCTTGTTTTTTTCATTCATTTTTTCCATAACACTAGCTTGTAAGCTGCCCAGAGTCACCTTATAGGGGAGATGGGTGACATAAAAGTTTAATAAATAAAATAAATTAATTTTGTAAGCAGCCTCGGACAGAAAGATGGACAGCATATACATTTAATAAATAAAATGTCCCATTATTTCTTGCAGAATTCTTCCAGCTCAGAAATATCTTTAGAGATATTTCAGAACAAAGAGATACAGATGGCACATTATACCAAGTCCCTTTATATGGGCCTTATGTAATATCTGCTACCGGTTTAGGAGAGGAAAAAATATTTGAGGGTGAAGGGTCGTTCTCTGAGTTGTGGATTGATTTTTGAAGGTAACATCTTCAGCAGAGTTTAGGGGATGTCAATGTTCTTCTGTTTATAAGGACTTCAGGTATGGGTGTGTCAAGTGAGGGTCTGTGATGGGTCTTGTGATGGGGAGATTACATCAGGTCAAGGACATTGGGAGGTGAACTGGTGAAAGCAGGGCTTGTGTGGGTTGGTTGAGGGTCAGTGCTGTCTCTGGTTAGCTGTGCAGTTGATTTGGATTCTGAGGGGTTCGTAACCTGGTTGTAGGTCAATGTGTCTGTTGATGGAATTGCTTGCGGAATGCCAGGCTTCGATGAACTCATGAGCGTGGCAGGTGGTAGCGTGGCTGATGATTTTTGTGTTGCTCCAATTGAACTGGTGTGTTTGCTGTTGGTGTGTGTAGACATTAAGGATTTGGGATCATGGCGTTTGACTCCCAGCCGGTGTTCATGGATCCTGGTTTTTAACTGATGAGATGTTTGTCCTACATGTTGCAATGGAGCACAGTTGATTTTGTAGATTACATAGTTACATAGTTTCTTTCATTCTTCTGTATTTCTCTAATTTGCCACAATAGTTATCCAATGTGGTTTCAATTATATTGATGTCCGGGAGATAGTAATAACTATGAGAGTAGCATCATTGGCATACAGTAGCAATGACTATTGATGTTTCTTCCTCCAATTTTAAAATCATGCTTATTTTGTAATCCAGCTTTTCTTAATATATATTCAGAGTATAGATTGAATAAATAAAGAGAAAGCATACAGTCTTGTCTCACTTTTTTGCCAATCTGGAATCAATATGTTTTGTCATTTTCTCTCCAGATTCTGACTTTTTGTCCTTTGTGTAGATTTCTACAGAATAATGAAGTGTTCTGGAATTCTTATTTTCCTGAGGATATTCCATAGCTTGACATAGTCAATTCAATCAAAAGCTTTTCTATAATCAAAGAAGCTTACATTGACATATATATATATATATATATATATATATATATATATATATATATATATATATATATATATATATATATATATATTAGTTATAAGTAACCAGAAGATCTGTCTCTGTAGAATCTGGGTATCAAGCCAAAGAAATCTGAAAAGCTATTGCAGGAAATATTTATTGGATCAGGATTCCAATAAGATATTCTTCAATGTTTTTAAATACTTGAACCCCAATCTCTCTATTAATCTATTAATCTTAGAGATTTACCTTGTACTTATAGGTATTTGATATTTCCTCCAAAGAAACTTTTGTTATCACAACAACTGCTAGAAAAGAAATAACAAGTGAAAACTTTGGTAAGTATACTGTATTTATATGACAAATCATTTTTATACCAAGTACTATGAAATAAATATTAAAGTTTTGCTACTATGCTTCATCAATGTTTGTCTTGGAACAACTAACATTTTTCTTAAAATATTGTTTTGTTTTTGAACTTAAAAAACACTAAGAATATGGAACATGATCAGGACTTCAAAACATTTCATAATCATGGTATGAGAATTGAAGATTAGATTTTAAAAAAAAATAATCTCAGTATGAGCATTGACAGGAATGGTTTGGGATGCAAATAAAGCTTTTATGAGAGGATATTTTATGCAATATCATGCTCAATTCAAAATGAGATTTTAAAAAATGACAAAGAAATTCCCAAAGAAATTAAATGTCTCTTTATCAAATTAAACTTTTACAATGATAGTTACTAATGTTAACAGTAAAAGAATGGAAGTAAAAATGAATTATGTAAAGCAAAAAAAAATTGAATTTGCAAATAAACCAGGGAAACTATTAGCATATCATTTAGAAAAGAAAAAGGTATTGTAATTTCAACTGGGAGATACTATATTAATGGATAATATGGCAATACGAAAAGCATTTTATCAGTATTGATTTTACAGCCTGAGACTTGGAAAGACACAAATATAGCATTAATAACTAAGAAAGATAAGCTTTTATTAGGCCAGGAATTATAGACCATATCATTAATAATGGCTATAAATTGTTTAAATTATTTTAGTAGATGGACTAAAAATAATTTTACAAGAATTTATTCAACAAGGCTCAAGGTCATTTTTTATTTTAAAGACAATGTTAGAATTATGTTGGATATTCTAGAATAGCATAGTGAAAATTGACAGTTAAAATCCAGATAAAAAGGTATTTTTCTCCTGGCTTTTTTAAAAAATGTAGAAGAGTACAAAAGTAATTTTGATGAAAGAATGCAATAATTATTAAAAGAAAACAAAAGACATTTCAGTCTTGGGAAAAAGAAAAGAAACCAAAAGTAATTCGGTCAAAAGTAATAAGAGAAGGCAAACTGATAGTTTGGTAAGCTTTCAGAATTGGTTTATATCCAAGAATAGAGTAGCATTCCTGAAATCCTTGCTCTGTTTTCTGACCTTGCCTATCTTGAAGAGGTGACAAAGGTTAAGTAAAACAGTTTACTATAAAGTCTTACACATTTTTTAAAAAAGAATTCCAAAACTGCTCAAGAAAAGAACAATTGCAGGTATCCCTGACTTACCAGCCACAACTGAAACTATCAACCCCTTCAATAACCTATGTGGTGTAAAGTGAGTCATGATACATTTGACTTTTAGCATCAGTTTCTCAGCTCCAGCTGCAATTATTAAATGAATCATCGCTGGTTGTTAAGCATGACATCCTGTGACTGAGACTTGAGATTTCCTGCCAGCTTTTCCCCATTGACAATGCTTGCTCTGAAAGTCACAAATGGAGATCATGTTAACCTGGGATGTTGCAACCTCCATAAATGTGTACTGGATGCCATTCACTAAAATTGCAATCATATGACTATGGGGTTGCTGTGACAGCCCAAACTTCAAAGACCAATTACATATTATATCTGTTTTTCCAGTGTTGTAACTCAAACAATCACTGAGTGAATGGTCAGGAATAAGGACTATCAGCATAATTAAAAATCTGCCTTGTTTTGAACCAGCAACCTCCTACATCAGACATGTCAAACTCGCGACGTCATGTGATGTTGCGCAACGTATCAGGCCGGTTTTGCCATTGCCGGCAATGGGGTGGGCGCAGCTTCAGGATGATGCGTCCGGTCCGTAGGCCGGCAGTTTGACACCCCTGTCCTACGTGCCAAGCAAATATCACAGCCACAGTGCTATGCAAACTCTATTATTAATGGGAGGTATAGAAAATACCAGAGTGGGTGGTAAACATTGGCTTAATTGAAGGGCTCGTCTTTCTGCAAAGTAGCAGGTGAATTGCAGAGATCAGCCTAGTAGCTGAAGGGCTCATCCCAAGAGCAGGAATACAGGAAGTCCTTGGCTTATGAGCACATTTGAGACCAGAATTTCCATCCTTAAACAAGGTGGTGCTTAAGTGAGTGCCCAATTTTACAACCTTTTTTGCTGTAATTGTTAAGGGATTCATTGCAATTGTTAAGTGAATCGTGGTTGTTAAGCAAATCTGGCCTCCCCCATTTGACTTTGCTTGTTGAACACCAACTGGGAAGATCATGAAAGACAATCACATGACTTGGACGCTGCGACTGTTGTAAATCCATGCCAGTTGCCAAGCAGTCGAATGTTGATCATGTGACTGAGGGGGGGGGTGCTGTGATGGTCAGAAGAGGAAGAGCCGCTTGCCAGTCACTTTTTTCAGTGCCACTGTAACTTTGAATGGTCACTGAATGGCTGTAAGTTGGCGAGTACTTGCATTTAAGGTGATACAACAGAAAACTATTTTGGAAATGGAGGAGAAAAATGTGATTGAGATCACTTTAAATGTGAGTGAGGCAGTAATATGTGGCAACAGGGCAAGTGGCAGGTTATAAAGCAGTATTGGAAACAAGCATTCACATTTTAAGAAATTAGTACAGAAAATAAAATTTTCCTTATTTAAAGTTCCATATATATCTTGTAGGTCGAATTGTTAAAGACAACATGACTCTCTACTTACTACAGAGAGTTGATCAGTTGCTCACTTCAGCAACAAAGGAGTGCGTTGAGTTTTTGCCACATTATGACACACTTGTGAAAAGTGGAATATATGAATACTATGCCAGCGAAGGCCAAAATCCTCTTCGTAAGTATTTAAATATTAACAGTATATCTGGAAGGTAATGCATTGTGTTTTGATTGTTTAATCAAGTGTTATATTTTAAATATTATCCTTTAAAATGGCAGAATGAATGGAAATTTTTCTTTTTCCGTGAAAGAGCAGATTTATTTTTATTCTCATTATAGTTAAGTCATCTTGCTAGATCACCCTTGTCAAATACGTTACTAAACTTGACACAATCTGCAATTTGCAGTTTTTAAAAAAATTATTTTATTTATTTCAGGTCTGTTTTACTTCTAGTTCATTCATCATCTATTTCCAATTAGGGAATTATGAGTTTGGGGTGGGGAAAATCTTCAGCATTTTTCACTAACTGTGGGATGAATTCCCATGATCTGTTGCACAATAAATAAGTCAAATTTGCTGTGATCGTATAATTTGGCAGAAGACTTTAAAAAATTGGCTTTTCTCATGGAGTGAAAGATACAGTAACATTTATTACCTCTTTTAATCTTTACAGTGGAAAGGAGACCCCAAGGAACATGATTTCAGTTATAAATGCATAGATTTCTAGTCTAATTAAAAATACTCTTTTGGAAGCAGAGTAAACATTTGTATTTTAATTTTTCTTTTCAGTAATGATAATTCATAGAAACGTTTTCTTTTATTTAGCATTTGCACTTGCAGAATTGATTGATAACTCCTTATCAGCTACTTCTCAAAATTCTGGAGTTCGGTACATCCAATTAAAACTGGTAAGATATCAAATAATTTTGAAATATTTTACGGACTTATTTTATTCTTATGTTTTCATATCTTGCTGCTTTTTTCTGTAACAGTTATTTGATGATACTCAAGGAAAACCAGCTGTTGCTGTGATTGATAATGGAAGAGGCATGACTTCTGAACAACTAAACAATTGGGCTGTATATCGACTGTCAAAGTTTAGACGACAAGACAATATAGAAAGGTTGGAACATTCTAATCTTAGTTTATGTTAAAATATTAAATATATGTGTTGAATCATACGCAACATATTACATACATTTTCACTTACAATAACAGTCTAGTAATTTGGGATAATGAACATTTCTTGTGGCAATTGTAAATATATCTATTGATGCAATCTCTAAATATTTTATTGAGACCTAATATAATCTCCCCTCTCTATCTTTTAGTTTTAGTAGATAATTTGTATTTTATAGCATTTTATTTTTATTATATACAGATTTTTTGTATTATTTTATTATTTTTAACATTGTAAGCTACCCAGAGTCACTGTGTGAGATGGATGGCAAACAAATGTAATAAATAAAATAAAAAATAAAGATTTATGAAACATACGCCCAACTAATTGTGGATTAGCTTAATTTTTAGTTCAAGAATGGTCTCAAAATGTCAGGTGCAAATGACCAGGTATACATGTGAAGATCAATTAAACTGATTTATTGCTAAACAGGTTATACACAGATATCTTCTTAATTAATGGTTAATACCTGCTAGGAGTTAGTTAAGAGTCCACAGAATTCAAAGGTGGGGGGAATGGACCTATTCTCCTTTTGGCTACATAGGGATTCTAGGCTGATTCCCCTTTTAACTCCAACCCTAGATTGTGTCATTCCTTCTCCTACACAATACAACAAAGTCTACGAACACTTGTTTGTGATCCAGCTTTTTCTGTTATTTCTAAACGTTCAGAAATCCAAATGAAAGTTCAAATACATTTTGATATTTCAGAGTTTATCTTATACTTTTGAATAAATCTGCACATTGATTTCTGTGCATCTTCTAACTTATAAATACAAAGATATTTTCATACTCATAGTTGTTTCAATCCTATGAAATACTGTGGGACAGAGCTGGGCAATTAGTGCATGCAGGGTACATGTGGTTCCCTGGCACTCTATTTATGATCCATAAGGCTTCACCAATGAGAAGGACCAAAATTGTTCGCCCAGACTTTTTGCAGGGAAAGGATTGCAGAGTTGGGGTGGGGGAGGCAAATGTGTGGTTTAAGTTTTATCCCTAATAAAAACAGATTTGGTTACTTTTTATCATGAGAGCTTAAGAGGCAAAATGAATATGTTAAAGCAGTGTTTCCCAAACTTGACAATTTTAAGGCATGTGGACTTCAACTCCCAGAATTCCACAGCCAGCAATGCTGGCTGTGGAATTCTGGGAGTTGAAGTCCACATGCCTTAAAATTGTCAAGTTTGGGAAACACTGTGTTAAAGCATCCATTTTGTCAATAAACTGTCCCCAAAACACAAAAGTTTAAAATTGCCACCTCACTCTGGTTATGTTGTGACATCATCAATCATGCCCCTTGTCAACTTTGGACAGAGCATATTAACAGAGTATATCTTTAGGCTAAAAAGATTTTTATTCTTCCATTTTTGGTTTCCATAAAGTATTGTGATGTTCCCGAACACTTCTATAAATATATAGTAAATGTATTTTTAAGAATATTAAAAACAAAACGGTGATTCCTGGGTAGACTCATGTTAAATAATAAAATATATGAACACCAGGAAGTTATAAAACTATAAAAAGTTTTAATAGAATAAAACCAGAATAAAATCAAGCTTTCGCTGGCTTCTGCCACCATCATCAGGGTAGCGTCCAGTCGATGGGAGAAGCTATTTATAAATGTGACGCTCTTTGCGCCCGGCTTCTTGACCTCGTCATAGGTCCCAGCCAATCCACCTGCGTTTTGATCGTAGTTTCTGTATTGCAAGCTGTAATTTCCTCACTCTCCTTCCTTGTGCCGATACCACAGCTCTTCCTCCCTTCCTCGTATGACTGTAAGTCGGGGGGGGCTCTTTAATTCTACGTAGTTAAATGTGCACTGTCTGTGTTTATGTTGTTTATTCCCTTCATCCTCCCTCTTAGTATTCCCTATTTTCATTCTCCTCCCCCTATCTCTCTGTCTACGATCCTCTTTAACAACTATATTCTCATTGTTCGTCCCCGTAGCCCAGGATTCCATTGTGTTCGTATCATCCTGTTTCCCGATCTTTCGTATCACTTTGTTAACTCCCCTTTCTATTTTCTCTTCAACGGGGGTAATTTTAACATCCTCCCCGGAGTTCGTGGCACCCACAGGTTGATTGTTAACCCCTTCTCCCGAGGGGGCTGTCCCCTCACTGTTGTTTATACATTCATCCATTACTTGGGGGTGTGCAACCCTCCTTAAAGGGAGAGAGGCGGTGTCCTTGCGATCATGATTTGCATCTCCTTGTACATTCCTACGAGGGGTTGTTCCTCTCAAATGTCTGTGGGAGCGTGTGGAGGCTCTAAGATTATAACAAACAGACTCCCCATCTTCCCGTAGTTCTCCTGCATTCCCAAGGTGAGAGCAGCTCAATAGGGAAATGTCGTGGGCGGAGTTAGTTGCAGAGTCGCCAGTGGAATTACACGTGACATTCCGATCATTCAAATCATGGTTGTTTAATAGTCCAGAATCCATACAAGATCGCTTCTTTGCCAAACTCCTCGCTGTTCCTGGGGAGACCCTCGATTCATCGGCAGTTGGCTCTTGGTTGGCAATACGCTCCTGCGCCCATGGGAGATGGGCATATGTTTCCACAGGTGGAGAGTTACTCAGCTGCTGCTTATTCCCTATCCGGGCATTTCCAAGGCTCGTCTCCTCCGTCAACCGTCTTTGCTGAAGGCACGTTATAATATTACATTGTTTTCCTCTGGAGGGACAGTCACGCATTGCCCATGCTCTTAATGTTACATGTGCTGGGCATAGGTCCACATGTCGGTTGATGGATTCTTCGTTGGAGAGCCAAGCTTCTTTAAGAAGCCGGCCCCCCTTCGTGTTGTCACTGACCATCACCTGCACGTTATTAAAATCGAACCTATGCCCAGATTCCAGCATATGCGCTCCGATTTGGGAATATTGGTCACCTCTCCTTACCGCCAACTTATGCTCGTGAATTCTAGTTTTGACACGTTTGGAGGTCTCCCCCACATAATTGGCAGGGCAACTTTCACAGTTGATCCTGTAAATGACACTGGATTTCTCTATGGTGGGGAGTGGGTCTTTCAATCTTATCGCCTTAGATCGCAACATCTGGTTGGGGTTATGTGCCACCCTCACGTTATAGGATGCCAATAACCTAGCCGTGGCCTCTGAGATGTTGCTAATGTAAGGGAGAGTAATGCGAAGTCTCTGTGATGTATATTCTTCTGTTTGAGACCTACCGGGGAGGGGGGGTCTAGATGGTAGTCCATGGCGCCTGATGAACTTCATGGGGTAACCATTGTGCCTGCACACCTTAAAAAGGTGCTTCTTTTCTTCCATCCTAGCCTTAGCAGTGTTGCAGTGGAAGCCTACTCTCTTGAAGAGTGTTCTAATGCAGCTGGCCTTGTGGGCCACTAGATGGTTGCTATCATAGTGCAGAATTCTATCTGTGTGCGTGGATTTGCGGTAGACCCTGGTCCTCAGGGTTCCGTTAGGTTGGCGATGGACCAGGACATCAAGAAATGCCAACTCTCCCTGGTGCTCTTCTTCTTCCGCAAACTGCAAATCCACGCACACAGAGTTAAGCATGCCCACAAAGCCAGCTTTTTGGCTCCTCTTAATGATGACAAATGTATCGTCCACGTAGCAAGCCCAGAATTTAGGACATCACTGGGTCATCGCTACGTGCTCCAATTGCTGCAACACTGCCTCTGCTGTGATGCTGGAGATCGGTGACCCCATGGGAGTGCCCTTCACCTGTTCAAAGGTAGTGCCCTGGAATGTGAAGTATGTTTTTAGACATATTTCTAATAGATTTATAAGGCCTTGAGGCTGAAGGTGGTCCTGCTGATGACCTGAACCCTTTTTGTCAAGAAGGTCTTTTATCGTCTTGATGGCCAGATCTTGTGGGATAGAGGTGAAGAGGGAGACGATGTCAAAAGACACCATCACCTCATCATCCTCTATCCTCAGAGACCTGATCTTGTCAAGGAATTCCTCAGTAGATTTAACGGTAGTAGAACTACCTTCAATCAAATGACTGATGCGATTGCTCAGCCATTTGGCAAGGCCTGAGGTCGGAGTGTCCCTAAATGCCACAATAGGCCGAAGGGGGACACCCTCCTTGTGGACCTTAGGAAGGCCATAGAATCTGGCCACTGCGGTGTCACTAGGGTGCAGCTTTTTAAGGGTGGCATCATCAAGCCTCTTACTACATTTGAGGTTGTTAAGTAATTTATTAGTATGGTTTTTAAGGGCCGTATTTTAAAATGTATTTTAAAATGTAAATAAAAAGTATATTTCACAAAATTTATATATCTCTTTTTATCACTCCAAAGCATTGTCATTATTATTGTGTTTAATTTCATTTAATAACATCTGTACACTTAACAGTGTTTTTTTCTTCTATTCATTTTTTTTTTTTTTTGTATCAGTGATCATTCAGGATATGTACAACCTCAAATAGTACCTCGCAGCTTAAACAGTGATATATCGTATTTTGGAGTTGGTGGTAAACAAGCTGTGTTTTTTGTTGGACAGACTGTTAGAGTAAGTAACGCCTAATATTGCTTAGTTAACCTAGATTAGTAATTGACTTAGCAGGCTCCTGCTTCTTCAATGGAACTGATTGTGAATACATGGGGAATGGGCCAGTTTGTAGTAGAAGACAAAGTTTACTAGGCTGTAGTTGTTGAGGGATGGTAAAGAAGATTTCAGTGACAACTATTGAAATCACATATCTGCTGTATTTGTGTGAGACCTGTGTTGCTGGTATCAGGTAATAAGTCTTTCTCTTGCTATGTTTTTATATTTCATAGAATGGTCCATTGAGGTGTTATATTTGAGAAAGTACATAATCTTCAGTGCAATTTTGGTGATGTAAATTTCCTGTATCTTGATTGTTGCTGCTAGAATTGCTTCCAATGTAACTTTGTATTTTTTTAAAAAAAATTATTAGATGATAAGCAAACCTGCAAATTCTCAAGATGTTCATGAATTTATCCTTTCAAAAGAAGATTTTGAAAAGAAAGAAAGAAACAAAGAATCTGTATATAGTGGATATATAAGAAATAGAAAGGTAAGACTATAGTAGTATTTTAATCATTGGATTATATCCACCTTTGAAACAGTCCTTTCACATTTAAAAGCTTCTAGGATTTAGGAAACCAATGTATTTTTGGAAAACTCAACAGTGGCCACGGGATTGGAAAAGGTCAGTTTACATTCCAATTCCAAAGAAAGGCAATGCCAAAGAATGTTCAAACTATCGCACCATTGCACTCATTTCACATGCTAGTAAAGTTATGCTTAAAATCCTACAAGCTAGACTCCAGCAGTATGTGGATCGAGAACTACCAGAAGTACAGGCAGGATTTCGAAGAGGCAGAGGAACTAGAGATCAAATTGCCAACATACGCTGGATCATGGAGAAAGCTAGGGAGTTCCAGAAAAACATCTACTTCTGCTTCATTGACTATGCAAAAGCCTTTGATTGTGTGGATCACAACAAATTGTGGCAAGTTCTTAAAGAGATGGGAGTACCAGACCATCTCATTTGTCTCCTGAGAAACCTATATGCGGGTCAAGAAGCAACAGTGAGAACCGAACACGGAACCACTGATTGGTTCAAAATTGGAAAAGGAGTACGGCAAGGCTGTATACTGTCACCCTGCCTATTTAACTTATATGCAGAGCACATCATGAGAAAGGCAGGGCTAGATGAATCAAAAGTTGGAATTAAGATTGCCGGGAGAAATATCAACAACCTAAGATATGCAGATGATACCACTCTAATGGCAGAAAGTGAAGAGGAACTAAAGAGCCTCTTGATGCGGGTGAAGAAGGAGAGTGCAAAGGTAGGCTTGAAACTCAACATTAAGAAAACCAAAATCATGGCATCCGGCCCTCTCAATTCCTGGCAAATACATGGGGAAGAAATGGAGGTAGTGACAGATTTTATTTTTCTGGGTTCTAAATCACCTCAGATGGGGACTGCAGCCAAGAAATTAAAAGATGCTTGCTCCTGGGGAGGAAAGCTATGGCAAATCTAGACAGCATACTAAAAAGCAGAGACATCACCCTGCTAACAAAAGTGCGTATAGTCCAGGCCACGGTTTTCCCAGTTGCAATGTATGGCTGTGAAAGTTGGACCATAAGAAAGGCTGAGCGCCAAAGAATTGAGGCCTTTGAACTATGGTGCTGGAGAAGACTCCTGCGAATCCCTTGGACTGCAAGGCGTTCAAACCGGTCAGTCCTAGAAGAGATCAACCCCGACTGCTCTTTAGAAGGCCAGATCCTGAAGTTGAAACTCAAATACTTTGGCCATCTAATGAGAAGGAAGGACTCACTGGAGAAGGGTCTAATTCTGGGAAAGATTGAGGGCAATAGAAGAAGGGGACGACAGAGAATGAGATGGCTGGATGGAATCACTGAAGCAGTAGGTGTGAACTTAAATGGACTCCAGAAGATGGTAGAGGACAGGAAGACCTGGAGGAACGTTGTCCATGGGGTTGCGATGGGTCAGACACGACTTCGCAATTAACAACAACAACAACTTTATTTTCCTGATTTTGAAATGAATGAAAGTTAATCAGTATCATTCCTTGTCTAATGTATTTTTTTAAAAAAAAATTCCAATAGCTATCTGATTCTTCCCACATTTTTGATGATGAACAATTTCTGTGCAAGCTTATTATGGAAGAGAAAGACAAAGAAAGTTTTACTGCCGTTGTTATTACTGAAATGAAGCCTGAAAATATACAATACCTGAAAAATGATTTTGAAAGTTGGACAAGACAGTTAACGTAAGTACTTTATGTCTCTTACCTTTCAAGTATGTTGATTGATGATTCTTACATTTTATCATACTTAGAACTCCCCCCCCCCTGTACTTCTAAACCTAGAAACTGCATCATACAGTATGTAGTATTCTAGAATATTAGATAATAGAAGGAAGGTTTTTGTTTTATTCTGTCTTTGTTGTTTTGTTTTTAGTTGAAATGTTTGGAGTGGAATATTTTTATTAGCAGCCAGGAACCTTGGATTTATATATTATCTTTCTGGCTTCTAGATACAAGTTGTATTTTGTTTTATATCTTTAAAGTATTCAGTGGCCTTTTAAAAAATCCTGCAGTGCTTATTTATTTTACAGTTTGGTTAATGAATTTTATTATTACAGACACATATATCATTACTATATCCATGGACCAAACGGAAACTGCACTAATTTGCCAAGGAAGGAAGAAAAAGTTTTCAATAACATGGTCATTGAGGTAGGATCTCTCAATATTGGAAGTAAATCAATGAATATACTCATTTTACTTGTTCTATATAACCTTAAGCAGTATTAGTGACGAACGGATCATTTTCATGCTCTTCCACCATAGACTAGCCACCAATATATCCCTCCAAAATCCCTCCATTGATTTAGGATATAATCAATGTTTAGAATATATTTTCTTTTTATTTTAACCAGGTCTGAGAATTTGTGTTAAGGATGCCATATAAATCAGTTTATTGGTCATGATAGAAAAGAAAGTTAGAAGACATTGTACATAAAGTTCTCAATTTATGACCATTCACTTAATGACCATTCAAAGTTGGGGCACTGAAAAAAGTGACATAACAACCACTCCTCACACTTGACAACCATTGTAGTGTCTTTCTGGTCACCTGATCAAAATTCAGGCACTTGGCAACCAGCATGTATTTAAAACAATTGCAGTATCTTGAGGTCATGTAATCACCATTTATGATGTTTTCAGGGAGCTTCCAACAAGCAGAGTAAATGGAAAAGCCAGATTGTCTTAACAACTGGCAAAAAAGATCATAAAATTGGGTGCTGTTCTCTTAATGATCATATCACTTAATAACAGATGTTCTAGTCCTAATTGTGGTTGTAAGTTGAGCACTACCTGTAGTACTTGCATGTTTAAAAAAAGTGCCTTTTTGGGATCCAGTCCATTAATAACATGTCATAAATATATGATTATCTAACAGTTCTTTGAAATATTGGTTATCAAATTCAAATTTTAAAAAATAATTTGTGGTATTTAATTTAATCTTTCTTGCTTTTTATTATTAGTGATATCTTTGTCAAGAAATTCATAGACAGAGAAACTAACACTTGTTATCTGTTTAGATTTCACTGTTTGAAAAGGGGAAGACACCTCAGGTTGTGAATCTGAGAGAAATTGAGGATGATATGCAGACTTTATATATAAATACAGCAGCAGATAGTTTTGAGTTCAAGGCTCGTGTTGAAAGAGATGGTATAGTGGAAGGAATTATACGTTACCATCCTTTCTTATATGAGAAAGAAACATATCCTGAAGATCCTTCAAGTGAGTAATTGCTAGGGAGAAATGCTGTTTCTCATTCATATACTAATAATTATGATAAATTTGATCATGTTCCCATGATTTTAAATATTACACAATCTAGCTTTAGGGGACATTGTAAAATGCCTGTATTGAAGGACAACTATGTTTCAAGAATATATTGGAGCTATATTAAATATACATTGTGCCATCTTTACTTCTATAAACCAGTAACCTCCAGTCTATTGTATACCTGCCACTATCTTAGCTATTTCTTTGTTATTTTAATGTATTCATTGTCTTACTATTTTAAACAATTAAAGTTAGTTTTAATTATTTTATCAGATTGTAAGCCGTACAGAGTCACATGACAGCGAGATGGGTGGCAAATGAATTTAATAAATAAATACAGTTGGGGGAGTAGGATTGTTTTCTGTGAAGGTTTTTGTGTGATGATTATAATTATTTATGTAACTTTCCATGAATCATTGATTACTAAGCTACATTTCAAACCAATTTTATAGAATGAAGTGTGATTCAGCTGCTAGCTCACCCATCCTCAATTTAGTTAGGTATGGATTTCTTTTGTCCTTTAAATAAAATGAATGCACATTCAGTCTAAAAAAATCAGACAAGAAAGGAGCAGGGGATGGGAAAAATCTCCAAATCAATAAAAAATTTGATGATGGTAACAAACTTCTTAGAGAGATCCCTTGCTCAGAGGGATTGCAATTTTAAAGAAAAAAAAAAAAGATTCCAGTGATAGTAAAGGTGTGATGGCATGTGAGAATGAGGAGGCAGACTTGCAGCCAAGATAATGGTCAAGCAGTTCAGTCCACAGGTGGACGGAAAGCATTTCAGAAGGACTCCTCATTTTCCAGAGTCTAAAAAAAAAAAAAGGAGAGAAATAATTTCAGTTTGGCAAGATTCTGTTAATGTAACCTTACAATAAAGACACATTAATTTATCTGCTTGGGCTTCTTGTCTAGACCTTGCAAGGCTGACAGTTTTTAGCAGCCAGCACAACTATTTGATGGATGTATGATACTTGCTTAATACACATTGGACTCTAAAGAAAGAGTATCCAACTTTATCAAGCCAAAACCTTGCCTAAAATACACAATTTAATTATAGGAACCAAATATAGTTATGTAATACTCTCCTTATATATAAACTTATCCTTTGATTGTATTAGAAATTAATGTCACTAGCAATTTTTGAAGAGAAATGTTAAGTGGGCATCCAATTTGCACTTGTTTTCCATAATTTGGAAAACTTCTATTTTGCATTTCTACATACAATGATATGAAAATAACTTTTAAATTTAGGATTCAAAGATGCTGATGATGAAGAAGGAGAAGGTGAAGAAGAGGAATATTATACAAGAGAAAAAGGAGCCAGAGGGAAAAAAGCTATTTTTGAATGTTTTTGGAATGGAAGATTAATCCCATATACAACTGTAGCAGAGTAAGTTTGTATTAGTTCTGAAATTTATACATATAGATACATATTTTTCTTGCTGTGTTTCTAAATGTTGTCTTTTTCTCCCAAGTTTTGAATGGTGTGCTTTGCCTAAAAAGAGAGGGCTCGTTCCAGTTGAATGCTACAACAGAATATCTGGTGTATTATTTACAAATGACAAGTTTGAAGTCAGCACAAACAAACTGACTTTCACGGATTTGGAAATAAGGTTAAAAGATAAAAGTACAATTTTTACAAGAGTTGTCAATGGACAGGTAATATTTAACCTATTTGTTTGCTAATACTGTATACACTCCTTTAGAAAATAATTAGATCTAATACATTTTATCACTGTTTGTGCTTTTATATAGTAAGAAAATACAAGCTATTGCAGTTTCAGGACAGCCTGAGATTTGAAGGGACCTTGATAAAGCACCTTTTGTTGGTCCCTAACATTCTTATAACTACAGTAAAAATGATACATCAACTTACCCTTATTCTTGCCACAATACTCAAAGATGTTTGGCTGAGGGCATTATGAAATTTAAAAAGTTGTCTTTATCTAACTTCCTGCCTTTGCTCAGAATATCACATCAGAAAAAAGTATTAAGGGGATAAATTACTATTGGATCACATTATCGCGTGTTTAAACCTACAGCTCAAGAATATTGAGTGATGAATGCTCTTCCATTAATGTTTTATAAATATATATAAAAGAGTAGAGTGTAAAAAAAGAGGGTTGCAATGATTTCTGAGACTTGGAATACTAGTACAGGTAATCCTTGGCTTACAACCACAATTAAATCCAAAATTCCTGTTGCTATGCGAGATAGTTGTTAAGTGAATTTTGCCCCTTTTTTTGACCTTTCTTGCCACACTTGTTAAATGAATCACTGCAGTTGTTAAGTTAGTAACATGGCTGTAAAGTGAATCAGACTTCCCCATTGACTTTGCTTGTCAGAAGATCGCAAAAGATGATCACATGTTCCTCGGACACTGCAACCATCATAAATATGAGTCAGTTGTCAAGCATCTGAATTTTGATCATGTGATCATGGGGATATTGCAACAGTGAAGTGTGGAAAACAGTCCTAAGTGACTTTTTTCCATGGCATTGTAACTTTGAATGGTCACTAAACAAACTACTGTAAGTTGAGGACCACCTGTATGGATACGAGGGAATATAAATCAAAATTCCTAATCCGACACAATGGACATGTCACTGCCTCTTTAGTTTTATTGTCCTGACCACCTTTTTAAAACAGGATTACAATGATAAGTATGGCTTTTAAGATAATACATTGGGAAATTATCCATCAGTTATTTTAGGCTACAACAAATAACGCAAGAAGAATAAGCTTTGTTCAACAATAATCATTCAATAACTGAAAAAACTGTACATGTAATACATATACATAACTTTCCACAGGAACAGAGAATGCAAATTGATAGAGAATTTACAAATTGGCTCAAGAATTGCCATGAAAAACATGATAAACAAATCAAATTTACTGAGTTTAAAGAAATAGTTACACGTGCTGATCAGAGCTCTAAAAGAAAGAGTCCTTGGGCTAAATATTCGGCAATTGAATGGGATGGAAATATATATAAAGCTGGACATTTGGTAAGTTAATTACTTTTGAAAAGATTGCTTAATGTATGTATATTTGATGGGCTGTGAATTCTATATAACCTAATATAAATAAAACTATATTTTCTTTGTTGGTTAAAAAAGTTAGATCATTTCTTAAATTGATAAAGTTTGCTACATGGATGGAAATAATATCTTAGATATTAACTTCCTTTTTTTCAGCTAGTGAACACATTAAGATTTTTGAGAGCATATAATAATAATAATAAAGTTGGAAGGGACCTTGGAGGTCATCTAGTCCAACCCCCTGCTCAGGCAGGAAACCCTATACCATTTCAGCCAAATGGCTGTCCAATTTCTTCTTTAAAACTTCCAGTGTTGGCGCATTCACCACTTCTGGAGGCAGGTTGTTCCACTGGTTAATTGTTCTTTTTTTTCTTAATTTTTTTTATTTTTCACCATACACCAAAACAAACTTAAAATACATAAACATAAATCTTTTCTTTTAACAGAACAATACTATACATTTTAAGCATTCTTTACATCTTATTTACATTTTATGTACATCAATAATTGTGTCTTTTTCTTTCTCTGTTCTAGCCAATTATAACATTTATTCCAAATTTCATAAAATTCTGTCGCCTCCTTGTTTTTTAATTCTAATGTAAGTTTGTTCATTTCTGCGCATTCCAAGATTTTGTACATAATCATATCATTTGTGGGTATGTTTTCACTCTTCCAACATTGAGCATATGCTATATGAGCTGCAGTCAATATGTGTATAATGATGTGTTGGAGTTGTTTTTCCATCTTTAAATTTATTATGCCCAAAAGAAATAATTCTAGTTTAAAATCCATTTGTATCTCAGTTATCTCCTGTATCCAATCCCTTATTCGTTCCCAATAATTTTTTGCTTTGGGGCACAGCCACCACATATGATAAAATGTTCCTTCTCTGATTTTACATTTCCAACACTTCGGGTCTATGTTTTTATACATTTTGGCCAATCTCGCCAGTGTTAAATGCCATCTGTAAATCATTTTATATTGATTCTCTCTGTATGCAGTTGATAGCGTCAATTTGCAATTTATGTTCCATAATCTTTCCTATTCCTCTAAATTTATATTTCGCTCCACATTTCGTGCCCACGCTATCATTGGCCCCTTCACTATTTCTTCCTCTAACTCTATCTCTACTAAGTATTTATAAATTTTTGATAATAGTTTTCCTTCCTTACTTGTTAGAATTTTATCAAGTTGATGTGGGGTCTGACTAATTCCATGTTCTTGCCTATCCCTATTATATCTAGATTGAATTTGTAAATACGGCCACCAATCTATGGGTATTCTTTGTTCCTCCAACTCTTCTCTTGACTTGAGATTTCCTTGGTTATCCAGCAATTCTTTATACCTAATCATCTTTTTTTTTCTAATGTATTGGGATGAATCACTGCCTCCCATCGGCGAAAACCAATTTGGAATTTTCCCATATTGTCTTTTTTTTTATTTTTCCCTATATCCCGATCAATGCTCCTTTTATCTGATGTTGCTGGAAATATGTTGATGTTTTCTTCTGTCTCCCCCATAGAAATGCATGCCAACCAGCCTGTAGATCATGTCCTTCAATCATTAGTGTCCTTTCATTATACAAGTTTATCCAGTCTTTAATCCATAATAACCCTGCTGCATAATAATAGATTTCCCATTTAGAGAATGGGAAATCTTACTGTCTTGTAGTTTTGGTATTTATCCTAGCTTTTTTGCCTGCCCAAATAAATTTATTTATTATTTTATCCAATTCTTTAAAAAAAGTTTTCTCTAATTTTATTGGAATTGTTTGAAATAAATACAATAATCTTGGTAGTATATTCATTTTAGTCAATGCGATTCTGCCTAATAATGATAATTGTCTCAAGCTCTTGTTTCATTTTTAGTATCAATTTTGTATAATTGTCTTCTTTTATTGAGGAACACCTTGAGGTTATCCAAATTCCTAAATATTTAATCTTTTTCGCTACTTGTAATTCCAAATTCTCTTCCAATTTCTTTTTTTGTTTATCGGTTAAATTTTTTGCTAACATTTTAGTCTTTTCTCTGTTAATTTTTAATCCTGCCACTATTCCAAATTTTTCTATTTCACCCATAAGCATATTTCCTCTATAGGTTCCTCAATGAAGAAAACCAGGTCATCAGCGAATGCCTGTAACTTATATTCTTCTGCTTTGACCTGTATCCCTTTTATTTCTTTATTCGCTCTAATTTGAACTAATAATACTTCAACAGTCAAAATAAAAAGTAAAGGTGAAATTGGGCATCCCTGTCTTACCCCTTTGTTTATTTCAAAACTTTTTGTATTCTCTCCATTAATTATCACACTAGCTCTCTGTGTTCTATATATTGCCTTTATTATGTTACTAAATTTCTCACCAAATTTCATATCCTCAATCTGTTGGAACATAAATTGCCAATTGAGGCTATCAAATACTTTCTGTGTGTCTAAAAAAATCAAAGCTGCCTGTTTTCTAGGTGTATTTCATAATACTCTAGGACATTTAACACTGTTCTAATATTGTTTCTGATTTGTCTTTGGGGTAAAAAACCATTTTGGTCTGGATGTATTATATTTTGTAAAATTAACTTTAATCTTTCAGCCATTATATTAGTAAAAATTTTGTAATCCATATTTAGCAGCGAGATTGGTCTATAGTTTTTAATCTGTTTGGGGTCTGTGCCTTCTTTTGGGATAAGAGATATGATGGCATCTATCCAGGAGTCTGGTAGATTAGATTTCTCCAACACATCATTATACACCTCTAGTAATATCTTTTCAAAATCTTCGTGGAAGGTTTTATATAGCTCCCCCGGAAGACCATCCGGTCCTGCGGTCTTATTATTTTTTTTGTTTTTGCACCGCCCTTTTTAATTCCACAGCTGTTATTTTCCCATTCAGTACGTCTCTTTGTCCTTCTTTTAATTCTGGCAGACCATTAACTGTCAAATATTGTTTAATCTTTTCCCCGTCTATTTCATCTTTTTTATATAATGACTCAAAATAGGTTTGAATTACTTCTTTCTTTTTGTCCATTTTATATTGTAACTCTCCATTTCTATCATAACATTCCTGAATTATTTTTCCCTCTTTCTCTTTTTTTTAGTTTGTAACAGAGCCATCTCCCAGGTTTATTTGCATGTTCAAAAAAATTTTGTTTCGCCAATTTCAATTCTTTAACTCTTTCTTCTTGCTCCATCACATTTAATTTATGTTTAGCTAATGCCATTCCCACTTTAATCGATTCATCCTGGGGCTCTTTTTGTAGTTTGGATTCAATTTTTTTAATCTCTTCCTGTAGCATGTTTTGCATTTGTCTTTTCTCCCTATTTTTCCTTGCTATATAAGCTATTGCTAGTCCCCTTAAATACGCCTTCGCTGTGTCCCAAATAATTTGTACCAATATTTGTTCTTTTGTATTTTCTTTAAAGAAGTAATCCATTTCCCTTTTAGTCTGTACAATAAATTCTTTTTCCTTCAAAATATAAGAATTCATTACCCATCTTTTTCTTACTTTTTTACGACCTTTCCAAACTATTTCCAACAGATTATGATCTGCCCATACATTTGGTTTTATTTCTATAGTCTCTATATCCTGTCCCAATTCTTCATTTGCCCATACCATATGTATTAGAGACCATGACTTATGTGGGTTTGAAAAGAATGTATATCCTTTTTTCCCTTGATTTCTCTTTCTCCACTGATCCGATAGATTAAGTTCATGTGCCAGATCAAAGAAGGGCTTTGGTAATATTTTCTTTTTATTTTTCTTACCACTAATGTAATCTTTTTTTTGCATCCACCACCGCATTATAATCACCCACAATACAAATATTTAAATGACCCAATTCTATCAATTTCTCATGTAATTTATAATAAAAATCGTATTGGTTCTCATTCGGTGCATATATTACTTACTAATAACCAGGTTTTCTGTTCACTTTGTATTTCTATTATCAATACCCTTCCATCTGTATCTTGATATTTTAAGTTTGCATTTATCTCTTTTTTAATATAAACTGCTATTCCTCTTTGCTTTTGTTCAGCTAATACTGTATATAGTGATCCTAATTTGGGAAACTCTAAATCAGTGGTTCTCAACCTTTCTAATGCTGCGACCCCATAATACAGTTCCCCATGTTGTGGTGACCCCCAACCACTTATACATCACCGGGTGCCAAGGGCGTGGCCAAAGAAAAGGGGGAAAAAATGGCGGACAGCCTTGTTTGGCGACCCCCGTGAAATGGTCGTTCGATCCCAAATGGGGTCTCGACCCACAGGTTGAGAACCACTGCTCTAAATATTTCCTATGTTGCTGTTTAATATGTACTTCTTGTAAGCAGACAATGTCTATGTATTGTTTGGCTAGCTTTGTTAATATTTGTTTTCTCTTTACTGGTGCATTTAATCCATTAATATTAATAGATAATAACCTAATTTCCTTTTCTATTTTCTACTTGTGTGTTTTATTTGTGAGCTTGTCTTGTTCTAGGGCAGTGGTTCTCAACCTGTGGGTCGGGACCCCATTTGGGGTCGAACGACCATTTCACGGGGGTCGCCAAACAACACAGTCCAACATTTTTTTCCCCCTTTTCCTTAGCTGTGCTACTCCCTTTTATTCTATTGGCTTTTGAAAACCAATAGAATAGACTCTCTTGAATAGAGTCTAATTCTATTGGCTTTCAAAAGCCAATAGGAATTGTCCAGGCTGTCTCTGCCCTGCTGAGCCCGCCAAAAGTCCCATTCTGCAAACGGTGCTGCACCAGTTGAGTAGTCCTCGATTTACGACCAGTTGAATAGTCCTCAACTTATGATCAGTTGGGGGTCGTGGCATTAAAAAGGTTGAGAACCACTGTTCTAGGGCCTGTTCCTTTCTCCTTCCTCTGTCCGTTTTCTCCCTTACTTTCTGTTCTCTTTCCCTAACTTCTTGTTGTTGGTCTTCCTGGCTTTTGGATTCCAATTCTTCCTTCCTACTGTTCTCTACCTCAGTTCCTTCCAATTGATCAAAAAATTCCCGGGCTTTCTCTAGATTATCTATTTTAATCTTCCTCTCTCTCCATGTTATCAACATTCCTTCCGGAATTAACCATCTAAAGGGTATACTTTTTTTTTATTAAATAGGAACTGAGGAATCTATAATCCCTTCTTTGATCTCTTATCCTTTTCGGTATCTGTTTTAAAGTTTGTATTTCTACACCTTTATAGATCATTGGCTCTTCCCTTGTAATTTTATAAATTATATCTGTCACCCTTTTTCTGGCAAACCTAATGTATACCTCTCATGGGAGTCTATTACATCTAGCATAATTTGTCTGAATTCTATATGGTTCATCTATCTCCGTTAGAATTTCTTGTTTGTCCCTTTACAACGCATCAGAAATCAAATCTGCCATAATATCTCCCAGATCTTCTTCCTGCTCCTCTATCACATTTTGGAAGCGTAGGTAAAATTCCGACTTGCCCATTTCCAAATAAATAATTGCTTCCTCCATTTTTTTATTAGAGGCTATCATTTCTGTGTCTAATATGTCAACTTTTTTCACAACATTATCTAACCTCACTTCTACTGATTGAATTCTTGCTTCATTTTTCTCCATCGTTTGTTGTATCATTTCAACTCTATTGTCCAATTTATTTATATCGCCTCTCATTTCCACATGATTTTTTGATATTGTCTCTTGCATTTTTAACATTGTTTCTTGGATAATGAGGAGTGTTGATTGCATAGTTTGCATATTAGCTATTACATTTTGTTTATCTGTGCCAAACAGTCCTTCTATTGATCTTGGCCAGGTGGGGATGAAGGTGTCAATGTTAAGCTTGATACCGTTTTTTTTCCTGTCCTCAATGTTGCCATAATTATCTCCTGCTTCTCTAGAGTTCTAAGTATTCCTTTAATTGACCAAAAACTTAATTAACTTTTATTTTAATTTTAAGCTTCTCTTTCCTCAACTTCTCTGAACTTTCCTCTCTCTACCTCCTCCAACTTCCTTCACTTTCTTATTCTTTCTTACTTATTTAACCAACAATTTTTCACAATTATATAGTCCATTTTTATCTCTTCTCAAACCTCGTCTACTCTCCTGATACTCCCAACATTGTCTTCTGTCGTCTTCTTCCCTTCCGTTCACGCTCGTCTTAATTAGAAACGCCGTTCCTGTCAAGCTATAAATCTTTTTTCCAGCCTTGTCTTTCTCAGCGTCAGCCCATCTTTTTCAGCTTTGTCTCCTGTCGCTTTTCTCCAATCGTCGCTCCGCTCCTTCACTCTCATCTCCTTCCTTGTTTCTTTTGAGTGGAATCTCTCAAGCTCCAGGTTTTCCTTCCAACCTCAGTCTATTCTTTTCACTTTCCTTTGCTATCGTGTCCTCTCAATCTCTCTTTCCACCTTCGGATTTTTACAGCAGACCACGATTTTCCATAATTGGCCGCACCTTATTTGAGTTCCCGATCTTCACAGCCTTCAGGTTTGTCTCAAGTTTTTTCTCCAACCGCTTTTCAATCGCACCTTCGTTCTTTCTAAACCACCATTTTCTTTCAACTCACAATCTTCTCTATCCAGTTCTCTCGATCCACAGGCTCTACCAGCTTCAACTTTGTCATGATCTCTCAGCTCCCAGCTTCTTCCTCAAACCTCTCCGTCTTCTGTGCTCACAGATTTAATACACTATCTTTCTTTGTGTCTTCCTTCTATTATTTAATCTTCTGGTTCTTTAGATCTGTTGACTCACAGCTCCCCCGCTGGGTCGCCGCTTGCGTTGAGGATTCCCTCACTGATTGAGCTTCCTTTCAACGCCTGTCCTAATAGACACTTAAATCTTGTTAGACTCTCCTCTTATTCTTTTCTATTAGAAATATTATAGGCTATTACAGCTTACTACTTAGCACAGTCTGTTAGAATTCTTCTTACTTCCACATCATCTGTGGCTTTATCAGGGCCTCAGATCTGCCATCCGCTAATGGCAGAAGTTTCCACGTTGAATTTAGGAGGTTTCCTTTGTCCTAATGGGTGATCGCCTTTCGCCTCTTTATTCCTCCGGCATCCCCCTTTCTCACGTGCTGTCCTCCAGACTTCCCCGTGCCCCCAAAGGGTCTCCAAACGTGGAAAAATCGGAGATAGGTGACAGAGATTGTCTCCTTACCTCTGTACCGCCCTGATGTCACCACCGGAAGTCTGGTTAATTGTTCTAACTGTCAGGAAGTTTCTCTTTAGTTCTAGGTTGCTTCTCTCTTTGGTTAGTTTCCACCCGTTGCTTCTTGTCCTGCCTTCAGGTGCTTTGGAAAATATCATTGGTGCTTTTAAAAAAGTGTTGCCATTACAAGATTTATATATTCATAAAATAGCTTTAATAGTGACTGTAAGTTGTCTAGTTATGTGAAGACGTGATAATGAGGTTATTATTTACATTTGCCTGGCTTTCTACCATTTTCCGCAGTGTATTTCCCACTAGTTATTCCTTGCAAGATAAGCGCATACCAGACAACTGAGATGTAGCTATTTCTACCATAATTAGTTTGGAAAATGTCTACGTGGATCTTAGAAGACTTCTAAATAAAAAAATTGTTAGAAACTGGCCCTTTACTTAGCAATTCAAGTGTGATATTTTTTATTCATTTTATTTACTTATTTTTTATGCTGTGCATCTCCCCTGCAAGATGGTTCTGGGTGGCTTACAAGTTATAAATCAAGTGAAATATAATTTAAAAAATTAAAAAATACACAGATTAAAATATAATTAAAAACTGTACTAAAACCAAAACTTTTGTTTCAGTTTTGTTTATTTAACTGAGTTCTTTTTATTTAATTTAAGGATTTGTTTGGGGAACAGATCATGTTTTTAGTCATATACATGCAGAAAATTGTTCACAAACTTTTAAACCCTGTAAATCCTGGAAAGAAAATCCTAAGACTATCTGAAATGGAATTTTTTTTCTTTTTTCTTTGGAAACAATCCCATTTCTAACCATTACAATAAGAATAAATACAGCAATTAGTTATAACTCCTTATTGTTAAAGCTATTTGCTCCCTAGCAAACTGTGCTTTGTATTATTGCCCAAGAAGAGACTTTATGAACTGTATTAGAAAATATTTTTGCCAAACATTATTGCTGAAAAGTTATCGTAAACCAAAGTATAATAATTAATCTTTTTATTTGTTATTTACATTTATGACAAAGTTAGATATTTTTACAAATTGTAACACTATAGAAATTATTTTTAGGATTAAGTTAAATTTTTATGTAAAAAGTAAATGCTATTTATGTGTTAGGTGAGATCAGTTAAAAAAACTCCTGTGTATCATGGAAGAATTCAACATTTTTATCTGTATGGAGATCATGATGGAGATGTCTATGCTACTGGTGGAGATGTTCAGATAGCTTTGGTAAGTAAATAGCTTCAAGTTTTAAATTAATCCAGTTATATGTTTGATTCAAGCCTGAATAGAAAAAATGTAATGTAAGAACTGTACTGAATTGGATCAAAGTTTATGTCAGGGGTCCTCAAACTCCCAGAATTCTGGGAGTTGAAGTCCATAAGTCTTAAAATGGCCAGGTTTGAGAACCCCTGGTTTATGTAATCCAGAATTCTATTCCCATGGATTTCCACTTATCCACTTCCAAGCAACTATATTAAAAAATAAATGCCTCTGTTATAAAGACTAGCCATCATGAATCCATAGCCTTTTTCACCATACATTTATCTACTCCAATTCTAAAATGCCACAACTTTTTGTAGTGTATTATACTAGAATCAATATGGAATTGTATGGTACAAGTATTGAAGAAACTAAAATTACAGGTAGTCTTTCCTTACCAATTAACTGCCTTGTTTAGCAATTGCTAGAGATTATGCCAGCACTGAAAAAGTACTTTTACATAACTGTCCCCATTCTTATGGCTGGCAGCATCTCTCTGGTCGTGTGATTAAAATTCAGGCATTTGGCATCTAGCTAGCATCTCATAGTCATGTGATTCCTGCAATGGAAAGGCTGGAAAATTACTTCTGATCATGTGGGTGGCTCAACTTATGTCGGCAAAAAACTTATTACCCTAATTCTGGGCTCAGTTATGATCAAAGTTGAAGACTACCTGTACAGGAGAAGGTGCAGGTGGAAGAAACGGTAAACAAGGGAAGATTTATTTCAGTAATATTATCTAATAATGAGTTAGTTTCAATAAAATTGTTGCCAGGTATAATCCAAAACTTAACAAAAAACGATATTTATGAAGAGAAACTTGAAAAAATATAAGGAAGAGGAGTGTTTGTAGATTAAATTTTCACAAAATAAAATAACTCCGAAAATATCTGATCTTTAAGTAGTACATACCTATAACAAGCAGCTTTTTAAAAACTAATTCTTGTGAGAGAGAAAAATGTTACTTGATAGCAAAATGGTGCTTAGTGCTTGCCATGATAAATATTTGTTATTTTTATTGCTTATTATTTTAATCAATTCTTAAAGAGACAATATAAAATTTATAATCATAAATAAGTTGTGAGATAAAATTAGTACTTTAAAAATGTCTCCCCAGTTAATACATAGTGTTTTAATCTGTAAATATTTATTAGAAAATACACTAATAAATTGACTTAGTAGTTTTAATTTCTACGACAAATAGTTAAAAATGGGAATTTTAAAAATTATGCTATAATTTGTTATTGCATTTAATTACAGGGGAATATAATAGTTTACTTAGATATGTTCAAATTTCAAAGTCTTCATAAGAAAAGATATGAATAAATATATGTAGATATTGGTAATTTTCTACTTCCCTATAAATATATTAATTTTCAGGAGCCTCAAGCATTGTACAATGAAATAAAGATCATTCCAATATGCAAACTTGATCGTTCGGTGTCAGAAGCAGAAGTGAAAAAATATATTAAAGAAGAAATGTCTCGGTAAGTTTCTATAGCTAATAAATAATGTTGTCATTTTGGAAAAAAAAGTAAACACAAATAAAAATATTAGCCTGTCACCCAATTAAACATTATGTTAAAAATTGATTCTGTTAGAGATTTTTAATTTTCTCTATTGGTGAAAAATAAATCAGAAGCTCTCACAGTTGACTGCATTTAGCTGATTCAAATAACTTTATATTTATATAAAAATATTTACAATACCATTCTTCTTTACAGCAACATAGCTTAATTGAAGACTTCTTATAGAGACAGACCAGAGACAGACATGAGACTGGAAATCCAGCTCCTAACTCAATACTCTTTTTGCACAGACTCAGTAGCACTTTCTTCACATTGGCTGACTGAGTTACCACATGACTCTTCCTGTTCATGAATATTCCAACAGATTCATCAAAAACTGACAAGCTGCATAGTTTGATTATATCTGAAATAATATTCTTGAGAGAGAAAATTTTCTCTCATGTGGTGCACTTTTCATTTGTTGAAGCAAGCACCACTTTACATGACATTTTCTTGAATGTTGGTCGATAGTTCTTGCTAAGATTTTATGCAATCAGTAATAGGTTAATATTAATAATTAAATAATACATATTAAACTAAAGACTCCATTGAGTCAAGCTTGATTCCTTGTGACTATACAGACATGACGATTAGCATTGTTTGACTATAAAAGATAAGTTTACCATTGTTTTCTAACAGATTTTTTTCAACTTCCCAGTCTTATCTGTAACCCTGAGATTTTCCCAGTCCCTTCTTATCCAATCATTAACTCACTTTTAGTCTATTTGAGATCACCTGGAGCTGACACACTGCTATAGCCTGCAGTGGCTGAACAAATTACTATATTGTTTATATTTTTTTAAAGAAAATTACCTAAGTAGTTAGATGCATTTTTATTGTCTTGTTAATTTAATTCCTCTGTGTTTTACTTTATTTATTTATTTATGCCATTTATGTAACTATTTCACCAAAGTGATTTTTAACACTTCTTTTCTTGCTAGATTTCCTAACAGTTTGTCAATAACATGGCCTGAAGGAGATGAATTATTACCAAATGAGACTAAGTGTGCAGGATTTAAAATAGGTTAGTATTAATTTCAGAGATAGCTTAATTTCAACTTGTTTCTCATAAATATGTGGATTGCTTGTTATTTCAGTTAGTAATTTAAAACCTGATTCAATTTATTTGTTTTTCATGAATGTTGGTTGCTTTCTTTTTTCCTAAGGAGCTTTAAAAGTTGAAATACTGAATAAAAAAGGCGAGGCTATGCAAAAACTTCCAGGACCAAGTCATGGATCAAAGAAATTACTTGTACAACTTAAGCTTATTTTGCACTGTAAGCATGCAAGTTATATTTTTCCTACATTATTTTAATGGATTAATATATATTAAAATAAGATGCTCAAATTGTTGCCACTATGCTACAACAGTAAATGTAAAGTGCAAAACATTTTGAATTTTGATCACTTATTTATTTAGGTATGTACAGTATGTGGCAGCCCAACTCCCACCCAGAGTTACATGTATTGGCCATATAAATGGAATAAATAAATAATAATGAATATGTTTTAGAAATTTTGCGGGATTTAGAATTTTAATATAATGAACAACATGCAGGTATAATATACAAATACAGATAGTCCTCGATGTATGACCACAATCGAGCCCAAAATCTCTGTTGCTAAATGAGACAGTTGTTAAGTGAGTTTTACCAAATTTTATGACCTTTCTTGCCAACATTGTTAAGTGAATCACTGCAGTTGTTAAGTTAATTACATGGTTGTTAAGTGAATTTGGTTTCCCCATTGACTTTGCTTATCAGAAGGTCACAAAAGGTGATCACATGACCCAGGAAACAGCTGTCATAAATATGAGCCTATTGCCAAGCATCCAAATTTTGATCATGTAGCCATGGGGTTGCTACAACATTTATAAGTGTGAAAAACAGTCATACGTTTTTCAGTGCTGTTGTAACTTCAAATAGTTACTAAATGAATAGTTGTAAGCCTAGTACTACTTGTATTCATTTCCATTTCCATTTTTTGAAGACAAAAATTGCAGTACATTTTACGTGGCATTACAATTTTGCCTTTAAAAAGGGGGGAAATTAAGAGTTAAGTAGTAATTTATGTTTAACCATATTTACATGGATAGATTCTTCTGTTAGTCATCAAACAGATTTAAATAGTTAAAATTGAAAAAAGAAGGCAAATATACATATTAATTTGTGTAACGTTTTGTATTTTGCATAACAGTCTCTTATGCAGTGTATTTCTTTGATAGGTTTTTACAAGTTTCTTGCCTTCAGCCATGTATAATATATATCGTTTCAAGAAATTTAGCCCACAACCATACAAGGATCAAGGTTATCACAAAGTCTCAATAAGTGGATTTTTTATAATTATAAACTTGCCAATATTTTATGAAAACAAAAGTTCTAACTATATGCATAAACATATTTTACAAGTGGTAACTGCTTTGCTTATGCATAGCAACTCCAAGTAATTTTTATAAGGTTGTGGCTAATAAATATGTGAATGGTGTCACTGTTTTATCTTATATTCTTGACATCATGAATACACATTAGTTTAGAATTGGTGGTTAAGGTACCAGGCTAGAAACTGAAAAACTGAGTTCTAATTCCTGCTTTAGGCATGAAAGCTAGATCAGGGAACCCCAGTCCCCGGTCCATGGACCAGTACCAGGCCATGGCATGCCAGCAACCAGTCCACACAAACAAGCAAAGCCCCATCCGCGGGATGCAGGCAGCACACAAAACCAGGCACCCTCCAGCCTGCAGAAAAACATCTCTCCACAGAACCGGTCCCTGGTGCCCAAAAGGTTGGAGGCCTCTGAGCTAGGTGACTGGACCAGTCCCTCACTCTCACCCCAGCTTACCTCACAGGGTTGTTATTGTGGGGAAAATAGGAGGAGAAAAGAGTTTACTGCCTTGAATTATTTATAAAAGTAATAAAAGCAGAATAAAAAAATCTAAAAAAAATCTTGAATGTTTTTATGATTTCATATAATATTGTGCTGTCAAAGTAATGATAATTTGAAAATGAGTGTTAAGAGTTTGCCTTTTATACTACCTTCATGTATCGTGCCAGACAAGGTTGTTTCTTCATTAGCATTTTGATATCATTTCCTCTCTTTTTGCACATTGGTTTTTAGTTCCTGCCTTCCCTTCCTTATTTGCAAGTAAAAGCTTACCCCAGAAAAATGTTTTAAATTTAAAAAAAAATGTCCCAGATTAAAAAAAACTGAACTGAAAAACAGTTTATCCTTATAGGAACAAGCCCATGCTTGAAGAAATATCAGAAACTTTGTAAACACTAACAAATGCTACAGAAAAGACTTTCACTGTTACGTTATCTATTCAGTAGAGTTCTCTCCTAAAATAATATTAATCTATGGCTGCTTTTTAATGCACTTTAAGAAAAAAAATTGTTATTTTAATTCTTAAATGAAAATAGGTTACATTTTCCATCGTTAAATGTTTGAATTGGTTTTATTTCAGCCAACTTACAGATAATCTTGCTTAACAACCTTGATCAGGACTAGAATTTTTGTTACTAAGTGATATGGTCCTTAGACAAAACATAACAAGACTCCACCGCTTAGCAATAGCAGTTTCAGTACTCCTGGTTACAGTTGTTAAGTCAGGACTGTGCGGTTAGGCCAGGAATATATGTTTCTCGTACCCTGCTATGCTTACTTCCATTTCAACTCCCCCCCCACCTGTCTATCTCCCCATATATGCTCTTTTGGCCACCCTGCACTCTACCACCCCTGCTGCCCTGGACCCACTACCCTACATGCCACTACCCCTGTTGCATCGACTATCCCCAACTGACCTCCATCTTCTTTCTCCTGCTGTTGGCAACGTATGCTTGGCCAGAGACAGCGAAGTGCAAGGCGGCCAAATAGCATAGATGGGGTAGATGTGTGTGTGTGTGGGGGGGAAATTGAAGCTCACCTTTCAATTGTGAATGAAAGCAGGGTGCCAGTTGCCCAAATTTTGATCACACGACTGCAGGGCTAGTGCAATGGCCACAACTTTGAGGGCCAGTCATAAATTCCATTCATTCAGCACTATTATAATTTCTACCTATATATTAAAATAAATTGTAAATTACTTTTACAATTTGGTACTGAATTTTTTTTCTTTTGTATTTTAAACCAGCTATATTGGAATGAAATAAGGAATGTACTAATGTCATTAATCCCCTTTATGAATTACTGCCTTGTCGTGGCGAAGGAGCTTGCATAACTCAATGAAGCTATAAGCTATGCCGTGCAGGGCCACCCAAGACGGACAGGTTATAGCAGAGAGTTCTGACAAAATGTGATCCACTGGAGAAGGAAATGGCAAACCACTCCAGTATCTTTGCCATGAAAACCCCATGGACAGTACTAAAAGGCAAAAAGATATGACGCTGGAAGATGAGCCCCTCAGGTCGGAAGGTGTCCAATATGCTACTGGGGAAGAGCAGAGGTCTAGTACTAGTAGCGCCAGAAAGAATGAAGCGACTGGGCCAAAGCCAAAAGGACGCTCAGCTGTGGATATATCTGGTGGTGAAAGGAAAGTCCGATGCTGTAAAGATTTTTTCTCCATAGGAACCTGGAATGTAAGATCCATGAATCAAGGCAAGCTAGACGTAGTCAAAAAAGAGATGACAAGATTGAACATCGACATCTTAGGAATCAGCGAACTAAAATGGACAGGAATGGGTGAATTTAACTCAGAGGACCATCAGGTATACTACTGTGGGCAAGAATCCTCAGAAGAAATGGAGTAGCCTTCATAGTCAATAAAAGAATAGGAAAAGCAATACTGGGATACAATCCCCAAAATGACAGAATGATCTCAATTCGAATCCAAGGCAAACCATTCAATATCACAATATCCAAATCTATGCCCCAACCACTGGTGCTGAAGAGGATGAAATTGACCGGTTCTATGAAGCCCTACAGCACCTTATAGAATTAACACCAAAAAATAATGTCCTTATCATCATGGGGGATTGGAATGCTAAGGTAGGAAGCCAAAAGATAACCGGAATAACAGGCAAGTTTGGCCTTGGAGTACAAAATGAAGCAGGGCATAGGCTAATAGAATTTTGTCAAGAGAATACGATGGTCATAACAAACACTCTTTTCCAGCAACCCAAGAGACGGCTCTACACATGGACATCACCTGATGGTCAACATAGAAATCAAATTGACTATGTGCTCTGCAGCCAAAGATGGAGAAGCTCTATACAGTCAGTAAAAACAAGACCAGGAGCTGACTGTGGCTCAGATCATGAGCTTCTCATTGCAAAATTTAGGCTTAAATTGAAAAAAGTAGGGAAAAGCACTAGGCCACTCAGGTATGAACTAAATCATATTCCTGATGAATATACAGTAGAGGTGACAAATAGATTTAAGAAATTAGATCTGATAGACAGAGTGCCTGAAGAACTATGGATGGAAGTTCGCAACATTGTACAAGAGGTAGCAACTAAAACCATCCCAAAGAAAAAGAAATGCAAGAAAGCAAAATGACTATCTGAACAAGCTTTGCAAATAGCTGAGGAAAGAAGGGAAGCGAAAGGCAAGGGAGAAAGAGAAAGATACACCCAAAAAGATTGCAGAATTCCAGAGAGTAGCTAGAAGAGATAAGAATGCCTTCTTAAATGAACAGTGCAAAGAAATAGAAAAAAACAACAGGATAGGGAGGACCAGAAATCTCTTCAAGAAAATTGGAGATATGAAGGGAAGGTTTCATGCAAAGATGGGCATGATAAAGGACCAAAATGGCAGAGACCTAACAGAGGCAGAAGAGATTAAGAAGAGATGGCAAAACTACACAGAAGAACTATACAAGAATGAGCTTAACATCCCAGATAACCACAAGGAGATGGTCACTGACCTCGAACCAGACATCCTAGAATGTGAAGTGAAATGGGCCTTAGAAAATCTGAGCAACAACAAAGCTAGTGGAGGTGACAGTATTCCAGCTGAGCTATTCAAAATCTTAAAAGACGATGCAGTAAAAGTGCTACACTCAATTTGCCTGCAAATTTGGAAAACTCAACAGTGGCCACAGGATTGGAAAAGGTCAGTTTACATTCCAATTCCAAAGAAAGGCAATGTCAAAGAATGTTCAAATTATCGCACCATTGCACTCATTTCACATGCTAGTAAAGTTATCTTAAAATCCTACAAGCTAGACTCCAGCAGGATGTGGATCGAGAACTACCAGAAGTACAGGCAGGATTTCGAAGAGGCAGAGGAACTAGAGATCAAATTGCCAACATACACTGGATCATGGAGAAAGCTAGGAAGTTCCAGAAAAACATCTACTTCTGCTTCATGAGAAAAGTAGGGCTAGATGAATCAAAAGTTGGAATTAAGATTGCCAGGAGAAATATCAACAACCTAAGATATGCAGATGATACCACAGAAAGTGAAGAGGAACTAAAGAGCCTCTTGATGCGGGTGAAGAAGGAGAGTGCAAAAGTTGGCTTGAAACTCAACATTAAGAAAACCAAAATCATGGCATCCGGTCCTCTCAATTCCTGGCAAATAGATGGGGAAGAAATGGAGGTAGTGACAGATTTTATTTTTCTGGGCTCCAAGATCACCTCAGATGGGGACTGCAGCCAAGAAATTAAAAGATGATTGCTCCTGGGGAGGAAAGCTATGGCAAATCTAGACAGCATACTAAAAAGCAGAGACATCACCCTGCCAACAAAAGTGCGTATAGTCCAGGCCATGGTTTTCCCAGCTGCAATGTATGGCTATGAAAGTTGGACCATAAGAAAGGCTGAGCGCCAAAGAATTGAGGCCTTTGAACTATGGTGCTGGAGAAGACTCCTGCGAGTTCCTTGGACTGCAAGGCGTTCAAACCGGTCAGTCCTAGAAGAGATCAACCCCGACTGCTCTTTAGAAGGCAGATCCTGAAGTTGAAACTCAAGTACTTTGGCCACCTAATGAGAAGGAAGGATTCACTGGAGAAGAGCCTAATGCTGGGAAAGATTGAGGGCAATAGAAGAAGGGGACGACAGAGAATGAGATGGCTGAATGGAGTCATTGAAGCAGTAGGTGTGAATTTAAATGGACTCCAGAAGATGGTAGAGGACAGGAAGACCTGGAGGAACGTTGTCCATGGGGTCGCGATGGGTCGGACACGACTTCGCAATTAACAACAACAACAACAATGTCATTAATGTAGTTACAAAAATTAAAACATGTTAGATTGAGGGAAAGTTAATAGGAGAAAAAAATGAACTGGAATACTAATATATTTGGGAGGCAGGTAAGGTAAATAATGTATAGGTAATTATTGATAATTATAGATAATTCTAATGCATTTGGAAAAAATTTGTATTTAGATTAGAGGCAGGCAGGCAGGCAGGTAGGCAGGCGATACACAATATAAACATATAAAATGTTTGTCTCTCTCTTTTTGTAAGCTCCTGGTGGAAATCAGGAACTCTTTTGTTATATCAGTCATGGAGCGAAATGGTCTTACTGGTTCAAAAAAATGGGTAAGTGGGGTTTTTTGTTTGTTTATTTGACTATATCCCACAGTTGAATAATATTTGATATCTTAAATTTAACATTTATGTCTGATTATATACAGAAAATATTTCTAAGCTTGGAACCTACACGCTAAATCTGCAAGTGGTGTTGAATGAAAGTAATGCAGACACTTGTGCAGGATTTCCTCTTCCATCTAAAACATTTGAATTTCATGTAAAAGGTACGTCTTACCAATAAAGAAGAATATTTGTAGCTCAGGGTTAAAATGAGCGGTCCTTGGTGCTCTCTGAGCTTGCTTGTTTTCTTGCAGACATTTCATTACCCAAACTAGGTATCAATATCAGTGCTAGTAAGGAGTGCAGTTTGCTGTCAGTTTATATTCCAGAACGTTATATGAACTACATTCTAGAATGAAAGGACACACAAATTTATTTGATGTACTCTGTTTTCAAATCTCCTGTTTACTTGTATTAGATTTCATATTTTTTAATACAATCAGATGCACAGTAGGTAATCTTCAACTTACAACTGTAATTGACTCCAGAATTAAGGTTGTGATAATTGTTAAATGGATCACCACCTGACCATGCCTGATTTTACAAAATTTTTATGCCTCTCATTAATCAAACATCATGGTTGTGTAAAAAAATCCATTATATGCAATGTGCAAAAATTGGAAGTAAATGCTGGAAACTGGCAAAAAAAGAATGCTGAAAACTGCAGTCATGTGACTACGGGACCCTGCAAATGGTCATAAATGCAAGCCAGTTGTCAAGCATCCAAAATACTGTCACCTGGCTGTGGGAGGGCTGGGGCTGTCAGAACTTCAAAAATGGATTGTAAGTAGCACTAGGGAGGTCTGCTGTATTTCTAAAGATACGCATCACGAAATTTACCTAATGAAATAGAAATAGCCTTTAATTCAAATAATAGAAATTCTCCTTCATTTTATATATGAGAAAATTATAATTGAAAGTTGATTATGATAGCAAAAAGTGACTAGAGCCATCAATGGTGTGACTGAAAAATTCCAGTCTCAACTAAGATGTTGACTTTTTTTTTTATTTTTCTCAGAAGGCAAACCTCACAAGTTTTCAGTAGGTATTTTGGATCCTCCATTTCGGATAGGGCATCCATTCAATGTTCCTCTAGATGTCCAGGATGCCTTTGGACATTCCACTGAACTGACGGAAGATATTGTACCAGGCCTTGAAGCAAGGTAATAGTTATCTCATTTTTATAACATAGAGAAAAAATTGCTGTTTGACTGTAATTTGATATGAATGCTGGGCATTTTGTGTTTCATAACTATTTATTTTCCTTGTGTTGTCCTAAAATTAGAACATTTTTCTTTAAAATATCTTACATTTCAGCAAATTTCAGAGAAAGTGGAGGGGAGTGGAACGGAATGGAATGAAATGAAAATGCTTCTATCATAGTTATTTTTTTCTGCTCTCTTAATAAAGTGAGAATATATAAAATGATGGATGTGACAAATTTTTCTTAGGTATGAATGGATGATATCATGCAATGATGTGTGACTGTTCTGTAGAGCAAACAGCTGAGGATTCTTTTATCTTGTTTTCTTCAAGGAAATACAATTCCATCTTCTTTTTCTCCTATGTTCTTGTCTCCCTTTAAAAACAAAAACAAAAAAAACCCCTGAATCAATTACAGATAAATAGCTAGATTCGGGAGTATTTTACTCTTGTGTGTGTGTGATAGTTTGCACATTCTGATAAGTCTTTTGGGGGGGGGGGTAATGAAATGTAGATTGGCCTCTCCCTATTGGTTGATCACTGTGTCATTCCTCAGATTGCTGGCATAGCTTGGTTAAAACCTTGACTCCTATATGGCTTTCTGACTTGATAATCAGAGTACTGAGCTAACTTCATCCTTTAGTGTTAGAGGTACAGTATATGTAGGTAGGGAATATCTTTTATGTTGGATATTAATCTTTCTACTGAGGGAAGTTTCAGTATACTCTTTCCATCTTCTGATTTTCTTTGAATTGGTTACTGTCTATCCACTGGCATAGCATACCTCCAGAGATCAGAGATCTTTTGAAGAACTTATTTTTCCATATTTGCTTCCATCTTCAATTTCTTTATGAATATTATTTAAATACTGCTTCTCATCTCTTCTAATAGCTCTCTGAAATTCTTTGTTAAGTTCCTGAGATGTTTGTTTCCCTTAGTTTTGGCTTTTCTTGTCTTGGCAATTTCCATGGGTTGTTCTGATATCTAGTTTGCTTTCTTCTCTTCATTTTGGGAAGTCTTTTTTCACATTCATTCTTAATAATTTCTTGAGTTCATTCCATAATTTGGTTCTTTAACAATCAGATTCAGGATTTAAAGGAGGATTTGGGATTTGGATTTGGAACCTAAGCAGCTTTCTTCTTCTTTAACTTTACTTGGAACTTGTACATGAGCAGTTCCTGATATGTTCCACGGTTAGTACTCAGCCATGTCTTTGGTGATATAATTGAGCTCCTTTACCTCCTTCCAACAATAATATAGTCAATTTTATTTGTATGTACTCCACCTGGGGATGTCCACATATAGAGGGATTTTGGTTGTTTGACAATAATGTTATTATGAAGTCACAGAAATGCAGACATTAATAAGATGGTCTCTTGTTCCATTTTGGTTTCCTAAACCATACAATCTAACTACATTTTCCTCTTTCCAGTTTCCAACTAGTCACCAATCACAACATATCTTGCTGGCAATTTCCATTGATTATAAATTGAATTTGATCGAGTAAATAATCAATCTCTTCTGCATTGGTGCTTGGAAGATAAACTTAAATAATCATATTAAGGAGCCTTGGTGGCACAGTGGTTAGAATGCAGTACTGCAGGCTGACTCTGCCCACTGCCAGGAGTTTGTCCTGACAGGCTCAAGGTTGACTCAGCCTTCCATCCTTCCCAGGTTGGTAAAATGAGGACCCAGATTGTTGGGTGCAATATGCTAACTCTGTAAACTGCTTAGACAGAGCTGTAGAGCAGGGCTTTTCAACCTTTTCAGATTGTACCATTTTAGGACATGACAATATTTGAGTACCACTAGTGCTTAGCAAGGTGTCAAAAACTTGATGACTAAAAAAAGAGGGGGGATTTTGGGTTTTACTGATTAGATTCATTTGGTGTTATAGAAATGGCTAGTTTATAATATTATGGGAAAGTAAAAAGTTGAGGTTCAATGTTAATGCTTCCTTTTGCTGCAACAGAGGAAATTGTTCTTTTTCCCTTCTCCCCCTCACTTTCCCCCCCTTTTTCCTCCTCACTGTGTCCTACTATTTGCTTTTGTATTTTTCTATTTTATTCTATGAGTCTAATAAAGTATTACAAACTGTAGAAAAAAAGGAAAAAAGTACTAGTTTTAATTTCTTCGGTGGCTGTTCTTTTGCTGAATCACTTTCCCTTTGCACTGAAAAATGTATGATGAATTTATCCGTGTTTATTAATATGCACCACTACCAGCTAGCTCAGGGGTTTTCAAACTTGGTCCTTTTAAGACTTGTGGACTTCAGCTCCCAGAATTCCTCAGCCATCATGGCTGGCTGAGGAATTTTGGGAGTTGAAGTCCACAGGTCTTAAAGTTGCTAAGTTTGTAGACTCCTGAGCTAGCTGGTCGGCCATTCTTCCTCTCTCCCTTCTGAGCTCTTTCCACAGTGTAGTAAGAATGCACACACACATACATGTCCCTTCCCTGCACCCTTAAAGACACAGGAATCAAGTGCAAAGCAAGAAAGACTCACACAATAAAGAAACACATAACCTCCATTTTTTTTCTTTAAGCTGCCTCAGGCATGTCATGTGTCACAATGTTGCAACCTAAGACTGAAAGGCTCTGGCAATTGCAAAAAGCTTTAGCCTTAAAGCTAAAGCTTTACCTTCAATGAAAACTTTCTAAAATCCATAGACAGACTCAAGATAACGGGGTAAAACTAATTACATTTGTTTAAAGGGATTAAACCTACAGAAGTCAACACTTTGGACTCATTGCTAGCCTAAAATACAGACTAAAATATTCCAATAACCAAAGCACACAAAGGAGCCTCTGAATTACAAAACGCTGTAAAAACTGTACAAAAATCCTTATGGTAACCCAATCAAGCTGCCAGCTGATCCAGAACTAAATAAACCCACCTCCTTTTCGACATGCTCATCTGCTGGCTTTTCATTTCATCGGCGCTCATTGCATTCTCCTGGCTGGAGAAAACGAACCAAGGGATTTTTTCTTCCAGTAACAGCTGCTGCTTCTTCCCTGTCCCTGTTTCCTTCCTGCCTGCTGAGCTCTCCTTCTCTTTCCCTGTTGTCTTTTTTTCCCTTCCCCTTTCCTGCTCTCCTCTTCTCCCTCCCCCTTTTTCTTCAGTTCACCTCCAGCTCCATATTTCTTCTGGAAGTGCCAATCATTTGGAGCCCTGCCAGTTCCTGGGGCTTCTGCCACGCCCAGACAGTCCTGCCGCTACCTCTTCCTCAGGCTTGGGTCACTTTGGCTCATTCCCCACTCCCACTACATTTTTCTAGGATAGTCGCGTACCACCTACCACGTGGCAAAGTACCACAGATGATATGGGTACCACCGGTTGAAAAGCCCTGCTATAGAGCACAGTGTAGCTGTATATAAGTCTAAGTGCTATATTAAAGTTTGTCCTGTATTAAAAGGTTGCCCTAGAAAACGAACCAATATTATTCAGTCATTGACTACTGTAGCTAAGTACTATTCTTGCTATTTCCTTCGTAACTATAAAAGCAACACTATTTCTTCTTTGTTTTTCATGTCCTGATTAAAAACTGACTGAAAGTGTCTCATCCGAGTCCATCTGAACTCACTGATACCTAAGATATCAATTTATAGTCATTTCATTTCATCTTTTACTGTGTTGAGCTTTTCTGTATTCATGCTTTTCAAATTGTACATTCCTACTGCAATTCTATCTTTGTTAACTTCAGATTTTTTTTTCTTATATGGAACTTATATGTAACTTATATAATACCATGAGTACTCAAAAAAATCCTCAGCTCTTCCTCAGTAGGATGTTGAGTGCTATCTAATCTGAGGGGCACATCATACCAGCAGTACATTGTCCATCATTTTGTATTTTCTATCTATGTAGTTTTCTTGGTAAAAGTACAGGAGTGGTTTATCATTGCTTTCTCCCATGCATTATGAATTGATGCGGGGGGAGGAGGGACAGCTCAAAGGTCCTTCCCACTATTAATGATATGAATGTTTCTCCAGTACCATAAGAATGTTTCAGTCATGTTTCAGAAAATTTATCATTTTTCTCTACAAAATATTCTTGTTCTAATAAGACTAAGCCATACAGAATCACTTTTGCAAAGTCTCCAAATAAATCAAGAATAAGTATAATTAAGAGAAATCCTATTTGTAATGTATTATTGCCATCTTGTGGTCTATTCAGACATTATATTGTCATATGAGATTTTTCTTTTTCTCTTTTATCAAATTGCAGTTCAATCATTCAACACTGAATGTTTACATTTTGAGTGTTTAAAATTTAATATGTTTTTATAGTATCTTCTTTTAAAATAAAGCTTTTATTTGTTTATGTCTTGTGAGATTTGTCTGTTTCTCAAAAAGACGAATTGAAGGGTTAAAACTTCCAGCCACTACAAAGCCAGACACTTTTTTTTCTCATTTTTACCTTTCATTACCTATAACACAATACAGATTGTGAGGACTATATCTCTCACACATGCTATTTGGTCTCTCAGAGATTAGTCTCTCAGAGGAATTAGAGAGAGAAAATTCTTACTGAAATATAACCATTTATCTCATAAATGATAACTAAAATTAAAATTGCAACTGTTATTGATCTCCATTGATTTTAAGTTTTATTTTGTAGTGGTCTAACATTACAGTATGAAGAAATAACAAGAAGACCAAATTGTGTCATTAAAGGCATAATTGCTTCAGGCCTTGTAAATAATTACCAAGGCAAGGTAAGCTAATCTTTTTCAATACAAAATGATTTTTTTTAATTATCTAATTAATGGGTAGTTTTAAAATAGAATTTGCAGCTATCACAACAAACCTTTTATTCTATTTTATTCTATTACTAAAGCATTTAAAGCTGTTTGCATACCTGTTCAGTTAAACTGATTTTGATAAATTATGAATCTAAAGTAGTGGCATGCCTTTCAAATGATGGGATAATCTGAATATAATTTGAAGCAGAGTTTGGAAGGAGCTAAAAAATCTCTATTCAATAGTTGCGGGTATTCAGTAATATGTACTACAAGTAAAGATGCAAACATATGCTTACGTAATTGCTTTTTAAGAATATTCACTATAAGTAGTAAATAGTCAAACACAGTTGTATTGTTGTTGGTTGCATAATCAGTTAAATATTTATACTGGATTTCATATGTTTCCCAAGGACCTGAGATAGACAAGTGTTTAATTATTATTATATCTTATCATTTCAATAGAATTTTAGTCTAAAGATCACTCTTCCTGGTCTAAAGGAAGAATCTCAAGTTTTGAAAATTAAACTTCTCCCAGGTAAGTAAAATATTTGAAATGTATGAAAGCATGGGTTGAAAATGACATTAATGATTTACAAAGAGAAATACATTTTAGATACATTAGAATCCAATTTTGGCATAGATCAGATCAATGGTTTTGTGGTTTTGTTTTCCTGGCCAATTAACATGAACATAGCACAAAAAGCTGTACTGAATTTCAAGAGAATAAATTGAATATGAAAAAACTGAGAGTCTGATTTGTCATATTTTAGGAAAAAAATAAGTGTAAGGATTTTAGAGGAGAGTCAGTTTGGTATGGTATTAAAGGTATCAGGCAGAAACTGATGGATGGGCTGTGAGTTCTAATCCTGCTGTAGGCACAAAGCTAGTCACTCTTTTTCAACTCAAGGAAGGAGATAAAAAGAAAATCCTAAATTTTGTCAAGTAAACCTTAGGGATTTGTCCAGGCAACAGCTAGGAGTCAACACTTACTAGATCTCACATACACATGTATTTTGGACTTAAACCTTCAGATTCTTTTTTACTTTTTGAAAAACTTGCCTTTGACAATGTCTGGGCAATGAGAAGCTTTATCTTTGTTCAGGTTTACTGTGAGAGAAAGGACTAGAAAATGTTGAACCATATAGAACTCTGGAATGCTTAAACACTATATTAGCATTTTTTTAAAAAAAAATGGAATTGGTAACATTCACTAAAAGAGGTCTTTTTATTTTCAAATGGTCCCTAAAATGTTCCAGTTATTTTATATGACAATTTGAAGTGAACTAATACCAATGAGCATTCAGCATGCTCTTTCACAAAATATAAATGTTTTGCCACTGCTGCCATCTTTTTGGCTGTAAGCTTTTAGCACAGTTTACAGCCTAGGAATTTTCATGTAGTTTCCTCCAAAGCACTGTGTATGGGATATTCTCAATAGTCCCATTCTATTCGAAAGCATGAAAAAGACAGCAGAATGTAGTAGAACATCCTCTATAATTCCCAGTTTTAGAAGCAGGGCTGAACCTCTAGGTCAGTGGTTCTCAACCTTTTTAATGCTGCGACCCCCAACCGGTTGTAAGTCGAGGACTACTCAACTGGTGCAGCACTGTTTGCAGAATGGGACTTTTGGCGGGCTCAGCAGGGCAGAGACAGCCTGGACAATTCCTATTGGCTTTTGAAAGCCAATACAATTAGACTCTATTTAAGAGAGTCTATTCTATTGGCTTTCAAAAGCCAATAGAATAAAAGGGAGTAGCACAGCTAAAGAAAAAGGGGGAAAATGGCAGACTGCATTGTTTGGCGATCCCCATGAAATGGTCGTTGGACCCCAAATGGGGTCCCGATCCACAGGTTGAGAACCACTGCTCTAGGTTGAAAAGTTGGGGATCTCATCTCTCCTGTCCCAGAAGACCGCTGGTTTTTATAGACCCCGGACTCACCTTTCTGCCTTGGTATGGCTATTTTGTAATTATTGTTGCCACAAGCTAATTGCTGAGAAGATGTGTTTACCTGGTGTCGTTCCTCTTAACTCTGGTGTGAGATATAACAAGAACTCACAGCCTACAGTTTTATTTGTTAGTATGAAAGAAAAAAAAGTTTCTATAGTATTTCCTCATGGCTTTAAAGTATACGGCAATGGAAAACAATCATCTCCCTAATTTGCTTTGGCAAAATAGAGTAACACCAAATATAATTTAAACATTAACTTTACTAAAATATATAAAAATGAAAATGTAAAATGTCTTTTTAACTTTAAGTTATCATATAAAAATTATTACTGGAAAAATAAAAATAGAGGATTAACTGCATTGGCTTGCATATCTAGTCTGTAGTTTATATTGTATTGTTTATGGCCTGAATATAATTTTAAAAATTGATATTTTCAAAGTTTCCTTGTTAGTTTGTTTTTTAACATTTTTATTTATTTATAACATTTATTGGACACTCATCTTACCTCAAGGTAACCCTTTTAATGCTGGTAGCAACAAGTTAAATGTCAGTTTCTAACCTCCAACAGGCCTTCCTTGGCAACTAAATGTAAAAACAGATTCTGATGTCTTGACACTTGAGAATAAAACAGCTTTATCTTTGCATGTTGAAGTATTGGATGAAGTGGGCAACATAACAGCCCAATCAAAACTACATGTTCAGTGCACGGTAGGCAATGGCTCTCAAATATAATTGTTTATATTGCTGAAAATAACAGTATGGAAATATTCTGTGATTTCAACTCTAGAATGTAGATGTTGATATTGTGGCTAGAGTTTTATGTTAATAACCCATAGCATATGTATTTATTAGGAATGTCATCTTTTTATAGGAATAAACCATTGCTACTTCATATTTGTAGTCTGTTTTAAGATTTTGTTCTAAGACATCTATGCTATCTTGTGACTTGAATGGGCCATAACCTTAATTGAAATTATTCTTGATTATATTAGTTTTTTGGAGTTCCAGGCCTTCCTGTATATACTGCAGATTGCAGCAATACTGGCAAAAATGAATTAACTGGACCAGCTCTGCACATTCAAAATATAAAGAAAGTTCAAATACTTAAAGCAAGAATTGAAATACCAGTAAGTTAAAGATAATCTCCCTCTTCTCTCCAGGGCTCTAGAACCCTTGAATACTCTTTTCTCTGTTTACTGTCAATGCTTTTGGCCTATGTGAGGTGTTTTTTTTTTTTAAAAAAAAAAAAAGCTGATAAAGCATAGTCTTTGTTAAGCTGATAAAGCATACAAAATGTTTTATAGATGGCACCTTGATCCACAAAAAATGTCTCATATGTATCCTGACTTACAGCCTAAATGTTGGAGATGTGGTTGTTTGGATGCTACTTATTATCATATTTGGTGGTCGTGTAAAAATATAAAAGCTTTTTGGATTAAGATATGGTGGAATATTCAAAGAATTTTTAGAAGGAGGGTAAAATTTACCCCACAATTGTTTTTGTTGGGTATTGTTACTGATTGTGATGTTAAGGAGGTTATACTGATGTTAAATTTAATCACAGCCGCAAGGTTGTTAGTAGGGCAATACTGGAAGAAGGAATCTTTGCCTACCTTGCAAGAATGGTTTTTTAAAGTTTCTTATTTGGCGGAAATGGCAAAGATTTCGGCTTTTTTAAAGGATCAATCGCAAGAGAAGTTTTTTGCGGTATGGGAAAAATGGATAGATTTTATACAACATAAGTTGGATATAAAAAAATATTACTTAGTTTTTCAATAACCTATATATAAATTTTAATATTTTATAGATTGTATTTTTTTTCTTTTTTCTCTTCTCTTTTCTTATATTTTTTATTGTTATCTCATCTTATTTTACTTCTTTATATATATATATATCTTTTCTTCTTTCTTTTTTCTCTTATTCTCTTTCTTTTTAAGTAATTTTTTTTCTCTTCTTTTTAATATTTATGTTTTTTTTTACATATATATTATTGTTAATTATCTTATAAGCTTAGGTAATGTATTTAGATATATTAATGGTTTATATTTTTTTAATTTTTTTTAAGATTTTTAGAAATTTTAATCAAGCCTATATTCAGCTCTGGGAAGGTGGGGGGGATGGACTGGGAGGGTTGGGGTGGTTGGGTAGGGTTTTTTGTTTTTTTATTTTTTTTTCTCCTTATTTGTAAAAACTTTTAAAAATTTTCAATAAAAAAAAAGCTGATAAAGCATAAAATAGTCTTTGTTGTGGATATTTTAATTTCTTTTAAGATTATAGGTGGTATTCAGACACGAAAATCATGGGGAACAAATATATGTAATTTCTTAGACTAGTCCCTAATATATTAAAGAACAAGTTGTATTAACAGCTGAAACAAAAATCTTTGAATCTTGAATTCAGTTACGGTAATTTTGTACAAGCATATATCTACAAGTTTCATCTCAGTCATGGCTTTTATAATAGGGAGCAACAGCTAGTAAATTGCACGTGAACATTATTTCAGTTTACCAGTAAATTTAATAAGGCAAGATTTTTATAGCTAAATCTCTTATTAGATTGGATGAACATTGCAACCATAACAAAAAGAAGTGCTAAAACCAAAAAATGTAATTTTGAGAGTTTCGGGGAGTATGGCAGACTAAGATGGCTTCACTTTTAGCCAAGCAGATGATTGCAGTAGAAAGTAAAGCTGGTAAAGGAACTAGCTCCCTGAATTTCTCTCTGGAGAAAGAAACAACTTGGGATCAGCCACAGGCTCCTTATAGATGCTCCATGTGACAGGCCAGCAAATTAGCAATTTCCAGCAGGTATAAGAGCTCCGAGAGTCAGAAGAGACAGCTTTGCCTAAGCTGTGGTTGGAGCCTTTTATAAGGATGCTGTGTTTGTTCACCACTCTTCTAAATCGCTTTTATTGGAAGTAGCTTATAAATTACTTTTTGGACATTAAGAACTTCCAAAAGTATAAGTTTTATTTTACTGGGTGATATTTCTCCAACCCGCAGTGAACAATTTATATAAGTTTAAAAGAAAAACCTTTTTAAAATTTGGAATTAAGCAGTTAAAGGCAATTAGAATGTTGATTTTAGGGAAAAATTAACTGGAACAAGAGGTCAGATTGAGTGGAAATAAGACATTGGAAAAGTTAGAATATTGCTTGTTGTTTGTATAAAATCCTATTAAACTATATGAGGATCTAAGTTTTAGTGTAAGAAATCCTTTCCTGAGAAATTTGGATGAGAGAAAAACATAAGAGGAGAACTTGAAGACTGGTTATGGATGCAATTAGAAATAATTAAAGATTATAGTTAAAAGAGAATTCCCACTAATATAGAATGGAGAAAAATATTTTGACCCTGGAATTTAAGAATACTTGGCAACAATGTACCCCAAACATACTCTTTAGACCAAGCATTCAAACTCACGACATCACATGATGTCGTGCGACGTATTGCAACTTTTTCCCCATTGCCAGCAATGGGGTGGGTGTGGTTTTGCCCATGGGCCGGCAGTTTGACATGCCTGCTTTAGACTGTCAGATACAATAAAAATGATCTTAAAAGAAGACATTGAAATTAATATAACCGAAAATCAGTCTGTTTTAGATATGATTTAAAATGAATGGATGTGAGAATGTTATATAAGACCAACTAACGAAACTGGCTGAGGTTTCAATAGTTAAAAAACAGACCCAAATACCTATATCAAAAAACAACTTTGATACCTATATTTTAACTCAGAAAAGTGACTTGAATAACTTTCTTACTTCTGATTTGCAAAAGAGAGGTTTTATCTTGAAGGAATTCCTGAGAAAAGCAAAAGAGAGAAGAAACCAACAATTTGGACATTAACTAAAAGGAATAATCCAGATCTCTAAAACTAAGATTTACAAAGTGGGCCTATTTGGTCAAGATTAAACTGCAGGATACGTTTCGCCTCTTTTCTAACAGTTTTTAAATGGTTTTTCTTGACTAGGACTTAATATTGAGATATTAAAATTGTTTTTATGGGGAAGATATAGGAAGAAGAATGTTTTGTTGTATTTTTAGAAGAAATAATAAGTTATGATATTATAATTGAGTAGAGATGAAGAGAAGATGATAAATTAATTTGTGGAACCTCAGTTGAAGGGAGTAAATATTAATATTTTCAATTTGTTGTTTCTAATAATCAGTGGAATTTTACTTAATTACGTTTGAATGATGAGGTTTTAAAGATTTGTTTATATATATTAGACATGGACTTTTGCTGATTTAAGATTGAAAGATTTTTATTATTTGCCAATAGATAAAAGATGAGTTATGAAATGAAGAGAGTTTTGATTGAAATAGATATTAAGCTACCGTATATGCCGGCGTACAAGGCGACCCGGCGTATAAGACGACCCCTGTCTTTGTCGCCGAGTCGCATTCCTAGAACATCGTCTTATACGCCGGAAACTACCAGTATTTCTGGCGTATAAGACGACTCGGCGTATAAGACGACCCCCATCTTTGGCGCCGATTTTAGCACTTGCAGAAGTCGTCTTATACACCGGCATATACGGTATTAAAAATGTTTATAATTGTTTGGATAAAAGAGGAAGTTAATTCTTTTTATATCATTGTGTGGGTATGTTTTTGTACTTTCTATATTTTTTCTTGTTTATAGTATTTTTATCTTTGTAATTTTAAATTTCAATAAAATATTATATAAAAAACTTAATCTTTATTTTTAAAAATAAAATTTATTATTTTTTCTTTTGGAAGAAAAGCATATAACCATAGCAATTGTAACTGATGCTGTTAGGAACAGCATATTTAAAAAACCCCAAAGTAGTGGTTTCTTAGTTGTATTTTGATACATTATATAGATTTTATATTAAACTAGCTGTACCCAGCCACGCATTGCTGTGGCTCAGTGTGGTTAAATGGAAAAGAAAGAAAAGAGAAAGCACACGTTTGTAATATGTTTAATTTCACAATGCTTGTGGGTATACAATATTTTTTGTTGTTCCATTGTGTGTGCAGATATAGAGATTATGTCCAACAGATGGCGCTGTTTTTCCAAAAAAGCATGTTTTTACCTGTCACAGGTGTGACATCTATATAATATAGGTACATAAAAATGCGCGTATTCGAATGCAACATGTCAAAATTTCAAAGCAATCGGTGAAGAACTTTCAGAAATTTAAGATTTTGAACAAACAAACATTTACATTTTTATTTATATAGATTATATTTTATTTTAATATTGTAAATATTCTTAGTGTAATAACTATTATTAATTAGGTTTAATGAGGTAAAATATTGTTATACAGCTTTGAAAAGTCAATTTGTTTTTCCTTGTGGTATTTCTTTTTGTTTTTATTGCTAGAGTTGTAAAAATGTGCCCCCAGTATCCAAAATCATTAAACTGCTTCCTAGTAGCTATGCTGCAAGACTGCAGGTTTATTGCACTGAAGAAAAAAAAGTTATTCAGATTCGAAACCAGGAAGAAATTAACCACGTTGCAGGTGATGTGCTAAAAAATCTTACTTTCCATATGTATGATGAGGGAGAAAAAGAAATCATAATAACTCCAGCTCTAGCTGAAAAATTTAAAGTAAGTATGGACATCTCATGTGAATGTAATTATGGAAATGTGTCTAGAGATGTTCTTATTAATTTGTTTAATTAATAGCTCTAAATTTTCTAAGCAAAATAGACTGTGGAACAATTACTTAGGCTGACTACCGTACTTTCCGGTGTATAAGACAACTTTTGCAAGCGTTAAAATCAGCGCCGAAGTTGGGGGTCGTCTTATACGCTTAGTCGTCTTATATGCCGGAAATAACGGTAGTTTCCGGCGTATAAGATGACTTTCTAGGCATGCGACTCGGCGCCAAAGTTGGGGGTCATCTTATACACCGGGTCGCCTTATACGCCGGAATATACGGTATATCTTTTGTAATGAATTAATATTTGTGAAACTTCGAGGAAAGAAAAAAAATAGCAGCTCAGCTTGCTCTCTTTTTTGTCCACATATAGATCTTAGAAAACTCTACTTTTGTTCAAATTTCTGAAATGCTCATTCTTAAATGTTACTATGGAATATGAAGAGCTAGTCTTTAAAGAATATCGAAAGCTGACTATTAGGGATATGCTTAAAAGGACATGCTTTTTTGAAGTCCAAAAACAAACCTTTTTTCAATTTACTGCAGTTCAGCAGAAACATAGGTTTTCAACGTTACTTTATGGGATGAGTAAGGAAAACTGATGCCTATTCCCCCCTCCCCCATCTCCTTATAAGGTTGCATTTTCCCCCTCCTTTTGACCTTGGATGCATAATTCTATGAGTCTCTGTGGTATCTGTAAACCTCCAAAAGCTCAGCAGCTTTAAGGCACAATCAGCAGGTACTGAGAGGATATTAATTCCAGATCTGAAGCATATTTGCATTTCTGATCTTGATATCACCCACTAGCCTTTAACTGGGGGAAGCAGTGCATCATAGGTCAACAACTTTTGGATGAAGGTTCCTCAGATGGGCTAATTTACAGAATGCATTCAAAATCCAGAATCCATGACTCCTGTGGAATTAAAATGTGGCAAAAGTTTGGTTGCTTCAGCACTGCCATGTTGCTGCATCACTATCCAGATATTTGGTAGATCAGTCCTTCCTAGCTTCCAGAGGCCAGGTAGACTGCTTCCTCCATTGGCCACTGGAGATCAGGTAGACCAGTTCCACTCTAGCCATTACACACTCCTGCACACCTTCCCTGATACTCCCCGTGCCTCCCTTAAGCCCTCATGTACCTACTCACATCCTTACACCTTCCTCATGCACCCCTAACCTGAAAATTCCTTAAACTCCCAATTCCTACATGAAGAACATGTGGTAGCCATTCACAGTCATTCATGCCTTTTGTCATCTTTCACTTGGATTACTGCAATACATTGTACTTGGGGTTATATTTTGTATATATGATTTTTTTGCACACTTTATGAGCAGACGACTTTAATTGCTATAGTAAAGAAACACATGGACTATGAAATGGTTCACCTTTCTTGAAAAATACTTTTCGTTAATTATTTCAAACAGTTTTTATGGCCTACCATGAAAGCATTAGATTGGGAACATTACACTTATTTAGAGTTGAATGTGCATAGTTTTTGGATATTCAGAAATAGCCCCAATAAAATATATTTGCTTATATTAAATTGAAGCAGTTTTAGTTCAGTCATTAACAGTCAGGGGTTCATGGATTTCCGGTAAAAAAAAAATACATAAGAACAGGGAAAATGTTATTTTTCTAGTATTAAAAGCATTTTTTATCTTAGATAAGCTGGAGTCCAAAGTTTAATAGCAAACAACTGATCAAAGGATTGCTACCTAATGTGAAAGTTCCAACATCTGTAAACGATGAAAGCTGTTGTCTACTTACCTTCAATGATGAGCATGTGTCTTTGTCAACTTCATTTGTGGTCAGGTTTGTACTTTTTCTTCAATCATGTTTCAGTAATGAAACTGTAGCTTTTCCTGCTGGACAAAATACTGTTATTGCCAACTATGCCTTTTGTTTATACAGACATACAGTATGAATATTAAGAAAACATTCTATATATTAACATATATAAATGTCACACCTGCCCACATCACCACATTTGGGGTGCTTGGCTGCCTGCTCACATTTACAACCAGTTGCCAACTGCCTCCACAATCATGTGATTGCTGTTTGCAGTCTTTTCTGGAAAAGATCAGTGTTCAGGAGGACGATCAGTGTAGCCTGGAAGATTGTGCCTGATAAGTAGAAAGTATTCTACTTTTAAAGCACAGAATCTTTTTGGGTCTCAAGCCACAAGTTCACTTTAGGAGGAGGAAAAGAGATGCTTTAACAGAAAGCACAGGATTATGGATTAGTCCCACATTGATATGTAATTTACTCCATTGTAATGTTTGCAATTATTCGGATGAAGAAGCTCAAAACTTCCATGTAGTCACAATAATGCCAAAATAACAAAACATGTATCATGACAACAGAATGCATGGTCTGTTCTTTTGTATTTGTAGCAGAGTGTCACATGCAAAGTATACAAGGGGTGGAGTTTGCATTACAACATCACAATATATGTTCTGTCATTTCTCCCTCCCCCCACTCCCTTTCTGCAAATGTCACTACTCAAATCCCAGTAAAGATAATTGTACAAAGTATGAATAATATGAAATTTATCACTACTTCCTTAAAATAAGTATATTAACCTCTCACTGTTTATTTCACTAGACCACTTGCTGATGAGCCAAAACTTATCAAATGCAAAATTAAAGGATCAGATATAATAAAAATGGGTGAAAAGCTGCAAGATGAAATTGGTATGTATGTGTAACTCTTAACACTTTTAATTAACACCATGCTAGTACCATGGCAATCTTCAGCAGCTTTATATATTCACCAACTGCAGCCCTGCTGCTTTTATTTACTTAGACAGTTCTCAGGAGATTTGAGTTTGAATATATCCCTGTTGTGCAAAGTAAATCTACATTTACATTTGGCCCACATTCTGATTCGATTCAGTGCTGTTAGATTTGCATTAATGGTATGATGGGTAAGATTCTAGACTTCTGTTACATTTAGACTATGAGATAGAATATTACATTGTAATTTTGTTTGCATAGACTGAAGCATTAAGCCCATTTCAGATCTTGAATAAGCATGAAATCAAACTACTGTTGTATTTAGCATCAAGGAGGACTTAAGTTTTATGTAGAATGTAGTTTGCAATAACATATTATAAATATGTAATATTTTAATCTGTTTTGTAACTCTAATGTGCTCTACAGTATATTCATAACTTGTACTTTTTTTTATATAAAAGAGATAATGATTACAGATCAGCATGGAAATCAGATTAAGTCCCTGACATCATCTTGTATGGCTGACTTGAAGATTTCTGGGAATGGTCTGGATAAATCATATTTGAAAACTTTTTGGCAGGTATTTTTAATGCCCCACATTATATAGCATTTATATCCATTAAAATATTTTTTTGTTTTAAAGAAGTAGGGAGAGGAGTTTAAATCGCTATCCCTAAAGCAGCTTACAAGTAGTTCTTGACCTACAATCATTCATTTAGCAGCCATTCTAAGTTATGACAGTACTGAAAAAAGTATTTTGCAACTGTTCCTTATACTCATAGCACCCGGCAGTGATGTGATCATAAATGCAGCCGGCATGCATTTATGACAGTTACAGTATTCCAGGAATATATGATCACCATTTGTAACTGTCCCATCCAGCTTCCAACAAGCATAGTCAATGAGGAAAAAACTGGACTCACACAACAACTATGATTCACTGAAAAACAATAGCTATAAAGTTCATCAAATGGGTGTGACAACTCACTTGATCATGTGATGACTCACATAATGACCACATCTCTGAACAACAGTAATAGACTTATTACAGCTAGATGAATATTAAGAGATGGCTAGAATGCCATCTAGGAAAACTATTTTATTATTCCCTAAATTGTGTTAATTGGGTTCTCTTTATCTACTTTTAGGACTTTGTAGAAAACCAATCACATTTCAGGTCACATTTATATAAAAATACTGAATATTTTAAAAGATTCACAAACTCCTGAGCATCACTGTATGTAGAATGATATATTTGTCACTAGACATTGATCCAAATATCTGTGAAACAGATTATAACTCTTGTCAACATACGTAATTCCTGGGCCAAATTTAGCATTAGATTTTTCAGTCAGTTGCCTGAAATATGCAATAAGTATATTCTTGCTATGCTTTTACAATCAGCTCATTTCCCCCCATAAAATCCTATTAAGTTTCCTTTATCTCTTATTACATATTTTTATAGCAAAATACACAAACTATTTCTGTCAAAGGAATTATGTTTGAACCAGGCCGACCAGAAGTTAAAGAACTACATGTTGCTTGGCGTGATTTTTCTGATTACATGAAGTTAAAATTGATTGCTGGCCCTCCAGCTAAATTAGTTCTTCAGGACTGGATAGAACCAGAGAAGGTAAGTCAATGCCATATGATATAATACCAAATGATGCTACGCTAACAATTGATTTTGCGAATCTATAAAACTTGAGAGGTGAAGAGTTTATTAATTATGCTTGAAAGTTTGACAGATTATCAAGTATAAAAGTGAACACTGAAACAAAACTTGTAATTTGATTTATATTTACAAGTAATTAATGAAACAGTATATCATGCTATGTATTCTACATAATTCTAAATAATAATCTTTGTTTTTTTTTCTAGCCTATATCTGTAATTAATGGCAAAGAATTACCAAAGGCTATTATAATCCAGCTCTGTGATCAGTGGAATAATCCATCTGCTGAATCTAATATCACAATCACACTTTCAAAACATAGTAATATAAAAGTAAGTGAAACTTGGTCTTCCCATTACAACTTCCTTATTCATTTAGTAAATTTACATTCCATTTCGGAGCACTCTATAACTTTAAACTCAATTATCTTAAAAATAATTCTTATTTGCTTTAAATACTTTGGGATCCTATCATACATTATTATACAAAATATTTACAACATATTCAGAATATTTTGGATAGATACATTGCCACTTGAAGATTGTTAATTTATACTTGGATTATTATTCTTATTAATATATGTGCCAGATAGTGTTGTCACAATCTATACTGTAGTCAGCAAGTTCTTTAGTTTAATAAAGAGGGAGGAAATTGACAGCCTCAATTTACATACTGTTGCTAGTTGTCCTTCCACTCTCTTCTAATGACAGAAAGGCTGGAACCAACAAACTGTGGTTCTGCAGAAATGGGGAACTTCTGGAACCAGCCCTAGGATGACTCCTCGCGGCCAGCTTGCTGCAGCTGGCTCACCCCAGACAACTCGCCACAACTCGCTGCAAGATAAATCAACACAAGATAACTTTACTGTTATCCGCCACTGTTTCTTCAACATTATTTTAATTTTTTTCACATTTCGTTTTGTCCCTCCTTTAACATCCTTTCTTTAATTATTCTATTCCACCATTTCTTCAATGAAGCGGGTTGGTCGCATCACGTTGTCCCACAGCAAGTTGATCGGGGTGAGTCGGCCAGGACAAGATGGCCAAGGCAAGATGGCCATGGCAAGTTATCCCATTCCATCTGCAACCATAGAGTTTGATTGCCCATATAGTCTCCTAAAGTTTATTTCCCATGACCTCTTATTTCTTTCTGCAGAATTATTTGATTCAATAGATAAAACTTTATTGATTAAGTCAATTGAGCATATCAAATATATAAAACTGATACAAAAATACAAATAGAGGAAAAAAACAATAGAACATGTTCATAATAAGTCATCTTGAGAATATTACATTTTACTGAGAAGTCAAGAATATATATGAAAAAATGTTATTTAGTTAGCTTTAGCAATATTTTCTCATAAAAAGAAAATATTTTTTTCCAGATTATTCCTCCAGATATGCTGCATAAAACAGATAAAACTGGTAGAGCACGCTTTGGAAGTCTTACTGTTCATGCTCCTAAGTAAGTGTCTGAAATTCTTCCTATTAATCAGAATATACTGTGTGTGTGTGTGTGTGTGTATGTATGTATATATATATAAATGTGTGTATGTATATATATATATATATATATATATCGAGAACTACCAGAAGTACAGGCAGGATTTCGAAGAGGCAGAGGAACTAGAGATCAAATTGCCAACATACGCTGGATCATGGAGAAAGCTAGGGAGTTCCAGAAAAACATCTACTTCTGCTTCATTGACTATGCAAAAGCCTTTGATTGTGTGGATCACAACAAATTGTGGCAAGTTCTTAAAGAAATGGGAGTACCAGACCATCTCATTTGTCTCTTGAGAAACCTATATGCGGGTCAAGAAGCAACAGTGAGACTGGACACGGAACCACTGATTGGTTCAAAATTGGAAAAGGAGTCCGGCAAGGCTGTATACTGTCGCCCTGCCTATTTAACTTATATGCAGAGCACATCATGAGAAAGGCAGGGCTAGATGAATCAAAAGTTGGAATTAAGATTGCCGGGAGAAATATCAACAACCTAAGATATGCAGATGATACCACTCTAATGCAGAAAGTGAAGAGGAACTAAAGAGCCTCTTGATGCACGTGAAGAAGGAGAGTGCAAAAGTTGGCTTGAAACTCAACATTAAGAAAACCAAAATCATGGCATCCGGCCCTCTCAATTCCTGGCAAATAGATGGGGAAGAAATGGAGGTAGTGACAGATTTTATTTTTCTGGGCTCCAAGATCACCTCAGATGGGGACTGCAGCCAAGAAATTAAAAGATGCTTGCTCCTGGGGAGGAAAGCTATGGCAAATCTAGACAGCATACTAAAAAGCAGAGACATCACCCTGCTAACAAAAGTGCGTATAGTCCAGGCCATGGTTTTCCCAGTTTCAATGTATGGCTGTGAAAGTTGGACCATAAGAAAGGCTGAGCCCCAAAGAATTGAGGCCTTTGAACTATGGTGCTGGAGAAGACTCCTGCGAGTCCCTTGGACTGCAAGGCGTTCAAACTGGTCAGTCCTAGAAGAGATCAACCCCGACTGCTCTTTAGAAGACCAGATCCTGAAGTTGAAACTCAAATACTTTGGCCACCTAATGAGAAGGAAGGACTCACTGGAGAAGAGCCTAATGCTGGGAAAGATTGAGGGCAATAGAAGAAGGGGACAACAGAGAATGAGATGGCTGGATGGAGTCACTGAAGCAGTAGGTGTGAATTTAAATGGACTCCAGAAGATGGTAGAGGACAGGAAGACCTGGAGGACCATGGGGTCACGATGGGTCGGACACGACTTCGCAATTAACAACAACAACAACAATATATACATACATACATACATACATACATACATACATCAATACATACATACATGCATACATATGTTAAAATCAATAAATAGTCGAACACCAAGAGAATAAAATTATAAAAATGCTAAAACTTTTATTTACTAGACCTAGCTTTCCTCAAGAGCACTTGACATCATCAGGGTGTAAATGGCAGTCGTTGGGAGGGCTTATATGCAGCCTCCAATCATTTGCGCTCGGCTCTTGGATCGTGTCATGGGTCCCAGCTGTGTGCGTTGTAATCTAAGTGTGTGTCCTGCATTGGGGTCTAGTTCTTTCTCACTCCTTCTATGTATGCTGTTACGTGTGTCTTTCTCACTAGTTCTAAAATTAGCTGGGATATTTCCCCTTTCCTTGCAGTTAGTGCATGTTTCACTAGTTTCCCGTTCGTGATTCTGTCTGTCACGGGCGGTAGCTGCTGTTTTCTGCTTCCTTCTAGTTCCTCCAACCATCCCCTCCGAGCCACGTTCCAGTCCTCCTGTTCTCTCGGATCGTAGCCCCTGTATGCCATCCCGTCCTGTACCACTCTCCCTCCTATTCCTTTCCATCACCCCCTTCGGTCTATCATCACTCTCCTCCCTATATTCTTGGGGGGAATCGTTCCAGAGTGTGTGCATGTCAGTAAGTCATCGCCTAGCTCGTAACCGGTCAGTCCGTTGCTCACTCTGTTTGGGGCTTCCGTCCTCATCCTTCATCGGAGAATCTCTCAGGCACGCTCCATTCGTAGTCTTCTGTCCTCCCAAGGGATCAATCACCACGGAGCTATTCCCCCCCCTCACAACCCAGCCCAACTAACGTAACAAGAGTGTCCGTTTCACTCCCTGGGGGGTGAATCATTCCCCCGGCATGTGCGATTGTAGCCCGAGCGTTCTATCGTATGCTGTATTTCTTATCCCCCCCCCAGTTGTTAAAAACATGAGCATACCCAAAATGCGACTCCCGGGCATACGAGAGCCAGTGCTGCCGGGAGAGGGTGGAACATAGTGTTAATAATACCCCCTGAGATCGACGGTGGAGATGTGAACAAAAGTGCTCGAGAGAACGACGGAAGAAATCTTTACTCCGATTCCCCCTCCCACCTATCAGCTGTTCAGTGGGGAATGCTAACACGGTCTAGGAGCCACATGCAGACGTCTATGGAACCCGTTTAAACCACCTTATTAGAAACGATCTCTCAGCCCTGAAGATGTTGGGGAGTTTTCCCAACAAAAGCTTGGCAACCTTTTAATATAGTAAAATACTTTAATTAAAGTATTTTAACTTTAAACTCTCCTGGTGAACGCGCTTTATTCATTCTATTTATATATATATATATATATATGTAGGTCTTTGGTTATTTGGGTTTTCTCCCACATAAAATTGGAAGTGTCTTGGCGATGTTTCGACGAAGTCTCATTCATCATCTTCAGGCTGGTGCTTTCGGCTTCGTGCTTCTAGGAGCAATGTGTGATTGATAAGTCTGTACTCACGCTGGCAGCTTAGTTCTTCCATTCAAAAAAAGGTGCCAGAACGCTGTTCCGTGCGTTCTGGCACCTGGATGTTTCAACAAAGCAATTTGGGCAAATTCTACAAGGGAAAGCTCCCAAGGATCTCAAAATGCTCTGGTCAGTGTTGGTAGATAAGATCCTTGGGAGCTTTCCCTTGTAGAATTTGCCCAAATTGCTTTGTTGAAACATCCAGGGTTTTTTTTGTCATAGAACGCACGGAACAGCGTTCTGGCACCTTTAATGTTAATGCTGGTCTGTGGGAGAGTGCCTTTATAGGTGAGCCGTCATTTGCACACAGCTTGTCGTAGGTCCTAATTGATTTAACTGCTTTTTAATTACGGTTTCCATACTGATGACTCCTCTTTTCTTGCTTTTACTGCTTGTGGGTGTGTCATTATTCCCCTCTACCTCCCACTGTCTTGAATTAGGGAGGTTCTTTACTCCCCTTTTTTGGTCATTCGTATCTCTAAGTTGTTCCCTCTTCACACCTCCGTGTCTCCTACCTTCCTCCTTCTTCTGATCTTTACTTGCTCCCCAATTGTGATCCCTCATTCTAAGGGGGCGCACTCTCAGCCTTTCTCCCCATCCCTTGCTGTCCATTTCCCTCTCTTTGGCTGCATAAACTCCGTTTCTGTCATTGCCATTCCGTCTGACATCTACTTGCTCTTTCACCCCATTATTAATGTTCTCGGACTCCACGTCAGACTGAATCCCTTGAATATCTCCTTCCTCCTCACACAAGCCCTTGTGTGCCCTCCTTTTTTGAGTATATATGCCTGGTTCCTTTATATCCCTCCCTCCATCAACACATTGATCTTTTTTACAGTTTCTATCACATTCTACCCTTATTTGCATTTCCCCCCCATTCACACTGCTCTCGATCTCTATATCCTCTTGGGCATTCCGATTGGCGCTCTGTTGTTTCTGTTGATGGACTGTCATCACAGGGCAAGCCGGTCCCCTTCTCCTTCTTTCCTGATGCTGCTGGATCAACGCTGTTTTAGGTTTCGGGGGGTCGGGAATGATTGTTTATTGGCTAATTGCCTCTTTCTCATCATGCAACCGTTCTCTCACTGTCCGGGAGCGTGTGCATGGTCCTGGAGCAGGGGGGAGGAGTCCCTCAATCGTTGATTATTCTCCTGAATGTCCATGGGCCGTTGTTGTTGTTATGGGGGGTGAAAATTCATCCCCTCCATAACTTCTTCCCTATATATATATATATATATATATATATATATATATATATATGTATGTATGTATGTATGTATGTATGTATGTATGTATATGCTATAAAAATGAATAAATAATGATCACCAAGAGAATAAATAGAAAATATTTAATAAACCAAACCTAGCTTTCGTCGGGTACTCCCGACATCGTCAGGGTTTAAAAAAGCAGTCATTGGGAGAAGCTTATATGCACTCTCTAATTGCCTGCATCCGGCTTCTAGATCGTGTAACCGGTCCCAGCTGACCGTGTTGAGTTCTGAATGCATCTCTCACGTCAGCATGTGGTTCTTTCCTATCCCCTCTCCATACTCCGCCGTGCATACCTCCATTGTTAACTGTGGGGCTAGAAAGGATTCTTTCCCCTCTCTTTCTTGTGGTAATCATTTCTATTCTCCCACCTCCCTGTGCGCAACTCTCCTTACCAGGTGGGGGGTGCGGGTCGTTCAATTTTCTTCTAGCCCCTTTATGTGTCTCAACTGAGTTACGGTCGGACCTCCTCACCCTTAGTGATTGAAACCTAGGTGTCTCACCCCGTTCTACAATATCCACCCTCTTATCTCCTTCCATACACTCCATCCAAGCTTGTTTATCATCCAATCCGACATCTCTCCCCCTTTGTTCATGAGGGCTATTCCTTTTCGCCATGTTAACAACAGCACTCCGCCATTCCATTCGCTGCTGGTCAATATTTTGTCCATTCCATCAAATCCCTCTTCGTTTTTCTTCACCAGGGGATTCTTCTGCCACGATAGTGGGTATTCACCACTCGTTACCCCCAGTTCTCCTATCAAATCAACCGGTAGAGAATCTCTCCCTCTTCTCTGGCACAATCTAGTTGTTATCGTATATCCGCCAGTTCTACTCGCTGGGGAATTACCCCGTCAAATTGGAAGTGTCTTGGCGACATTTCAACGAAGTCTCATTCGTCATCTTCAGGCTGGTGTTTTCGGCTTCGTGCTCCTAGGAACAACGTGTGATCGTAGCTGTTTCTTCCTTTTAACTGGGGGTACGAACTGATTGGATGAGAGCTTGGTTGTGTTCTGATTGGATGGAGGTGTATTCTGATTGGTTAGGAGCTTGGCTGTGCTCTGATTGGATGGGGGGTTGGCTGTACTCTGATTGGTTGGGGGAGTATTCTGTTTGGGTGGGGGCTTTGTTGTGCTCAGGTTAGTCTGAGTTGCAGGGAGATGTGAGATGGTGAGCTGCATTGCTATTGTTTGACTTCGTGTTCGTGGTCGTGCCTCATCTTCATGGTGGGTGTCAGTTTGCTTCATGTATGGATTGGAGGGGTTTAAAGTGGCTAATGATGCAGCTGTGGTCTGGCTTCTGGTTTGTGGTCGTGCCTCATCATTGGTGTGGGTTTGGGTTTGCTTTTTGCGTGGACGTGTGGTGGTGACACGTCGCCAAGACACTTCCAATTTGACGCGGAAGAAAACCCGAATGGCCAAGGACCTACATACAAACACCCGCGAAAACCTCAGGAAAAAAAATATATATATACATACACACACACACACACACACACACACACATATATATATATATATGTGTGTGTGTGTGTGTATATATATATATATATATATATATATATATATATATATATATATACACACACACACACACACACATACGTATATGGGATATAAGGTAAGCAGGAACAATACCAACAATGAAACAGACCAGAAAAAAAAGATTCAAAGAAACAAAATCATGTGGCTCAAAACCTTACAAAATTTTTTTTTAAATTAGATGTTGCAAAATGTCAGATGTGAAGCTCTGGTTCAACTTTTTGAACATTTGAAAACCACATATATAATACAGCTCACGATATTTACATTAATAGCAAGAATAATAAAAATAGACTAACAATCATACTAAAATCATTATTACAAACTCAAAATTCAGTACAAAAATCAATAGGGTAAATATCAATGCATCCAATTCAGTATTTTAAACAGGCTGACTGCTACCACCAGACTCTCAAACATTGTTACATATCCATGTCTTTAGGGCTTTCAAAAGGGCCAATAGAATAGTGGCCAACCTAAGTTCTAGGGAATGACATTTCAAAGGATGGGTAGCAAGGTAGAAAGGGATCTCTTCCCGAGTCCTGTCAGATGATATTCTTTAGTAGACAGGACCTATAACATGCCTCTCCTTCAGATTCAGTGGGACAGGTAGATATAACAGTGGAGGTGTAATCCCTCAGATACCCTGATCATTTGCCATGTAGGTCTTTATAGGACATTTTCAACACCTTGAATTTCACCTGGAAACACACTTTAAAGGCAGTCCAATGTAGCGTACTTGACAGTAATATTTGGTAGGTAATCAGAGAATGATTACCTACCAGATATTACATACCAAATACCTGGTCCAAGAAAGGGCCCTCTTTGAACAGGAATCTGGAATTCAGGAGGATGTCCAAAATGCACACAATGTCTGGGGCAGTGCCACCTCATTAAGAACAAGAGATGATAAATCCCTAGAACCAGAAGTCCCCAAAACCTAAAGCCACTCAGTGTAACTAGAGTTAAGCTGAGACCTGTTCTTCCCATCCAAACCCTCACAGCTTCCAGTCATCAAGTGACAATATCAACAGCATCTTTTAATTTATTATAGACAAAGATATTAAGCTGAGTATCATCAGTGTACTGAAGACACTTACCCCATAGTGATGAATGATCTCACCCATCAGCTTTATGTAGATGTTAAACAGGAGAGGGGAAAGTACCAAACCCTGTGGAATCTCGCAAAGCAAGGACCAAGAGCGTCAGACACAGGGAAGAAAGAGAAGAATCAACACAATACAGTGCCATCTATCCCTAATCCCTGAATCCAGTCCAGAATGATACCATGGTTGATGGTACCAAAGGCTGCCAAGAAGCCAAGAAAAGAAGTGATGATGAGTTAGCCCCATCCCTCTCCCAGCAGAGGTCATTCAGGTGCCGTTTACCGGTGTAAATACATGGCAGTTGCCAAGTGTCAAAAAATTGTTACACATGACTATGACGATACTATGCCAGTTGTAAAAAATGGTTGTAAATCAAAGACTACTGTAATTGGAACTCCTATATTTCTATTTAAAACTTTGAACCGTTCAGTAGAACTATATTGATGCTTAATTATTATGGTATTTCAGGGGAGAATACACTTTGCAGTTCAAGGCCTCCTATAACGAGAAGGCACTAAGCAGTCCAGTGATCAAGATAAATGTTTTACCTGACTCGGAGAAACCTGAATGTTTAAATATTACATATGATGAGAATGCTAGCTTTACTGCTGGAAACACTTTTCCTGGTGAGTGCTTTAACATTTTTTTATTTTCTAATCATAACCCATTAGAAAGTTGGAATGCTTTTTCTTATCTTTTATTTCTTATTTTTCAGCAGAATATTTTCAGCCATCTTTTAAAAGATAGTTTTCCATGTCTATGTCCATTTTTAGGTTATAAAATGGCTGTTTCTCTATAGCTTAACATAGCAGTCTGCTGATGTCTTGGTGCTAAATGTCGCTATATTGAAGTATCATATGGATCAGTGGTTCTCAGCCTTCCTAATGCCGCGACCCCCAACCATGTGGTCGTAAGTCGAGGACTACCTATATTTCCCTGCGGGCAGGGCAGGAAGAGGTGTGCATGCTCCACCTCCTCTCCTGCAGCTGGAGCACACACTGGGCAGGCCGAGGGTGCACGCAGGCCGTCGCCCAGCAACCACCTCGGCCCAGGAACGCCGCACATGCGTGGTGCCGCCCCCTGCGCCGGCCGAGGCGTAGCTGGCAAGCAGCAGCGACGGCTCAGGCCAACCACCGGCTGGGCCACCAGCTGGCCCATCCCAAGGGAGGTAAGCCACCCACTGGGCCCCATGCGTGCCAGCAACCCTCCCTGCACCCGTCGGCCTCCCACCTCCCACCCCTGGCCCTCTTTTACTTACATTTAGTAGTTGCTCAGCAGGGAGGGGTGGAAACATGCAGAAAGCTCGCCTTAGCTGCAGACAACTTGCAGCACTGTTTGCAGACTGGGACTTTTGGCGGGCTCAGCAGGGCAGAGACAGCCTGGACAACTCCTATTGGCTTTTGAAAGCCAATAGAATTAGACTCTAGTCAAGAGAGTCTATTCTATTGGCTTTCGAAAGCCAATAGATTCTATTGGCTTTTGAACGCCAATAGAATAGAGTCTCTTGAATAGAGTCTATTCTATTGGCTTTCAAAAGCCAATAGAATAAGAGGGAGTAGCACAGCTAAAGAAAAGGGGGAAAAATGGCGGACTGCGTTGTTTGGCGACCCCCGTGAAATGGTCGTTCGACCCCAAATGGGGTTGCGACCCACAGGTTGAGAACCGCTGATATGGATAGATCTGAATTTAGGCTTAAAATCTTTTTTTTTTTTTTTTGCTCCACAGGACAAAGTGTATTGAGTATGATAAAAAGATTAGGGGTAGGCCTATGGAAAGAAATAAGAATTTTCAAGACTTACTTTGAAGTAGTGCTAAGAACATTTTATAATCGATATCAAATCTAAGACTCCAAACTCTGAAACGCAATTATCTGTAGGCATTAGGAATATTGTTTCTCCATTTGTACCTTGCATTACTGAATTGGCAGAATACAAATTACTCTCCCATTATACTCCCATTGGGAATATATCTTAATATTCCATTCTTCTTTAGTGTAATCCTACCAAAGTTAAGATTATTCTAGTCCACAGGTCGGCAACCTGCGGCTCCGGAGCCGCATGCGGCTCTTTGAGCCTTCCCCTGTGGCTCCCAGCCTCCTCTGCCTTTGCAGAGAGAGACAGAGACAGAGAGAGGCAATTGCACTTCCCTGCTTCTCTCTCTCTCTCTCTGTGTGTGTGTGTGTGTGTGTGTGTGTGTGTGTGTGTATGTGTAAAAGAGAGTGCACTCACAGTGTTCTCTGAGGAGCTGAAAAGCTTTCTGGGCGGAGCTCCTCCCTTTGCTGCGTCTCTGAAGGAAGCAGGAAGCAGGAAGGGCAGGAGAGAGCTAGCTAGCCCAGCTAGGCTGACTCAGGAATTCTGGGAGTTGAAGTCCATGAGTCATAAAAGAGACGAGGTTGCCTACCCCGGAGGTTGTTGGACAACAGCTTGAAGCTTGCCAGGTGAGCAGCAGATAGGAGGGGGGGGGAGAAGAGAGAGAGAGAAAGAGAGAGAGAGGGAGAGAGAGAGAGTGGGGAAAGAGGAGTGGCAGACCAAGGGCAGATAGAGAGGGAGGGAGAGAGAGACCCTTTTGACATCTAAAATGAAGATAACACTGCATATATCCTTTTTTTACCTCTGTGTATATATAATTTTATTCTCTTAAAGCATTCTCTTGGTGATCATTGTTTTAATAGTATGGATATTCCCAAGAGTCATATTTTTACTTTTATTTTTAATGTGTATATGTATGTGTGTGTCTGTGTGTGTGTATATATATATACACATATACACATACACACACACACACACACACACACACATACACATATACACATCTATAATAAAGGTAAAAAAGGATATATGCAGTGTTATCTTCATTTTAGATATCAAAAGGGTTTTGAGGCTCCCAGTGTTTTGTTTTTGGTGGGAAACGGGTCCAAGTGGCTCTTTGAGTGTTTTGGGTTGCCTACCCCTGTTCTAGTCTATTAATACCTTTTGGAAGTAACTTTATATTATTCTTTTCAGTTTTAATCTCAGAATATTTTAATATTCTGAGACAATTATTCAGCAATTCAGTTATTTTGATTTGCTTCTGTAGCCATTTCTTAGTGCTCTTAATCTCCAATTCAAATGAATTCATGCATCCAATTGATATCCCAGTTTATGACTAGCTACTAACAAAGCCCAGGGTTTATGAACATATCCCATGTGGAGAACCACAGAGGTAATTTTGGAGAAATTGTTCAGCAACAATTACAAAAACTTGTACAGCGGTATGCTTTAAACCGAAGAAATCAAAGTAGACTTAAGAAAGAAACTCGGACTGGCTCTTGTCTGACTCTCAGGAGTATAAGAGGGAAGGAAGAGAAGATGCAAATGGGCTTTCAAATGTTATTTCTATAGCCCAGGGGTGTCAAACCGGTGGCCTGCGTGCCGGATATATCATGCACAGGCTCCGCCAGCCTGCCTCCACAAAGGCAAAAAAAGTCACCATACATCACGTGGCGTGGTCGAGTTTGACACCTGTGCTATATAGCCTTTATCAGTAAAATATAGTTCCAGTCAAAATGGGGAGTCAGTTTCATGGTTTGGCTTAGGTCAGGGGTTCTCAACCTTGGCAACTTTAAGACTTGTGGACTTCAATTCCCAGAATTCCTCAGCCAGCTGGCTGAGGAATTCTGGGAATTGAAGTCCACAAGTCTTAAAGTTGCCAAGGTTGAGAACCCCTGGCTTAAGTCAAAGTGCTGACATCAGTCTTGAAGTCTGACTGCATTTTCCTTTCTCTGTCCTATCATCCTGGGCCATGGCATTGGATGTTTTAAATCACTGGATGCTTTGTCACCAATGACTCGGTAAATCGCTTAGAGAGGACTATTTTGAAGTCGTATATAAGTCTAAGTGCTATTGGTATTCTGGATTATGGCACTGGATGCTTTGGCTATGATCTGATGTCATTAAATGTCTGGGAATATGGTAATGTAATTTTATGGAATATACATCATTATAATATCCTTATTAGCTTCTTATATTCTTTGACATATATTTCTGACTAGTAATATTTTACTTCAGAGTTTTAATTTGGAATTTAAGTTTAGCAACATGTGCGAAAAACATTTCTTTCCCTGATGCAGATTTCATGGTTAGTGTTATTTCTGAAGACGGCAACAATATTAAAAATATAAATTCACGAAGGATTTGTATGAAAATCAGGGAAAAAAATAGTGATGATACTTTATCAGAAAATGTAAGTAACAGGAAACAATATGTGCAACAGGTAGACAGATACTTTACATATGCATGCAAATTTAGTTCAGTTTAACTTCATCAATTTATGGATAACTATATTATTTTTCCATCATAGATGTTTCACATTATTGCCTTGTTCAGTAATAGATAAGGTTCCGATGCATTGGTTTCAGTATCCTTAAAGTCCAAAGAGGTTAGAAATGAGATTATATGAAGAATCACTTCATTATTATCTACTTGGATCATGAGATAATTTTATAAGAGCTTTTGAGTTTGAAAGATAATAGTTTTTAGTAGGGGAGTCCAATTATCGAATTTATTCAACAGAGAAGTTTGACTAGGATCTATGGTTTATCCTCTCCTGTTGCTATATCCCCATTAACTTTAATAGTTGTATGAATTTGTTCTGTATGCATTTTATTTTACATTTTTTTTAACCTAAATATCAACATAATTAACATTGAACTTTGATCTTTTAAGATAATCCATTGATTTGTTTTTGGCTAAAAAGTAAAACAACAATGAGCTTCATTTTTACTATATATACTCTTTTTTAAGTTCTTAATTAAAACAATGTCAATTGTTTTATTTAGATTTTCAGGGATTCAAAGTAACTGAATTTAATACAATTAGTTTTAAATGCTTGCATATATAATGTGGCTTTCTCTAAAACCCTATCTTTTTTCTTTTTTCTTTTAGTTTGCAACATTTGAATGTACCAAAGCAAACAATGACAAGGATGATGGCTTTTTTTGCGTCAGGTTAACAAATAATGTTGTGTTATAGTAATTCTAATATAATGATGCTTAGAAAAAACTATGAGGGGCAAAATAATCAACTTTGTTTTTTAAATATAGTTTGGTTTGATAGCAATTTTTTTTAATTAAGATTGAAATTCATATTGCAGGTATGGTTTTTTTCTACCTAGGTATTGATATGTTGTCTGTTAAATACCTGTGTCTAGAATAGTGTTTCAAAATTGAGAATATGCATGCAAAAATATAATTTTATTTGAGACTAATTAGATTAATTAAAGCATATCGATGTCATGAATGACATAATAGAAGGTTTAAGGGCTGAGAACTAACAATTTCAGGAATGTGGATTGTCAATTCTCAGCCCTTAAACTTTCAGGAATGTGGTATAGCAAGTATTGCAGACATGAAATGTGAGGATTCTATTTATTTATTTCTAATCAGTCTAAGTATTTATTTTCAGACTGAATAAGATATATAATAAAAACAAGTTAACTTCGAAAAATTGTTTTTGGTTTATTTGTTTCAAAGAGTAACAATATTTTACTTTAATAGTGAAAAATATTGAGAATTTAAGTATTGTAAAGAAATACTAACATTAGTGTTCATAATTTAGGAATAAAACAGTTCCAGTAAAAGTGGGCAAATACATCATCCATTTTGTATTTGCAATTGACAAAACAAATGTTCTTAACAGTAAACAGGTAAGCTTTTGAAATAATATGTAAAAATGTGTTTTACATTTTTAAAATTGTATTTTATTATTTCTGTAGTAAAATTTTAACCAACTATAAGTTTTTTGTTGATTTTTATAACATGCATAAATAAGTTTTATCTTTGTTAGTTTCAGAAATAAAAAAATGTATCAGAAGAATCATCTAATCAACTGACATCTTTGTTGATATTAGATTTCTTGGTCCAGGATAGAGCTAATAATAATAATAATAAATAATAATAACTTTACATTGTTTAATGAGGCTGCTAGATTTAAAATTGACTGTCAGGGCTGATTCAATTTTTTATCAAAAACTGTAATGAAGCCATACAGAACTGTTGATTGTTCTCTGTCAGTGACAGTTACCTCTTATACCCATAACAGTTTAAACCTATTGCCCCTCCCTCTCTATCTGCATTACATGATATTAAAACTGAGAGGTTGTTAGTTGTTGACATAACTGACATCATTGCTCTGTGAGAACTACTGGCTCTTGGCTTCACATAGTTGAATACAAAATTACTCATGCACTATCCAATTGGACTTTTCCTATACCTGTGATGAGGGGGTGAGCCATAAACTTCACTGTGTAGAGAATATTTGCTACATGCAAATAGGGATCTGTTAATTTTGTAAATAAGGCCTTTTGTTTTGCAGAGAGTTAATTTTAATCAGTAATTATTAATTCAGCTATCCCCCTTCCCGGCCCTGCCTTTTATTGGCACACTTTTGAATTCTAGCAAATATCTGTCATATTCATTCTGGGCAAAAGGATCAGAACTTGTTTGAATTGGATTTGGAGAATTTAAGCTGGCAAAGTGAAGAAGTTGGGTTTTTTCTATGGCTTGATATGTGTTGTCCTCTTGTTTCCAGCATTATCAGTTGACATTATCAGAGGGCAAGACTGTGTAAGCAAATAGGGAAAAAAGAAATCTATGTAAGATTCCTTACATAATTTAGTGTCTGTGCTTGTCTATTTGTTGATACTGGTAGTCCTCAACTTACAACTGCAGCTAAGGCTCAAATTATGATGTAACCATGCTGATTGTTAAAAGATCATCTTGTGATCAACCCAGTGTTATATTTTTTTGAGCATTAATTAAGTACAATGGCTATTAAGTAAATCTGTAGTTTTGGTGAGCCGTGGTAGCACAGTGGTTTGAATGCAGCATTGCAGGCCAATTCTGTTGACTGCTGGTTGCCAGCAGTTCAACAGTTTGATCCTCACCGGCTCAAGGTTGACTCAGCCTTCTATCCTTCCGAAGTCAATAAAATGAGGACCCAGATTGTTGAGGGCAATATACTGACTGTGTAAACCCCTTAGAGAGGGCTGTAAAGCACTATAAAGCAGTATGTAAGTCTAAGGGCTATTAAGCGAATCAATTGTCTGCAATAGGCGTTTTAGCAGAAACCTGAGCAAAAAATATTATAAATCAATCACATAAATATGGGCCAATTGTCACACACCCAAAATGCAATCATGTGACGGGGGGGACAGCTGTCAGAATTTTGAATCTGGGTCCTAAGTACCTATTTTGGGTCCTTTAAACTTTAAACCAGCGATTCTCAACCTATGGGTCGCGACCCTATTTGGGGTCAATCGACCATTTTTGGGGGGTCGCCAAAGAAGGCGATCCGCCATTTTCTCCCCTCAGGGGGTGGCGCCGCGCATGCGCGCCGTGCATGGGGGCGGCGCCACGCATGTGCGCCGCGCCGCACATGCGCAGAACGTTTGTGTGACGGGGGTCGCCTTCACACAAACGTTGAGAACCACTGCTTTAAACAAAGAAACCAGTCTCGTCAAAGATTAGTTTTCAATAAGTAACATAGAAAGTCATAAATACTTAGCTAGGCATGTTTCTAGTCCATTGCTATCATATGAAATAGTGAATAAATGCTAATAACATTCTAAAAAAATTATTTGAATGAGGGAAGTCAGTTCATGTTGCTTTTGTATAGCCAATGATAAAATTTAGAGAGGTGAACTAATCAACTGTGCCACTATTTTCTGGGATATATGCTTTGATTTTAAAAAAGCTGCAAAGAATCAAAACATAAATTCAAACAAAGTTACTTAAACATTCTGAAGCATTTATTCTAAAATAGATTACAGTGTATTTTAAGCAAAACAACAAATAGCACAATTTCAACAATGAAATAGAATTGTAACAATCATAAAATTGCCACACCACCTTTAACCAAAGTGGGATTAAACTTTAAAAGTTTAAAGGATCTAGTTCATGCTTATTATTGACGCATGATTACCTCTTTTTGACATGAAATTTTGTGATACTAGTGTAGTAATACATTGCCAATTGCTTCATCGGCTCAAGCTAGAAAGGAGTGAAATATGACAAGAATATGAATGGGTACTTCTACAATTAGGGCTAATGCTGTTAATAAATTTCTATATGTACATTAAGTCTCTATATTTTGTATTTTTTTTTCTCAAGATTATAATTGATGTGGTGCCAAACCAACCAGTACTGTTGAAGCCACTAACTTTGCCAAATACTCCTGCTGTTTCTAATGTTCAGGAGATTGACAGTCGGACCCTTGTCAAGAATTTGACTCTCATTGTAACGGTGATTAAACTGAATTGTGGTTTAAAATGGAATTATATACATATATACATACATACATACATACATACATACATACATACATACTTCCCTATCCAATCAGACCACAGCCAACCCCCCATCCAATCAGAGCACAGCCAAGCTCCTAACCAATCAGAACATACCTCCACCCAATCAGAACACAGCCAAGCTCTCACCCAATCAGTTCATACCCCCACTGGCAGTTAAAAGGAAGAAACAGCTACAATCACACATTGCTCCTAGAAGCACAAAGCTGAAAACACCAGCCTGAAGATGACGAATGAGACTTCGTCGCCAAGACACTTCCAATTTGACGCGGGAGAAAACCCGAATAACCAAAGACCTACATACAAACACTCACGAAAACCTCAGAAAACATAACATACATACATACATACATGTTGTCATAGTACCGACAGATGAAACACTTCAAAAGAACTTCGAGGCATTGTTTACCTTAAAGCAGTGTTTCTCAACCTTGACAATTTTAAGGCATGTGGACTTCAACTTCCAGAATTCTACAGCCAGCAATGTATTTTTTAAAAAAATCAATTCTAATTCAAGTGTCTTCTTAATTTAAGGATAAATACAACAACCGTACTGGAAGTGATTTACATGGAAAAATTGTAGCAAAAATTGAAAGTTCAACTGAGAAAGACATTGATATTCCCCTGTTTCAGGGTAAAAAAAGTACAGTTGAATTTTGTTTTCACGGAGGAATTGTTGAAATTAAGGTGAGTCTCCTTAAATAATATTCCAATTAATAGTTTAGGAATGGAAATCAGCAGTCTACTATGTTCACAGGCATATTATTTTCTTAATATTTACCTTTCTTTGCCTAATTTTTCTATAATTTAGAAAATGTTGTAAATGGACATGATTCTATTGCTTAACCACCATTCAGAATTACAGCTGCCTCAGCAAGGGTGCTTTATGACCTGTAAAGACTTTGGGCCATCATAAAATATCAATCACATGACCATATTTTGGGTACTTAGCAACTGGGTCACATTTATGATTGGTTGTAATATCCTGTAATTACAATTCGTGATATTATCTATTTGGAAGAATGGATTTGATTACCGACTGCGTGCTTTGCTGAATGAGTGCCATTGAAAAAGCTTGTAAAAACAGGGCTCATCATCGGATGATTTGTTTTACAACCATAATGATTTAGGATTGGAATTCCAGTCCCTATTAGTCAATGATTACCTATAACAATATTTGGGGTTGTTGGTTTTGTTCTTGTGAATAGTATATATCTGGTTCTGAGAACATTACTTTGAGTTATTTTTAAATTGAGAGGAGTAATAAATTTTTACCTGCTTATTGTTAAAAACATGCTATTAATAACATGTGCTGTTTATTTTGGAAAAACATTTTGCAGTTGTTAGTGTTGAATAAAGGTTAGGGTTTTATATACTAATTAAATGTATAGTCATATTAGGTAAATATGTCTTAAATATATAATGCAAATCACACTGTTCTTTTTCAGGATCTTGTGCTAGCAGAAAAAAGTCCAGGAAGACATAGAACTAAGTATAAGCTTGTATTTGAGCCAGTTATATCTTCTTCGAAACAATATTTGCAATCTTATTATTTACCCTTTATGTTTTGTAATGGTGAGTTTCAATAATTCCAACTTTTTATTTTCTAAAATTTATCTTTTTCCTCTATAATGTTTAAGAAATTATTTCTAAACCAAATGTACAGGTATAGAATATATGAAGCCGGTCTCAATAGTACTATCTATGAGAGGGATCTTGGTGTCCTAGTGGTCAATCACTTAAATATGAGCCAGCAGTGCACTGCAGCCACCAAAAAAGCCAATGCAATTCTAGGCTGCATTAACAGAGGGATAGAATCAAGATCACATGAAGCATTAGTACCATTTTTATAATGCCTTGGTAAGATCACATTTGGAATATTGCATCCAGTTTTGATTGCCTTAATGTAAAAAAGGTGTTGAGACTCTGGAAAAAGTGCAGAGTAGAGCAACAATGATGATCAAGGGGCTGGAGACTAAAACATATGAAGAACAGTTGCAGGAATTGGTTATGTCTAGTCTAGTGAAAAGAAGTTCCCAGGGTGACATGATAGCAGTGTTCCAATATTTGAGGGGTTGCCACAAAGAAGAGGGGGTCAAGCTATTTTCCAAAGCACCAGAAAGCAGGATAGATGGAAACTAATCAAGGAGAGAACTAATTTAGAACTAAGGAGAAGTTTCCTGACAGTGAGAACAATTAACCAGTGGAATAGCTTGCCTTCAGAAGTTGTGGGTGTTCCATCACTGGAGGCTTTTAAGAAGATATTGGACAGCAATTTGCCCAGAATGGTATAGGGTCTCCTGCATGAGCAGGGGGTTAGACTAGAAGACCTCTTTAATCCCTTCCAGTTTTGTTATTCTGTTATTGTATCTTCTTTAGGTTTATCATCATTAGTTAATTCATTGTATGTATGTCTATTATTGAAGGAAAAAATGAATTATTTTTTTCATCTGTAGATTATGAGAGTCAACAGCAAATGGCAATTCTTACAAAAGAGAGAGACAAACTTTCACGGTCAATAAAAACATATAGAGATTGTTTTGACATTAGGAATCAGCTTATTGCTGAAATAAAACGTAAGTACTATAAGGATATTCTATTCATGTACACATAATTTTGCAAGGCAAACAAGCCACATTGTTCTCAAGTAACTGATTTTCATGTTTCATCAATGAACATTTTATGTACAGGTTTTTTATATATTTTTAGTACGACAGAGAAGCTCTAGATACAGCCTTATGTATGTCCCAACACATGCAATATATCTGCTACTTGCAAAGATGATACTATCAGTTTTTGGACAGTCACACAGTTATATGGGAGCTAGGATCACCTACCAAACCAAAATATTGTTGCCCATATCCCATCAACTAGGAAGTATATACAATGTCTTGACAAATTTGGAAAGACTAGGATTTTTAAAGATCAGAAACAATGTATGAATCAATATATGGATGTGGTGGAAGTAAAGAAAGAAATAAATGAATTGTTATACTGAATAATATTTGTAAAAATTACTTGTATTACTGTATGTTTTATACTTATTATCACTTCTATTTTTTTCTTTGCATAAAATTGCTTACTCTGAAATTAGTGTGATGCATATATATAGTTTAATAATTTTATTAAATTATTAATAATTTTAATAATGCTTATGGAAGCTTTTCAAAAATAGGTAACAATCTGAATCAGTTATTTCTTCTGGTGATCCTCCCATATAGAATGTGTTGCAGTAATTAAACTGTGAGGTGACTAGGTCATGAGGGCCTCCAATCTAGGAAATGGCACAACTGGTACACCAGATGGAGTTGAAGGTCTTTCTGGCCATAGCTGACATTTGCTCTTCAAGTAGGAACTGTGAATCCAGGAAGAATTTCAGATTGCATGATAGCCTAGAAAGGGGGAATGCTTTCCCATCCAAGATTAGAGATGGAATATCCCCAGGTCTGTGTGGCTCAAACACTCAGTCTTGGTAGAACTTTATCTGAATTGGTTCCTGCCTATCAAATCTGCACAGCTTCCATTATTTCTTACAAAAAGACAAAAGTTAAACTTTAGCTGCTTTTTCCACGCCAGACCAGAGTAATGAATCCACAGATATTCCATAAGTAAAATATTAAATAATTCCTTTCTTTTTTTCATCCTTATTAATGTACTTCACAAAAGTAAGATCTGTTATGAAGTAATATCAATATAATTATGAAATTTAGATACTATCTAGAATTAGCCAATTTATTATTTTTAAATTTCAAAATGATAATTACTTGAATATGATGAAGTCGGAGTTGGATTAACTGAGGAACCACAGTTGATCCACCCAACTAGGAAAAAGAATTATCAATTGATGGTTTGTAAAATGCAGTGTTGAAAAAACATCTATGGAACATTTCAGAAATGTTCTTAGTGGGAGCATGCAAACTAAAACAATAGAGACACTGACTAACTTCACTTTCAACAAAATAAAGTATCCTTCAGTGCCACAGTAATAATATTCCATCTAAATTTTAGAACTGTTATTAAACACAGTAGCTGCTCTGTGCAATTTATTTGAGCATCTACTAATATAGATAATGGCCAGTTCATCTCATAAGCACACACAAAACAGCTTTTGGGGTAGGGGGAGTAAAATATCTGTTTTTCACAATATATCTGACTGTTATTTTGCCAGCTTATAAATTTCTCCTTCTTAACCTAAGTCTGTTTACATTCTAGTGATTACTTTAAATGCCATTCCTTCATGATGTGCGAAATATTTATCAGGGTCAATTTCCCAACAACATAGGCATCTCATACTGCAGCATACATTAAAGTAGCAAATAAAGAGAAAAAAACATTTAAGTGATGAATTTAGATCTAATAAAAATATGATTAAAATTAATGTTGAAAAAAGCAATAAAATTCCATTTTAAACCTCTGGCTTAAAAATATTATTTTAGTTTTTCTCTGATGCTACTTTCACTAAGCAACAAACTCAACTCAACTTAGTCCAATTTGTTATGCTGATTTATTTTCCAGGCCAAATACAGGAATGTGAAAAAAAGGAGTTACAGCTCAAACATGAATTGAAAACACATCAGATTGACATACCTGAGGCCAATGTGGTATGGTCTTAATTTTCATTCATTTTTAACCATCAGAATTTTCATGTAGGGTAGTTATATCCAAAGAGCTATAATAGGCTTCTTGTTCCTTTATAGAGACAAAGTGCCTGACTTTAATACATGTAGTCCTCGACTGCCCAACACAGTTGTAAGACCTGTCACCCACATTGCTGACCCCATTTTATGACCTTTTTTGCAGCAGTCACATGAATGCCACAGTCATAAAGTGGCCACCACAGTCCTAGTCATAAAACAAACCAATGGTTCGCAATGGGCTGGGTTTGCAAAAAATTGGAAATAATAACAGGTTTTGGCAAAAACGTTATAAAACACGGTAATGTGATAGGGGAGATTGCAATGGCCATAAATGCAAAATGGTTGCCAGGCTCCCAAAGTGCAGGCCTGGTCCTGGGGGAAGGGCCCAGCCATTGGAACTTCAGAATGGGGTCATAACTACTGTCAGGGAGATCCATTGTAACTTTTAACTATCCAACTAAGGAACAACGAAGTTAAGTACTACCTTTACATTATTTAACATGAAAGAACAGTATTTAATAAGAAGTTAATCTGAATATGGAAAGAGCATAATACCTTATCTCTGTTAGGTTGCATATCTGTTGGCCCTTGATACAGTACTGTATCTTTAAAACTAGACTGCTCATCCAAGAGAGTCAGTTTGATTAGTGCTTAAGGCAGAGGTCTTCAAACTTGGCAACTTTAAGACTTGTGGATTTCAACTCCCAGAATTCCTGAGCCAGCCCTGGCTAACTGAGGAATTCTGGGAGTTGAAGTGCACAAGTCTTTAAAGTTGCCAAGTTTGAAGACCCCTGGCTTAAGGTATTAGGCTAGAACCTGGGAGACGTAGTTCTAGTCTCATCATATGCACAAAGCCAATTGGGGTGAGTTTGGGCCACTCACTCTCTCTCAGTCCTAGGAAGCAAGCAGTAACAAACTTGCTAAGAAAACTGCAGGGGCTTGTCCAAACATTTAGCAGAAGTCAGCATTGACCTAAATGCACCAACCCACCTATCAGAACATGTACACTATTTAAATCAGTTTAAAAATAATTGTCAAATATAATGTGGGATTTAGTTTTAGATAAGCATACATAAGATTGCAACTTTCATATTTCAGTGTTAATACTGTAATTTGCTTATATTCCAGGATGAAAGAATTCTTAGATTCATTTACAGATCATAAATAATACCTCATATAATTTGTTTTCATTACACATTTCGTTTTTTTCCAGCTTTTGACTCTTTTTGTTGTAATTCCTTTATCTGATTGAATTTAACACTTTGATTTCATTTTCAGATGTAAAACCAATTTCTAAGAGTAGTTCAAAAAACAAAAGGGAAGTACATTCCCAATCCCATGGCTACCAGTTCATTGATAAAATAATATCAGTGTGAACTATATTTAATATCAATTCCTACTTTTCCAGGCTGTTTTTAGAAACCCCAACGATTTTTACTACTGTCCAGTGGAGGCTTGTTTAAGTAAGATAAAAAGTCATAAAAGCTTTAAATTAATTGTATGTTTGTAAATTGTTTATATGTGTTGTAAAGTACATTTCTATAATAATACATAGTGTTATTCTTCTGTCTTAATTTTTAGCTGCAACATATTGAATCCTTGATAATACGTAAGCAGGCTGAGAAGGAAAATATATTGAAACAACCTAGAAGAATATGCACAGTTGCCATATATCCCAAATGTAATCAGGATATTTTGGGCAAGGTCAGTTTGTTCTCAATTTTCTTTAAAAAAAACCCTATTTTTTTATTACTTTATTTTTCTCTCCTTTTGTTCTGTCCTCACTACACGTTACTCTGTGTGGAGCTTGATATGCAGCTAAACCCACTTATCCTCCAATAAAGCAGACCGTGTGCATAGATCTGAATGCTTTATTGAAAGAACAGGATGGATGAAATTGGAAAAAATAGAAATACATACAATAAGAACCCAAATACAAAATAGGCTGTATTGAGTTGCTGGTGAACATAACAAATAAATAATTTAGATAAATCTAAATCTCATCAGCGATGCTATGTGTATGGAATGTGGGTTTTGTCCTCAGATAAACATTATTGAATATCTTCAGGCTTTATTATCAGTAGTATTAGTAGCAGTAGTAGCAACAGTACTATTTTTCTCAATATTATCAGCTTTAGGGAATCATAATACTTGCCTGCCAATTCTAAATGAAGAATTGCAGAAATGGGCATTATTAACAATATTTTAATTAAGTGTGTTTTAATATGTAATAATACCATCATAGGAGCCAGTTTAGTGGAGGCATCAGGGTAGAAATCATGAGATTAATCTTACTTTAGGTACAAAGCCAGCTGGGTGACTTTGGGCCAGTCATTCTTTCTTAGCCCTAGGAAGCAAGCAATGGCAAAATCTTGCTGAGAAAACTATCGGGGTATCCTGGCAGCTGCACGAGTCATTATTGACTTGAAGGCTCTATGTGTGCTTGTGTGAAAAAGTGATAAGTAAAGCTGTCACTTAAGTAAAAATTGCATAATTATAAATGTGCATAACCAATTCTTTTTACACCTTATTAAATGCAACTTTTTGTTTAAATCAGAAATTTCTTCAGTAAAGGCTTTTGAGATTTCTTTTCTTTTCTTTTTTTAATGTTGGGAGATCTAGCATATAAAATTTAGCCTCAAAACTGGATAGCATAGTCTCCCAAATAGATTAAGCACATGGGAAGGCTAAGTTCTTACTTTTGCACATACAAAATAACCCTTAATTTTTAATTCATTGCTTATGTTTTGTGCAAGATTGCACACTTAGCAGAGATTGAAGACAGTGAAGTAGCAAAGGTGATTTCCTGGCATTTGGCAAGTGATATGGATTGTATAGTCACTTTGACAACAGCTGCTGCACGTTGTATCTTTGATCAGACTCAAGGTGCACAACAAGTGTTGCCTCTTGATTCTATTTATAAGAAGGATTTTCTAGATTGGAACAGGTAAAGTTTTGTTTTCTTCTCCAAATTTAATTAATATTTTACTTCCAAATGTAATAATTATAATTCTAACATCTTTAGATTATTTTATTTAGTTTTTTTTCCTGCTATGGGGATATACAATATTGGACATTATTAATTTGTATTCCTGCACTGAGAATGAGATTGGCTTAAATGATCCCTTCCAATTCTACGATTCTATCAACTCTATCAAGTTTATTTCTTTGCTTAAAACTAGAGCTGAATCAGAAGTGATAAGGAAGGGTGCTAGCTCAGAAATTTATTTCTACTTTTTCAGTCTGTTTTTAGAATGAAAAAAACGATTAAATCTTATTTTAGTAGCATGAACAGTTGTAGCCTAACTCAACTTCTTAACAAAAGTGCAAGATAGATAGTATTTTGCATATTATTCTCCAGTCCAGGTTGACCTCTTAAATATATGTTATTTTGAGTGTAGCAGGAGCCATACTTTCCCTTTTGCAGGTCCTTCATCAAGAAAAAAAAAAAAGAGGAATGTAAAATGAAGGACTTGCTTCTGGGTGCACTACAAGGCTCTTTCAAAGTACATTAAAAAAAACTTGCTTTTAAAATATAAATCCCAGGACAGCTGGGAACAATTTTACCTAAAACACATCATGTTTATACCATGTTTGCACTTTATGACTATATTGCTTAGCGTCAGAAATTCCATTCCTAATTGCTGTTGTAACCTGGGGATTACCTATACATTTCATAATTTTTATAAATTTACATTGAACATTTTATCACATAGGAATTTTGAAAATGAAAACTCTCCTAGTGGAAACCAAATTCCTACTTTTAAAACTCCCTCAAATCTATAAATATAGGTAATCCCCAAGTTACAAACATTCACTTAGCGCACATTTGAAGTTACGTGATAAGTGCCCCCTAATGTTTATGAGCAAGTCTCAAAAGTAAGAATGTTGCAGCACAAATGTTGCAGTTGTTCGCCCTTACAAACGACTGCAACATTCACCCTATTTCCCCCTCCCACAACTGTTTCCCACTCCCATCCTGACGCACCGGAATCACTTGCCTTGCAAAAAAGTTCTGTTTCCTCTCTGCCGCGGTTTCTTTGCCTTTGTGGGAGAGGAGACTCAGCTTGGAAAGGCTTTTTATGCCAAGAGTGAAAGGTTCTGGGGTTGTGATCTCGCGTAATTTCAGCCACCCAGCCGCTTTTGTAGAAAATGGATACCTGAAGTCACACAAGATTACAGCCCCCAGAACATTTCACTCCCAGCGCAAAAAACATTTACAAGCCAATTGTGTCGCTCCCTGTGTCCAGCCAGTTTGCGAATGCTTTTCGCTCCGAGAGTGAAAGGTTCTGAAGGCCATGATATCACATGACTTCAACCACCCATTCTCTGCAAAAGAGGATGGCCACCAGAAACTTCCATTCTCCAAGGGAAAAGTGTTTGCGATGCCTGTTTGCTGCTCCTTCCTGCCCGAACTCCTTAACACCATGGCAGGGACTGTCCACGCCCGCTAAAATCCTTCCACTGGGGACGGAGCTCTTTTGTCACCTCACTCCCATGGCTGGAACCCGGCGAGTCGCCGTGGAATCGGAATTGGCCGGGCGCAGGAACCAATGCTGTCCATGGCCCGGATATGCTGCTCACTCATGTATGCCAGCTTTATTGTTTGAGGGCAGGAATGAAGCCTCGAAAGGGACTTCCCCAAGCAGGGGTGGGTAGACAGGAAATGGCAGGGAGATCTCGGAGACTGTGCCGTCCATCTCACCTCTTGGAAGGGACCCAATGGAATCTCTCTCCATTCCCAGCAGAAGGATTTTAGCAAGCATGTAGCGTCCCTGCCACAGCAGAGGCAGAAAGGAGTTTGTGGGAGAGGAGCAGCAGACAGGTATCACAAACACTTTTCCCCTGGAGAATGGAAGCTTCATTTGCATGCCTGGGGGACACTTTGCCCCACATGCATGCAAACGAAGCAAACACTTTTCCCCCAGAGAATGTAGTCCTGGCAACTATCTTCTTTTGCAGAGAATGGGTAGCTGAAGTCGTGCGACATCACGGCCCCCAGAACCTTTCACTCTAGGCGCAAAAAGCATTTCCAAGAGGACTCTCCCTCAAAGGCAAAGAAACCATAGCAGAGAGGAGAAAGACCTTTGCAAAGTGAGTGGGTCCGGCACGGCAGAATCGGAGTAGGGAAGTATGAGGTATCTCAGTGAGTCAGGGAGGCCTTGGGGGCCTGTTCCATCATTAAGCCTCCCATGGCCTTTCCTACCCTGAAATACCTTAAGTGCACTTAATGATCCGCGCATTTGATTAATGAATGAGTGCGCGAAAGCAGAGAGTGATTGCATTCAAGGGACGTCATTCACTCCTATGAATCCTTGAGTTACGAATGGAATGGTCAGGCTCCATTACATTTGTATCTTAAGGACTACAAATAACTCTAAACTTTCAGTTTCATCTCTGCACAAAATAATTTGTTTATTAATTGATTTTTTTCCCCTGCCTTTATTTTTGGTCAAGACAAAACACTCAAAACAGTGTTTCTACTTCTAATTTCCTTGACAACAACAATCTGTGGGGCAGGTGGGCTTCCCAAAAGTCACCTAACTAGTTTTCATGCCTAAGGAAGGACTAGAACTCATAACCTCCCGGTTTAGCTCAGGACTTTAGCCACTACATCTGAGTAGTTAAATAATAGCTGCTGATTTGTTTTCCTAATGGTGATTTACTTCTGAAAGAATTAATTTATCTTATATTTTGTTTTAAATCCTGTACATGGTAAAGTATATTGTAACATATTTAAAATGCAAATTTATCTTTAGTATGCTAGCAGTCAACACTAATATCTAAATGGTGGCCAAATGTTTTGTATTTATCTGACAAAAGTCAGTAATGAAAGAATATCTCTTTGTTTTAAGCAGACCTTTACCTCATGAAAGAAACTGTTTCAATCCTATTGGAAATCCTGTATTTGCTAGAAACTTGCTAATATTTCCAGAGCACAAGGAGAGTTGCCAAATAGGTAAATATCATAGAAATAATGTTTGTTAGGTTTTTATTTATGAGCTCAAGGAATTTGTGTGGGTGTCGCTCTTCATTTTATTCCTACAAAACAAGTCTGTGAGGGAGGTTGGGATAAGACTGAATAACTGAGAGTTTCCATGTTTAAATATAGACTTTAATTTGGGTCTCTGTACTTTCAATACCTGACCCGTTATCCCAGGCTGGTAATTGAAAGAGCTTGAAGAAACTGTATCTTTGGAAAGTCTTCTTCTCCATCAAATAATAACGCCATCTGGCTATTAGTAACTGCTACTGAGAAGTTTCTCTTTAGCATTAAATAAATAATTTTTATTTATCCCACCTTTCTTGTAAGAAACTTATTACATTCTCTTCTCCCTTTTCTTTCTTTTTACTTAAGATCTCAAACACAAGTTAGTCTGAAAAACGAAAAACTAACTCTGGCTTACATCAGAGCAGAGCACAACCTTCCTGTTCCCCCTCTAGATTATGTTGCTCTGGACAATGGGCAATTCCTATAAATTTTTCAATATGGAAGTGATTCAAGGTATTTCAGACCAAATAGGCTTCAAATACCTCAAATCCCTTCCAGTTCAGACGATTTACTACCTAATACCACCGAAGTTCCGCTGAAATAGCTTTATTTGTTGAAACATTCCTCTCATAGGGAAGCTTACATATCCCTAATAGCTAGTAGCACCACTTTTACATGTGCTTCTGCATGAAATATTACATAATTTTGCATAGCTGACATCTTGGAATGTAGCAACTAGAGAACAAGGCATAAAATGAGTATACACATGCATGCCTGCCTTGCATTTACATACAAATATTCAGTTTCTGAATACCTATAGTTTATCAAAGGAGTCTCTATCGAATCCAATGCTTATTACTCATAATACAGTTGTTCTTACCCTGGATTATCTTGACAAAATTTCTTTCTAATTTAGAGGTAATTCTGTTAACTATAGCACGATGTTAACATTGTATTCACTATTGATGTTCCACAATAAGTAGGTGTGAATAGAAATACCAGTTTATGTATTGGTTTATGTTCTAAATACTGTATTAATATTTCATATATCTTTACAGTGTTTGAGATGCTCTTGGGTAATACGATTATTATTGACAATTTGGATGCTGCCACTCATTACAGAAAAGAGGTGTGTATTAAAGTTGTAAAGTGCTTTGTTTATTGCTTTTATGCATAAGAGTGACTGAAAACGAAAAAGGGCTCCATTGATATTTTAGTCACAAACTTATAAAGACCTTCTTTCCTAAAGGGCTTGTTTGGTTCTGTGGTGTCCATTTTCTACTAGCTAGTAGATCTTCCTATGATGTACGCTTCCTGTTAAGGTTAAGCTTGTTCTATCCAGACCATCGGGGTGTGAGGGATCAGTAGTTAAAGAGCTTCTTGGCTGGAAAACTGACAGCCCGAGTTTGAGACCTGAGTTCCTGTTGCTTACCTCAGCGCCTGCTCATTTAGCAGTTTGAAAGCATGCAAATGCAAGAAGATAAATAGGTACCACTTTGGTGGGAAGGTAATAGCGTTCTGTGCACCTCAGGGTATAGTCATGCTGGCCACATGATCATGGAAATGCCTTCAGACAATGCTGGTTCTCTCAGCTAAGAAACTAAGATGAGCACCGCTCCCTAGAGTTGGACATGACTGGACAGGGAAACCTTTATCTTTTATCCAGACAATAATAGCCATTAAATACTGAGATAAGACTTCTCCAGGATTACAGTGTACAATTGGGCATCATCAACAAATACACGTTGTCCTTACTGCATGACCACAATGGTGCTGAACTTGGTGTAATGATGGGTCCTTATAGTTGCAACTGTCACAGCGTCCCTGTAACCCCATGATTACCATTTGTGATATTAACTGTCAGCTTCCGAAAAGCAAAATCTGTGGGGAAGCCGGCAAGAGATCACATGGTATGCTATGGCTAAGTGGTTTTGATTAATGAAAGAGCAACTGAGATTATAAATTGACATAGTCATGTGACATTACACTTTAAAAATACATTGCTTAGCAACAGAGTTGCTGGTCCAAATTACCATTGTTAAGCAAGGATTACCTAGATATCAAAAGGGAGACCACTTGACTTTCAGTTCCTATCAAAATTAGGTTTAGACAGAAAAACGCTCATCTGAATTTTAGATATTCTGAAAACAGCCTAATTAAAAATAAATTATTGCAGTAAAATGTGTTCTTTTCAGCACATGTTTTTCATCCAGGTTTTCCCCCAAACGCAAGGTCTGCTTGTTTTGAATCAACCCAGTGTTGAGCTATTTTGTTTTCAGTACAGATAGTACATCTAGGCTTCACTTCCTCAGAAAATTTGAAGAGAAACCTTTATAAACAGTTGGCATAAGGGGAGAAGCAAATTCAAGAATAAAAATAATGTTGAAAAGAATGCAGGATTCATGTTGAAATCCAGGTCCTTTGGATTCTTATCCTCACTGTCAACTATAAGTGCCTTGTGCTTAAACAGACTGGTTGCAATGTGCTATAGGAGAAGGGCCAAGCTTAGGACTGAAGGAATAGGTTTGCCTCTTAGTTAGTTGGAGTGAGATTTCCATATTGTATATAACAAAAAGCTTAGTGTACAAAAAGGATAAGATCATGGAAAAAGAGCTCTAGCCTGCTTCCAATCCGACTTGTCAGAAGCTGAGATTGGAAGGGAAGAAGCGGAAAAGTAGGTGTCTGCACTGTAGAAGTGGGAGGAGGAAGGCAGTTTTTCTTCCCCAAATACCAAAAGTATTAGAAGATGTTCAGGTTATTTATTGTCTTAAAATATAGTCCACAAGCTTGATATTTTGGGTAGGGGTGGGAGGTCGTGCTCATTCTGAGGATTGCAGAATGGGCAGATGCAAAAAAATGCTGGTGGTGATAATGGAGCATGCTTTTGTACCTGTCTTTTAAATCAAACAGGATTTGTATAAAATATATAATAAAGAGTTCATACAGGGCCCAGCAAGTTCATACATAGACCCCTATTTCATTCTATATCATTTATGTAGCAATTAAGATATTCTTTTAAAAAATATATACAGCTTGCATTTGATCTAACAGGATCACAGAAAAAGCTTGCAGAGTTACTTTTCAACAATAAAATACTGAATTTTGATAGTAGATTCTTTCTTTCTTTATATATATATATATAGGTTGTGAAAACGACGCATTGCCCAACTTTATTAACAAGAGAAGGGGACAGAATTCGCAGTAATGGAAAGTTTGGAGGCTTCCAGAATAAAGCCCCTCCTATAGAGAAGCTTCGGGGGATGGTTTTTGGAGCACCTCTGCCACCAGCTTGCAAGGTTATCGACCTACACCTAGGTGCATTCAGAGTTTAATAAATGAAATCAACTATTACATAATATTTTCTTAAGTGTTTCCCTTAAGAATTCAATTGAAATTACTGCTAGATTTTAATTAAATTGATTAACAAGCTATTGCTACTCTTGTTATATATTAAGCCAATGAAATAGAAGTTTTTAGCTGGCTGGATTCCAGTATGAAGCACATTGCAGCTATTAAAAAAAAACAAACCATTATAGAGTAATGTACATTTTATTGTATCATAGGTGAATAAAATTATTTTGATTTTTGCTATGCATTGATGTAGAATAAGAAGTCCACTGCTCTTAATTTAGTAGATTTTTTTTCTACTTTTAGAAAAACATTTTAAGAAAGCAACAAGGATTATATACAATTATTGAAATCTAAAGTTGAAAGGTTTGTCAGGTGCCAGGTCTTAGAAAAGATGTTTTTAAGATTGTTACCTCTCCCTCTCCCCACCCTGCTCTCTTTCACACATACTCTATAACAGGGGTCTTCAAACTCAGCCCTTCTATGACTCGTGGATTTCAACTCCCAGAATTCCTCAGCCAGCGTGCCTGGTTGAGGAATTCTGGGAGTTGAAGTCTTTGAGTCATAAAAGAGCCAAGTTTGAAGACCCCTGCTCTATAAGATACGGGGTTCCTTCAGGCAGGAATTTCTAGTTTAATTGTATTTAAAGGAGGAAGGGGGAGAATGAATCCCAAGCATCACATGATAGCTCACTGGTAAAAACAGCACTTTCTTACACTGAATTGTACATATTTAGCAAAAAAAATATTCATCAAGCGTTGTTTCATACTTTTATTTAATGACAATGCATAGTGACTTCGCTGTTTCTGCTAATTACTATTACAGATCATAGTGTTGTATTTTATTAACATATAAATCCTTTTTCTTTATATATTAGAACTCCTTCAGGAGTACCGTACAGCAGTTTTCCGACTTAATAAATTAAACACTGACCTTGAAGAACAACTACAATCAATTAATACTTCAGAAATGCGAAGAAAGAAAGAAGAGCTTGCTGACGAGGAAACGAAATTAGCATTAATAGAGCAGAAATTAGGTATGGATGTATTGGCACACGCATATATATTACTAAAAGGCATTTTGGCACACCATATTTTCAAATATAATGGAGTATAAATTTATAAACATAAATAATAAAGTCATGTATAATTAGGCCCCAAGTTTTAATGAATCAAAAGGGACCTTCTATTCATATACAGGTACTCCTCAGCCATTTGTTTGGTGAACGTTCGAAATTGCAACAACACTAAAAAAAATGACTTATAATCATTTTTCACATGGCCGTTGCAGCAAACCCATAGTCACATGATCAGAATTCAGGTACTTGGCAGTTGGCATGTATTTATGACAGATGCAGTGTCCCAGGGTCACACGATCCTCTTTTGTGACCGTCTGACAAGCAAAGTCAATGGGAAAGCCAGATTCAATAAACAACCGTGTTACCAACTTAACAACTGCAGCGATTCACTTAACAACTGTGGCAAGAAATGTCATAAAATGGAGCAAAACTCACTTACCTGGTTTCTTTAGCAATAGAAATTTTGGGCTGAATTGTGGTTGTAAGTTGAAGACTTCCTGTCCTAGATAAGAGAGCATTGCAGGTAGTTCTCAACCTACAACCATTCATTCAACAACTGTTCAAAGTTAACAGTGGTGTTGAACAACTAATCCTTCAAGTTCTGGCTGTCCATGGTCACATGGTCATGATTTGGATACTTGGCAACCAGTTTGCACTTATCACTAGTTGTAGCATCCCACAATCATGAGAACATCATTTGCAACCCTTCCCTGCTGGCTTTCCTAGAAAGTAATGGGGTAAGTCTTCCCAACTTATGCATCCTTCCCAGACACTCTGTGCTGTGCCACCCAGGCCACTTACATACCATCCCCATCTTGCATCATACCTCTTGCACACCCTCTCGCACTTTCCCTGAGCCACACCTCTCACACACTCCCTTGCAGCCTCTTGGACCTGCGCTGCGCCTCCTACACAGCCACTTGCATTCTTCTGAGTCCTTCCACTACACCATTGTGAACCCTCTCCAATCCTCCCTTGCATCCCTGGGCCCCCCCTGGTAGCAGCCATTTACACGTCTACCAGCTTGGGATTTACAATTTATAACTTTGGTTGAGGGAAACCAACAGGAGATTGTTCACCTGATGGCTATGGAATTTGATTAATAATACCAACTGGGACTGCAAGGATTGCGATCACTAAGCAATGCAGTCACATTTAATGACTGAATCAGCAGTGGAAATTCCAGTCCCAATTGCTACCATAAGTCAAGGACTACTTGGAGATATTTGGAGAGGAAGGAAAGCAAGAAAAAACATTTTTTGCCAGTTCCCCTTCTACCTACAGCCATCAGTATCATATTCTAACTTTTGCCAGAGTGTTTTCCCAAGCTTGTGGAAGGGTTTTGAGATTGAGGAGAATAATCAGAAATATGCTTACTGGAACATACAGTTTAATATTTTTGCTCCACAAAACTTTGGATCAAAGCCATCGTTCCTCTTTTTTAGCAGTATTAGAAGATAATTATTTTACCATACAATCCATAAAATAGTTTTTGTATTCCAGAAAAATGGGTTTTCAATGCAACAGATTTACTTTAAAATATGTATCTGGATTCGGGTGAAATCAAATATATTGAACTATTATATGTCACGATTTCATAGTCATTTGTATATGTACAGTTAACCTGGAAACAAATGAACTGCAGAAAAGGGTAGTATAATTTTTCTATTAAATTGTTATAAAGAAAAATACAGTAACCCTCCATTGTGTCTCTGAAACTGGCAAGATCAAAGGCTACTCATAAAACATTAACAGAAACAGTGTCAGAAAACCTTACTAGGCAAGATAGAGAAGCATGGCATATGGAACCCAGGCCTGCCGGAGATGGGAATTCAGAAGGCTGATTGGAATTTAGAGGGCAGAGTTCAGTTCTCTTCCTCATGCAGTCTGGAAGACAGTGCCTTGGGCCTAAGCCTTGTTTCAATTTCTACAATTCACCATGCTATTTATTTACACTCAAGAGATAGCGGTTTGAAAACAATTGTTAAGTGAATACTTCCTGACAGTGTAATGCCTGTAGGTCAGTGTTTCCCAAACTTGACAATTTTAAGGCATGTGGACTTCAATTCTCAGAATTCCACAGCCAGCAATGCTGGCTGTGGAATTCTGGGAGTTGAAGTCCACATGCCTTAAAATTGTCAAATTTGGGAAACACTGCTGTAGGTGATCCAGTGGAGTGCCTGCAATTCCCACCTTATATCTTTTCTTTATTGGAAAGGAAAGTATGCAGAATGATCATTTGAATAGGAAGGGAGAAAGCTGAATGGGTCAGCTTGGGCACAGGAGTTAGAGATAAATGTAAAGGATTGATTATATGAAGGGGTGTTTTCCAAGCCAGTTTCACGTAAATATATACAGTACCACCTTTTAGCATCAAGTAGAGTTGTAAATAATCAGGTATTTTTGAATATGCAGAACTTTATACACACTATTTTATTTGTTCTTGAACTGCCTGTCTCCTTCAGATACTTGCAGCTATGTAGTATCATACATTCTAAAATTAAAAGTAAGATTTATCTACATAGGTATGACCTCAAGTCAGTACAGCAGATCATCACCCCCCTCAGAAGAGCTTGATTTGTCCAAAGCTCCAAGCCATTCAAAAACAGGAAGAGAAACAAAACGTTCATACAGGTTTGTCTATCAGGTCTGGGGGGTGGAAAGCAGGCCCAATGCCTGCGGGGATCCAGTGGAGGGAATGGGGGGAAGAGGCAGGGGAGCTGCACTTACAGCATTTGGCTGTAAGGGCAAACAATTGAGGTGAGTGCTGCAGGGGCCAGAACTTTGGGACTGAGTCACAAGCAGCTTTTGGGGAGAGTCCACTGTAACTTCAAAAGGCTGCTAAGACTAATAAGATTAATAATATGTAATGAATCCATGTGAAGTGTTAATTTTACTTATTTTAAAAAATAAAATCCTGTGTACTTTATTATTTATTTTTCCTCCTTTACAAAATGCTGAATTTGATCAATGTCATTTGCAGATTAAACCTGAAAGATATATTTGTTCATCATAGTTATTGGCATAAATGATATGCATTTATGATTTACAAACTATATTCCTATTATAAAAAGCATACATAATATTCTAAATTTAAATTATTAATAATATTTAAACTAATTTATTCATATAATCATAGTTCAAAAGAATCGGATTCAGCTCCTCCTATGAAGAAAAGAATAGGAAACAGCAACTAATGAATTCTCTCCAAAGAAAGAAGACATAGATTATATTTGTTAAAATACAATTGTATGTTGAAATGTGTATATTCTACAAATATATGTTATTCATTGATATTTTTATATTCATAAAAGAAATGTTATTAATAAGAGTTGACTTATTTTTTAACAGAATAACTTTATTTTTGTTGTTTATCAGTCTATAATATATATAACATATTATATGTTATGGAAATATAACAATGCTTCTGTTACATATGAACATTTTCAAATTTGACAATAAAAGTTTGGAATGACAACCATTCTCCTAGTACAATATAAGTAAATTAATCAATGTGTAACAAATTGTCATTTTTAACAATAGTGATTCATAAACATGAATGATATTTATTAACTGAAAAAGCATAATATTATTGAATATAATAATACCCTTCCATGCAAAGCTTCTAAATACTTTTCCTGTTTGTAGAGTATAGCTGAAATAAGATTATGTGTGCAATTAAGATTGAGAAGTTGATGTTATATCCTTACTGATTGTTTAATACAGTAACAATGAGAGACTCCAGTTAGTGAATACTTCTAACCTAATGAAATAATTCTTGAACAGCCTGCAGCATTGCAGGCTAATTCTGCTGACTACTGATTGCCAGCAGTTCAGCAGTTTTATTCTCATCAGCTCAAGGTTGACTCAGCCCTCCATCCTTCTGAGGTTGGTAAAGTGGCCCAGTATACTGACTCTGAAAACTCCTTAGAGAGGGCTGTAAAGCACTGTGAAGTGGTATAAAAATCTAAGTGCTATTGCTATTGAACTCTGTTCTTCCTCATTTTCTCTATCATCAGCTGTTCAGTGTTATGATAAACAACTTTTTATTATGTAATTAAAGCACTTTATGTTTTTTTAGGATTACAATCCTCATCATTTATACTGATGAGAGAAAAGGCAAAGAAGAAAGATACATTAATAAATATACAGAATACATTAAGTCTGGAATTCCCAAAGTGTTTCTTTGGCAATTGGGGCAACTCAGAAGTACAACTTAGCTTCTACAGGCAAAGCAGACAGCAAAGTTTGGAGTTAATTTTGCAGTGTATCTAATGCTATAGTTCTAGTCTTTCATCAAAACATCCACAAATTGTGGCATTTAAAAAAATACTGTTGAATTTTATTTATTTCTGATTATGGGTGTTATCAAGTGTAAACACAGGATTCAGAAGTTTCTTACTTGTCTCCTAAAGTTAGTGCAGCAAGAGCTGTCCTGTTTGTGGGGAGCCACTCAGAACCATACAGATTGTGGCACCCTATAAATATATAAATCAGTTATCTAGCTATTTAAGGCTTTGATATGAGTCGAGGGAAGAACATCTTTTCCTATTTCCCTTTCTTTGAGGGTATTCTTCTGAAACTAAATATGAACATAAAAATGGGTTAAAAAAATAAATTACATGAGCAGAGAACAAAAATCATGAAAAATTTCCACACAGCTTCTTACATGCTCCCACAAGTGTCCTTTCACTAATTAACAAGTAACTTAATGAGTTGACAACGCTCCCTACAGTTGGCCAATTGGGAAGCCCATACATTGGCACTTCAGTGAGCACCTCACGTGTACCCCCAACTTTGAGATTTACTGTACAGGAAAATGTTATTAGTGTTTCTGAGCTTTTACTGCTGAAATATATTTGTCAAACATCTTACCTTGGAAAGGTCAAATTTAATAATATTTTTAAAACCCTGAATTCTCTTGCATTGCAATTACAATATTATGAAAAAGATTACTGGTTTGACTTTTCAGAAGTTATAATTTTCAAATATTAACCTTATTCTAAATTGAAGAACTTAATAGTGGGAAATTACAACTGCACTTAGTGATTCTGAGAAATATACCAATTTTCAGTGATACAGTTTTGTACCACTGTAAAGTGGTACAAAACTGAGGTAAAATGACTGAATTCAGTGCTACATTGGGTCATAATATTAAGTGTTTGTTCATATTAAATTAGAAAAAGCTGTTATTCTGAAAAATGCATGAACAATAGTCCTGGAAATCAGCAAAAGTATTCTGCTCTAGATGTTATGTTTGTTACAAAAATCTAAATTCTCTTAGATTTCTTCTTTCCAATCCATTCTGATCTAATGATTGATGAAAATAACTCTGAAGCTGTCTACAGAAGTTTCTACCTATGAATCAGCACAGACTGGGCACTTTCCTTCAGGAGGAAGCCAACAGACTATATATGGGAGAAAACTAAAAGGAGGTAGTCTGAAATCACCAAGGCTGTTTTGGCAAAGCAAATTGGGTAATTCTGCTTCAGTGAAATAAAGCAATTCAGAACATGGAGGTAACTAACAAACCAAATCTGTAGTGCTTCTGACACACCTACTAGAGACTAAAATCCCCTACTGGGAACTTAAATTTGCATTCCTGCACTGAGCAGAAAGATGTCTAAATTATCCCTTCCAACTCTATGAAACTTTTGAGTTTTTAATTCTATAAAATCTTAAGGTTACTATTTCACTAGTGCCTAAATATTCACAATGCTTCTGGCTTTTTATGTCAGTTTAGGTTTTTCATTGGGATCTTGATTTTCTAAGCCCACAAAATCATCACAAACAACTCAAATTGGTTCTGAATTTGGCTAGTTCTCTTTATCTCTGCTAATTTGGTCCTTGATTATGTATCCTACAAAATCTTCAGGAACTGTAAGAATTTTGCCCTCAAGAAATGCAGTCTGTAGTAATACTGAAAAATAATTTAGCTTTATTGCCTTGTTCATACATAGTGTTCAGGCATGGCTTTGTTTGGATGAAGATTTATATGAGGCCTGCCAATTATATTTTGTAAATCATAGATTATGGCATAAAGTTACATTACATTATGATTTATTCAACAAACTGATTAAATAAACTTGACTTTGCATGATACACCTACCCAGTTAGTTGGGAGGTTTTTCAGCTAAAGTGACAAAATTATTTGTTTTGGAGAAGCTCACAACTAGTGAACAATTTTAGAAAAAAATATTGTTTAGTTAATCCCAGTTCTAGAAGTGAAAGAATTAAAAAAAAAACCACCTGATTTGATACAACTATTCTTGTTTAATAACTCAAAACAAAATTACCTCCCATTTTTCTACCTTCCCTCAGAACAAAACTATCATTGGTTTTGAAATGTAGAGAATAATTTAAGTACTTTTTCTTTAACACAGATTAAGCTAGGCTATTATATACTGCTTGCTTGCTTCATTAACTTTTTGAAACAAACTACTTTTTGAAGAGTATTTGGAAGAAAAACTATGTTTACATGAAATGTAAGAAAGATAATCTTGTCAATGTTGAAAATCAGACTGATTGCTTATTAGAAGGAGGCAGAGGACATTCCTTAGGTATGTCAAATTTGTGCCTTGGTTTCAAGAAAAAAAACTCGTTAATCTTTCTCAGTGGTTGAGAAGGAGTCCATAGATAATTGAAACAAATATTCATTTGTTTGTATATTGTTCTTTTATCTAATCAGAATGATTGCAATTGTAAAAAAAAAGCAGCATAAAGATACTAAATAAAAAAAACCAAGGAGACATAATAAATATATACCGTATATAAATACTAAATAATCATAAAACAGTTCACAAAATCTGGTTGTGAAGTGTTCACATCACAGAATCTTCTTATGTGAAGAAGTTACCTTTTTGCTATAACATTGTTACCAAAAAGGGAAACTGTTTTTACAAGTTGCAGTTCTTTTATTTAAAGATTGAAATTGCGGCATTAAACAAAAAACTCTTTTAATTACATGCTTTTTGTTGTCTGTTTGTCTGAAGACTATCTTTGGACCATGCTTGTTATCTCTTACATGCCATCCCTCTCATTAAGGCAGCAGCTTAAGATTGGTGCTTCCAGTAGATTTTTTTTTTTTACAACAAGGAAGGATTCTGGTTTAATTTAAAGGAAGAATGAATTTACATTATTCATATACTGGCCACATTCTGCAATAAAATCTTTTACAGTTTTAGACATTGTAGCCAAGCATTATGCAGTTAAAATGCCAAAATATGTGAGAGTGCACACACAAAGCATAGTAGGAGTCTCGATTTTGAAATAATTTTTTGTACTACTAAGGCCAGCTATCTGGAATTATGTGTCTTTGAATTCAAGGAAGCTTTTTTTCTTGAGGCTTGTGAACTATGATACATTAAGTATACTAGAATCAAAGAAAGATTATAGGTTTTCTTTAATCATTTCTACCACCAGTTCAGAATTACAGGAAAGGACCAATTTTATTGGAAAACTCTTAAAAGGGAACTATTTATACATATTAGTTTTCTATCTATAATGTTGCATTGTTATTATTCCTCATGAAATGCATTTAATGTTTTTAGGCAGGCATATTAAATATGAATTTAGAGGGAGAATTCTTAAAAGTGAAAACCTAAAAAATTCTGAACACTCATACATTTCAGGGTGTGAGTAATGAAGTCCATACGATTGTCTTCCAAAGATAGTTTGCCATTTAAGGCTGCAATCCATACTCCAGACTTCTATTCAACATGACACAATTATTTTAGCCTTGCTACTGCCAATGGATGTGTTTTCTTTTACAGTGCAGTTAGAAATTTGGCAGCTTGTAAATATGTAAGGCTTAATATATGATATGGTTTCATCAGATATTTATGCAAGTATCTCCACTTATCATAAAGCAATTGCATCTATAAATGGGGTACTTGTGATAAACTTTGGAAACTTAGAATGGTTTATAAACCATTATAAGTTTATTTATAAGTTAATATTATAAGTCAAGATTTGTTTGGTACTGTATTTGATTAGCACATTGTGTGAGTCCAATCATTTGTAAGCAACAGATAATGAGTTAAAAAGTACACAAACAAACAATTGAGTTCTATTTAATAAAAGTTTAAAACAATGTCTTAGCATGATGACAAAGTGACAAGATACAAAGTAACCATCCTATTTTTTAATTATTTCATAGAAAATAGAGGCTGTTGCTAATATAAACAAACAAACAATAGAACCATTCCCTACAGCCAGTCTTTCTCCTGCAACTATTGTAACTACATATTGGTTTGGTATTCTGGGAACTAGGCTTGCAATCTATTCTGCAACTTAACAAGGTTATGAAGGGTACTCTATTGAAGTATTTAACAGAGTAACAAAGTTGGAAGAGATCTTGGTGGTCTTCTAGTCCAACCCCCTGCTCAAGCAGGAAACACTATACCATTTCAGACAAATCGTTGACCAGTCTTTTCTTCAAAACCTCCAGTGTTGGAGCATCTACAACTTCTGAAGGCAAGTCATTCCACTGATTAATTGTTCTATCAAGAAGTTTCTCCTTAGTTTTAGGTTGGTTCTCTCCTTGATTAGTTTCCATCCATTGCTTCTTGTCCTGCCCTCAGGTGTTTCGGGGACCCCCCCTCTTCTTAAACGTTTTCTCTCAGAACCACTTCCCATTTTAAAAAATTATGGAGGTCCCCCCCAGAGCTTATATTTAATCAATATTATTATATTTAAAATTAAAGTCATGGCTTTTGCTGCTACTATTGCTTCTCACAATTGATGGGATTCTAAGATATTTTTAATATAGGCTAGCAAATAATTTTGATTTTGTGGACCTTTAAGAGGGTCCTGAGGAACGCCCGGGTATTGTTGGATCATGCTTAGAGAAACCCTGCTCTATTGTATCAATTAACCTTTTCCCCAGTCTTCCATTACAGTTCCTATTTTTCTTCTGTAGAAGTAGTCTATGTTTAGTGACTATTGTTAAGCAAAGTGGTTGCAAAGTGGAACTGCAACTGTGCTGATGATCTTACAGGTAGTCCTTGAGTTAAAATGGCAATTGGGACCAGAATTCTGTTGCTAACTGATGCAGTAATACCACATGTCACATGACCACATTGTTTAATATCCATAATCCCTGCAGTCCCCGCTGCAATCATTAAACGAAAAATTGTAGGAAATTAAGCAAGTATTTCCTCTCGACATCAGTTTTCAACAACTAAACTCAGACAGAAAGTCCCAGGTTACTTGCAAACAGGCCAGCAGGCAGGTAAATGACTGCTGTCAGGTGGGACTGCTGAATGGCTAGGGAGGCATGCATAAGCATAATGGGGCTTGGGGTGGCTGCTACCAAGTGGGAGGGTGTGCAAGTAATGGGGGAGGTGCAGCATGAATGCAATGGGTCTTGGGATGGTTGGTGGCAGGTGGGAGAGGTGCACAACTGGCCAAGGAGGTGTGGTGTGAGTGCAGTGAGGTTCAGGGAGGGTGCTAGGGAAGTTTGCTATTGAGGTTAAGGTGCTGGCTTAGAAACCGGGAGACTATAAATTCTAGTCCTGCTTTAGACATGAAAACCAACTGGGTGATCTTGGACCAACCATTCTCAGCCCAACCTACCCAGAGGATTGCTGTTGAGGGGAAAATAGGAGAAGGAAGTAGAATTATGTATGTTCATCATGTTGAGTTATTTATAAAAATAACAAATGCAGGATAACAAAAAGTTGTGATCATGTGATTGCAGGATGCTGCAATCATTGTGAATCAGCTCCCAAGTTCCCAGATGGTGATCATATGACTGCAAAGGAGTTGGTATGGTCAGACCTTGAGGACTGATGCTAACCATCACTCCTTTAGTACCATTGTAACTTGGAATAATTGCTGAACAACTCATTAACTGAGGACTACCTGATGTTCAGCTTTCCTTTGTTTTACAGACCTGCAAAGGTCATAAATGCAAGGGCTAATCACAAAGCTACTTTTTCAGCACCATTGTAATTATGAGTGGTCACTGCACAGTTACTAAACAAGGACTACCAGTATGTTTGATTTTCTGTATTTCTCAATTTTACAAATTTAACAATATTATCTGTATTTTATTATTTGCTGAATTTAAATTTCCACTCAAATTGCATTTTAATATTAAAATTTATATTTGTAAGGAACAAATAAATCCTTGTTGGTTCAATAGTAAGAGCAAAACTAGCAAACATTATACTACATATGGAAAATGTTTTTACATCTTGGGACGACTTCAAGGAAAAGAAAACAATTAGTCATAAGCTGAGGGCATAGGTACATTTTAGAAAATAATGTTTAGTTTCTCTCATAGCCCTAAGTAATAGGCACAAAATCCTTATGAAACAATTGATTGTTTTAAAGCTCTATTACTTCCACTACAAGGAAGAAATTGATACGTCACTATTAATTTTCTCTTTAACTTTGATTATACAATAAAGCTTGCTATCTAGAATCATTGGAATTTGGATGTAATTTTCACCACAACTCAAAACAGATTGTACTTGATGGGGTAGTAAATCAAGGCAAATGTTTTCTATATACAGGCATGACAGTATTTCCTGTTATTTTGATCAAGTCACAACTGATGTTTAATCATTCAGTACTGAACATAGAAAGAGCTTCAGCAAACATATTATTTTGGCAATTACTTTGTCATAGAAGCATTTGGGTGATTTCAAAAAAAGCTAAGGAAGGATTGGACCTATTTAGTATTTGGATGAGAAATCCCAGGGCAATGGGAAATTGAAAAAAACTTTCCTGAATAATGTTCTAGAGGTGCTAGAGAAATTAAAGAGAAGTTTTAAAACTAGTAAATTCATACTTGGCCACTAGCTGTTCTTTTTAATGGCTGCCTGAGTCACCCAGATGAAAAAATATGTTAAGGAACATACTAAGAATCCCTCTTTCCTTTCATTCTTGATTTCTTTGAACTGTTATAAGTAATATAGGTTGCAGGACTTTTTAAAGAGAATTATAGTAAATTAAAATTAGAATGTTCCTGCACTAATCTAACATAACTGATTAAGGCATGGTCTCATCCTGAGGCATCTGATAAATTTTGACAAATTTGAAATCCTAGTGATCTTATATCCAGCAGAGGTACAAAGAAGGTGCTGCAATCTCTCTTTCTCTCTCTCTCTCTCTCTCTCTCTCTCTCTCAGGAATTAATGTCACCCATTTGTTTATGTAGTAAAAGCTCGTGATGTGTCTCTGTTCATACATGCAACCCTCCTGTCTAAAGGTGGAATGAGAAATTACATTGTCTCTTTTTTGTGGTCCATTTGGACGTTTGAAATACAGGTGTGCTTATATATAGCTGTTGAAGAATCAAGAATCAGGTAGTCCTCAGGTTCTGATGGCAATTCAGACTGGAATTACATTGTTAAATGTTGTGATCTTAAACTGCAATGTCATACAGCTGTATCACTTACCAACAAGTGCTACTTGCCACACAAGTCATGAAGTGAGAAGCAGCAGTAGTCCTAGGTAAGGAACATGGAAGTGCTGCACGGGGGGGGGGGGAGATTGACAAGGCCCTGGTACAAGCCTTACATGAGTTGGGTGAGGCTGGGGATGAGGGGTGCTGTGGCAGGGCACAAGCACAAGAAGGCCATGAGGTGGATGGCACAGTAGGATGCAAGGGTAGGAAGATCGGGGTGGGTGGCGCAGCAAAGCCCAAGATTAGGAAGACCAGGGATAGATGGTGCAGCAGGAAAGCCAGAGGATGGATGGTGCAATGGAGCCCTTGTGCCGGGAGATTTGGAGGGACTTATTTGAGTGATTTACAACTTTCCTTGCCAATTTCCCCATTTCTTGTTTGCCAAGAGCCCAAGCAGTGATCACATGAGAGCAAAGATGATGTGATGGCTGGAACTTCAAGGATAAGCGGTATGTACCACTCAGCACTATCCCAACAGTCACTGAATGACTGGTCAGTAAGTCAGTAAGAATTCAAGTATGTAACTTCAATAGAAGTACAGTATTACAGTTATTGGTAATTCTGTATTGGTATTATTGGCCACGATTTATGAAATTTGGCTAGCATGTTTGTGCTCTGTGTACATATGTTTAAAGATTAGTACTTTAGAAAACTGCTTATTCAAGCTAGTAACATCAGCATTAATTCCTCATTCCTTTCCTCCTATTTATTAAAGATATATAATTTTAAAAACATATTTACACTATGATGCTGTTCTATTCTTGCCATCAAGTAAGCTCCATTGGACTCTAGGGAATATACTATTATATTGCCTAAAGATGTACTGGATTATATTATTAATTATATGCATGCCATTCCATTTACCAGACTTCACACATTTGTGATATTTTTTTTTCCTTTCAAAACAAAAACACATGCACATTCTGAAATTTATTATAGCCTCTGCTGTCACTATTTTCCTCATCAAAACTTCTAGTTCAGTTAAAGGCATACAGATGCCTTTCAACTGACTGGTAGAAAACCTTAGGTTCTTTCTTCAAAGTATATTAAAAACTAGCTTTAAAATTATGAATACAAACATATCTATTGAGATGGAGCCTATGTGTAATTGCTTTTCATGGAACAAATATTTCCTCACAACTTACAAATGTGTCCTAATTTATATTCAAAACATCTTCTACATCCGAAACAGTAATTTTCACACCTTCAAGGACATTGTTCTGTTATACTGAAATTATGATTTATTTCAAGTTTTGAAGAGCCATAGTGGTGCAGTGGTTAGAATGCAATATTGCAGGCTAATTCTGCCCACTGCCAAAAGTTCAATTTTCAGCAGCTCAAGGTTGATTCAGCCTTCCATCCTTCCGAGGTCAGCAAAATGAGGACCCAGATTGTTGGGGGAGCAATATGCTGACTCTGTAAACCACTTAGAGAGGGCTGTAAAGCACTATGAACCTGTATATAAGTCTAAGTCAGTGTTTCTCAACCTTGACAATTTTAAGGTATGTGGACTTCAACTCCCAGAATTCCACAGCCAGCAATGCTGGCTGTGGAATTCTGGGAGTTGAAGTCCACATGCCTTAAAATTGTCAAGGTTGAGAAACACTGGTCTAAGTGATATTGCTATTGCTACTGAAAATTGTAGTCAACAAGCATATAGTTGTAAGTTTATTCAGCTAGACAGGTTTGCATGCTTTTGTTCAGTAACTTTGTATTTGGTGTAAAAGTAGATGATTAATGAGCTTTCTTCAAGTAAGAGGTCTTGTGGTTTGCAGATTATTACAATAATTAGACTTTTTAAAGAAATGAACCATGATGTATCCTCAAGGTATGACAACAAAATAAATTGTGCAGTATATGCATGCCTTTAAAGGTAAGGAACTTTCTTGGCCTATCTATGTACTACAAAAACTCTTGTTGTCGTGACTCATGACCTTTAAATGGGGAAAATGCTGCATCACGGGGCAACAGTTTTTGAGCCAAGGCATCTCAAAGTGACTTTCTTACAGATTATGTCCAAAATCCTGAAACAATGTCCCAAGGAGGCAGGGGTTGTCTAGCTGATTACTAAAGTGCTTAAACATACTGAGCACTTGTTTTGGACACGTTGTGTAAGAGCATTCTTGGAAAAGGAAAAAGGTTCAACCAGTCCTCAGCTGAATGGAACAAAAAGGGCCAGGGAGGGGACGGTTTGGAAGCTAAAACTCCTTCTGGTCAGAGTTTTCGCTAAGCCTTCCCCAGCAGAGAGAGATTAAAGAGGCCTCCTGACAAAGGGCTCTGTAAGTGAGGGGATGAAGGTGAGGCATCCGGGGTGCTTGCGTGACTGCTCGAAGAGTCAGGAATAGGCACCAGTCTCAAACCCTTCACTACCATTTAGTTTCTCACGGCCACCACACGCTGTTTCTCCTCAACTCTCCACACGCTCTTCTCAGAAGAACGCCGAGAGCAATTTGTGCCTTTCTCCTTAGCAAGAATGAGAAAGGGTTGCACGCTGTTTGGTCAGAGAAGAAAGGGGGGGGGAGGAGGAGGAGGGGGAGGAGATGGAGGCTAGCCACCCTTCGGGTAGGATGTGCGAACTGGAGGGCGGAAACTTTGGAGGAAGAAGAAGGGAAGAAGCGAGCGGGCCGGAGAGAGAGTCGGTGGGATTTCTTGCGCCGGTGGAAAATCTCAGCGGGAGAACAGAACCGAAGTGAAGGAAAAAAGTGGCGGGAGAAGAGAAAAGGCGTGTAAGAAACGACGAAGCAACGAACAGAGTAGCCAGCGGGCAGGCGAATCCCACCACAGCGGCTCTGCATCTTCACGCCTCGTCGCTTCCCACGCGAGTCAAGTGAGCGGTGGCGCGCCAGTTCGAGCGGAAATGGAGCTGCTTGGGAAGCCCCTCGGCTGCGCTGTGGCGCTCGTCTTATCTCTCGGGGGCTGCTTCAGTCTGGTCTCCCCCCACTCGGGTCCAGGTCGTTCGGGCGCCAGAAACAAGTAAGACTCCCTCCATCCCTCCGACCCGGCTTTCCCCCAATCCACCTTTCCTTCTCCGAGCCTCGGGAAAACTATATGAACATTTCAGGTCTGCCTCTTCCCCCACCCTCTGCGTACAGAGACCTTTGTGGGCTCACATATTATTTTCCTGCCATTTGTAATGCTGCAGGGTGAATAATGTAAAACCCAAATCGACGGGTGGAGTCCCCCGTCTCTTGGATAGGCGGTGAATCCCGGCTTTTCTCCCTGGTGTTGACAGGTCGCAAGAGGCGAGGTCATTTGAGGGTTTGATACTCTTCTCAAACCGGCCAATTGGAGCAAATGGCTGCCTGGTGGCAAAACGGAGAATGGGTGGATTGGCGAGCCTACGGAACCTCTTCCCTGATCCATGTAGTCACTTACACCTTCTGGGCTGGGAAGCACGGCCTGTTGGAGTTGCCATTTTCTGAAAGAACTTGGGCTGAGTTCACACGTGCCTGATTTTTCCTTCCATGAGTTTCCTAGCTCGAACTAAGTAGAAACGTGTACGACTTGAATTGGCTGATTCCTTCTACAACGTTTATTTTGTGATTCATTTCTTCCTTTTGAATATTTGTACAGTATCCAGCCTTTGATTGAATTTAGAGATCTGGTTCCTTTTTAGCCAACCCAAAACAGTTTGCCTGCCATTGAATTTCAGTACCAGGCAGATACTTCTGCTTATTTTGACATTGTTGTATTCCCCCCCTCCCCGCCACTAATGACTTAAAGTTAGAATTATTGAGTGACACTTGACAGTTCTCCATTGAATTTATCTACACTTTAATCACCGTAAGAGTGTCATACCAATCTATGGCAGGCCAAAATTTTTTGGACAAATGATTTTAGCCCTAGTGCAATGGTGGCGAACCTATGGCATACATGCCAGAGGTGGCACTTAGAGCCCTCTCTGTGGGCATGTGTGCTGTTGCCCCAGCCCCACCTCCCTCCATGGCCCCCTCCTCTCCAGCAGCTCCCTCAGTGGAGAGTTGTCCGCGGGCGCGGCCTGCACAGAGCAGTGCAGCCAAGGACATGGCACCCGGGCAGCAGGGACAAGACTCCGCCCTCGCACCCCGTCGTGAACAGATGATGTGGGGTGCAGGTGGAGGACATGGCCGCCATGGTACTGCTGGGCTGCTGGGGCGATCTGTGGCGGGCTGTGGAGGCAGTGTGTGGTCCCACGGGCAGGGTGGGGCATGGAGTGGGGGCGGGGGCGGGGCAGTTTTTGGGCACTTGGTCTCTAAAAGGTTCGCCATCACTCCCCTAGTGGCTAATAAAAAACAAACAACAGTCGAACCAATTGTAATGTATGCAGCGTATGCACTCTTGAGCACACAATCCAATAGTTATTCTCTATGTGATGCCTAAGTTCAGACTGCGCTTCTTTTCAGTTGGAGATTATTATTTCTGACAGCAAAATAATATTTTCTGCTGTTTCTATAGCATATGAATACTATCAGGCTGGTCTTCCCCTTAGTGAAAACACATGTTGACAGTGCTTAGACTATATGTGTAGTTGTCAAAGCGTGTCTTGTCTTTATTTATTAAATGTATATGTCACCCATCTTGCCATCCAGAGATGGCATTTTTTTATTGGTTAATCAAAGAGAGATCAATTTTCAATTGATATCAGTAATACTTGAGTTCTTTTGAACATGGATTTAGTGCTACTCCTAGACAGCACTAAACATGTTTCAAAACAGAATGAGCACCCTAGATGCAATATTTACCACACTTGGAATAAATACTGCATTCAGTTTTGGTCACCACAATATAAAGAAGATGTTGAGACTCTAGAAAGAGTGCAGAGAAAAGCAACAAAGCTGAGTGGACTGGATGATAAAACATACAAAGAACAGTTGCAGGAACTGCATATCTCTAGTTTAATGAAAAAAGGACTAGGGGTGATATGATAGCAGTGTTCCAATATTTGAGGGGCTGCCACATAGAAGAGAGGATCAACCTATTCTCCAAAGCACTTGAAGGCAGGACAAGAAGCAATGGATAGAAACTAATCAAGGAGAGGACCAATCTAGAACTAAGGAGAAATTTCCTGACAGTTAGAACAATTAATCAGTGAAACAACCTGCCTCCAGAAATTCTGAATGCTCCAACACTGGAAATTTTTAAGAAGAGACTGGACAACCATTTGTATGACATGGTATAGGGTTTCCTGCTTGAGCAGGGATTGGACTAGAAGATCTCAAAGGTCCCTTTTAACTCTGTTATTCGGTTATTCCCTCTTTACAATCTGGATTGGAAACAATCAAGGAACAAGAATCCAAAAGCTCTAAGAGTATTTATTATAAATAAAATAAAAGTTACAATACAATTCAAGCAAATATCTATTCTCAAATGGAACAAGTATATATAGGTAGTTTTAGGGCAGCAAAACTCTTGCTTATTTTCTCCCACTCTTTCTATGCAGAGTGCTAAATACACTATTAGCATTTAGCAATATCAATGGCATTTAAGCTTATACAGTATACCACCCCACTGAGTTTTATAGCACTCTCTGAGCAGTTTACAAAATCATCTTATTGCCCCCAACAATATGGGTCCTTATTTTTTTTTATTGAAAATTTTTAAAAGTTTTTACAAATAAGGAGAAAAAAAATAAAAAACAAAAAACAACCCTACCCAACCACCCCAACCCTCCCAGTCCATCCCCCCCACCTTCCCAGAGCTGAATATAGGCTTAATTAAAATTTCTAAAAATCTTAAAAAAAATTAAAAAAATATAAACCATTAATATATCTAAATACATTACCTAAGCTTATAAGATAATTAACAATAATATATATGTAAAAAAAAAACAAAACATAGGTATTAAAAAAAGAGAAAAAAATTACTTAAAAAGAAAGAGAATAAAAGAGAAAAGAAAGAAGAAAAGATATATATATATATAAAAGAAATAAAATAAGATGAGATAAAAATAAAAAATATAAGGAAAGAGAAGAAAAAAAATACAATCTATAAAATATTAAAATTTATATATAGGTTATTGAAAAACTAAGTAATATTTTTATATCCAACTTATGTTGTATAAAATCTATCCATTTTTCCCATACCGCAAAAAACTTCTCTTGCGATTGATCCTTTAAAAAAGCCAAAATCTTTGCCATTTCCGCCAAATAAAAAACTTTAAAAAACCATTCTTGCAAGGTAGGCAAAGATTCCTTCTTCCAGTATTGCCCTACTAACAACCTTGCGGCTGTGATTAAATTTAACATCAGTATAACCTCCTTAACATCACAATCAGTAACAATACCCAACAAAAACAATTATGGGGTAAATTTTACCCTCCTTCTAAAAATTCTTTGAATATTCCACCATATCTTAATCCAAAAAGCTTTTATATTTTTACACGACCACCAAATATGATAATAAGTAGCATCCAAACAACCACATCTCCAACATTTAGGCTGTAAGTCAGGATACATACGAGACATTTTTTGTGGATCAAGGTGCCATCTATAAAACATTTTGTAAAAATTCTCCCTTAAGTTCTGGGCTTGTGTAAATTTAACATTCCTCACCCAGATGGTTTCCCAAGTGTCTAGTAGAACTGGTTCACCAAAATTTTGTGCCCATTTAATCATACATTCTTTAATTAGTTCTGGTTCTGAATCCAGTTCTACTAGCAAATATGGGTCCTCATTTTATCAACCTCGGAAGGATGGATGGCTGAGTGCCCCATCAGGATTGAACTCCATGCTGTGGGCAGAGTTTGCCTACATTCTAACCACTGCATCACCAGGGCTCTTCTTTTGTAATAGGCAAAAAATAGCAGAAAAAAGAGTATGGAGTATGTCCTGCCATGGTTATGTGCAAGCAGGGAAAAGTCCTGAGTAGAGCAGAATGCTTCTTGCTACTGGGAGTTGTAGAGTGAGGATAAAGCAGTTGGAAATGGTACTGTGCAGATGTATAAGATAAAAAAGTACACAGTTACACTGTACACACTAAGATATGTTTTATCTATCTATGCTTACATAAAGAAGCCTTAATTTACCACGTTCCTCTGTTTTGCTAATATCCCATAGCCTCATGAAAATGTATATCAGTGTTCCACATTTTGATATTTGCCAGATGTGAAACTATAGCTTCTATAATCCTCAGCCTGATTGGCTAAGAATTGAAGTAGTTTTAGGCATATACTATAAAGACACCAAATTTGTGAACATTGTTTTAGATGACTTTATTAAGTGTTCTTTGCACTTTAATTTTATCACATTTTTGTCGTTCCATCTGGATAGTGTTGACATCTGAAGTAATGATTTCAGTAGAAATGTATATTTCACTTGGTCTTTCTAAATGGTATTCTAGTTGGTGATGAGATTTTTTGGTAGTCTCTTGCAGGAGGTCATCCAAGTAGGCAGGTGTATTGTAGAACTACCACCATGTCACTTTTGTGTCTGTTGTTCCTCATTTATATAAAAGGTTGTGTGAAAAGTCTATATTACTTTAGATAGCACATGACACTAGAAACTTACATTTTTGCATAACATTTATAGGTAGTCCTCTACTTACAATCATTTGTTTAATGACAGTTCAGAGTATCTGAATGGCACTGAAAAAAGTTACTTATGACCAGTTTTCACATTTACTACCATTGCACATCCCCATGGTCATGTGATCAAAATTTGCTTGACAACTCGCATGTGTTTATGACACTTGCACTGTTCTGGAGTCATGTGATCACCGTTTATAATCTTTCCAGCTAACTTCCAACAAGCAAAGTCAATAGGAGAAGCATGGATCATTTAACAACCTCAGTGATTTGCTTAACAACTTTCATAATGGTTCGAGTCAGGGATGTCCAATCTTGGCAACAGCAAGGGTTTTGGACTTCAACTCCCAGTTGGATGGAGAATTCTGAAAGCTGAAGTCCACAAGTTTAAATGTTGCCAAAGCTGGACATCCCTGGTTTACAATAAATAATTTGTTTAAAAAATAATAAATATATTTACTGTTATGGAGATTTGAATCTTTGAATGCCTGTTCATGCTTTTTCCAGGGCTATTGTTATTGAGAGTAGCCTGACACGTAAGATTTTTTTGTTGTACTTGAATGTTTCAAAATTTTATTAAGCAAAATTCCACACAGATGGCAATACTTAATCTTTAAAGAAAAGAATAGAGTTCTATTAGAATAGGAAAATTTAATTCTAACAAGCAAAAACAGTAAGCAAAGATATTGAAATCTGATTTATGTACTTAAAATATTTGCCTTTTTTCATTTAGTTTTCTACAGTTGTTCCGCATGCAGAGTTTGCATCATGATGTATTTATATCATTATTCTCCACCTGTTCTCGCCCCGCAGGCATTGTTTGACCCACTGATAATCAGCCATAGCTTATATAATATAAATTTAATACATTAGTACTTAAGTAAAACCATATTATGATTTAGCACAATGTGTATGAATCCTGTCTCTTTTGCATTTTGGAATCAGGGATTTATGTCTCCGTATCTCAAAATACAAAAACCATAAATCCTGTGTCTATTTATCTGGGAACATGGCTCATCTTGCATCTGAGTAGACATACATAAAATGAGCTCTTATCCTCATACATTTTGTTATTCTCTACACCGCTACATTTTATTTAACTCCTATATTTGCATCCAAAAAGAACACATACATTATAGCTAGAGGATCTTCTGTGTTCCTCATGTGTTGGATCAGTGGTAGGAAGTGGAAGAAAATAATTGCTTCTCTGCTTTGATTCTCCCTTGGGTAAAACATTTGACCAATATTACATATTTGATTTAGACAAATAGTTTAATAACATGTACTGTAATGTGTGCCTTTTCTATTCTTGCTGTCTCTACAGAAACTGGTGTGCCTACATAGTGAACAAGAATGTGAGCTGCTCTGTGCTGGATGGCGCTGAAAGTTTTGTTCAAGTTCAGTATGTATGTCTTTGGAACCAGGAACCCTGCCCACATGCTCCTGTGTAAGTAAGAATACCAATCTAGAATGGGAGAATATTTGATTATTTTTTTCAGCAAAGCAGTATGGCCATAAGCAGCATATCATGAGGATCTGTACCATTTTTTTTTTAAAAAAATTGCAACTGTAGCATAAAATATTTATATTATAGTCCAAGACAGCTGAAGCAAATTAGAGAAACTGACTCTTCTTCAATAAATCATTGAACAATTTATTGTTACATTATTCAGACTAAAGAAGGAAATTGCAAAAATATTATAATTACATAACTAATTTGAGACTAATACCAGAGAAGAATTTTTCATAATACTTCAATCAGAGTTAACATATTTAGTACCTAGCGTTTTGTTCAGTCTACTGATCAATCTGTGTGACCGTTTGTTGGTGGAAACAATTCTTCGGCTTATATGTTTTTCATTTGCAGGTTGCAGGCATCCTGAGCAGTCATAAACTTTGTTGTAAATCATTAGCAGTCTTTGAAATAATTGGGATGAAGCCAAAATATACCCATAATTTTGAGTCTGTGTGTTTGAAATGTGTGTTGCCTTGATATTCAGAAATACATATTTTGGAATGTAAAGAGTTACACTTTTATTAAATAGAAACCACAAAGCCATTGAAGGAGTTATTAAAATAGAAATCTTAGCCAGCCATCTGGCCAGCAGCTAGCCATTTGGCCGTAGTGGCAGGGGAGGGATGTTAGACTGATGTGAACAGCATAATAACACAAGCCTCACCCACCCACCCCTTTTTTTTTTTTTTGCATGTGTGACAACACATGCTCAAAAGAGGCAGAACTTGTAGTGAAACTTCATGGTATTGTTTTCATCAGAATAATCCTGTGGGTGCCATTGCATCTGTCCAAGTGGATCATCCATGAAATACGGTACCAGAAACCATTCCATTACTTGGTTCTCAAATTGAGAAGTACTTAGAAGATACTTTATTCCCATATTTGAAAAAGTCTAGCAAGTAAATCCCACTGTTTCAGTGCCAAGAGTCTTGACTATGGTACATAGTCTTGGTCTGCCTCTCAATCTACTAAACCCTATTTTTGTAATATTTTGAATTGCAAATATAAAATTATATCTAAAGTGATAGCAGAATTGCAAATGTGATTGTAACTAGCTTGTTGCTGACAAGGGAAGTGGCAGTATGAATAATGGAGGGCACAGCATCCCTCTGTCTTTTCTTTATGTCAGTTGCCTTTCTTCTAATTAAGGATTTGGGGATTTGTTTGCCATACAAGTAAGGCAAAGTGTCTACTTAAAAGAAATTCTCTGTTGACTAGGTTGAAACAATGTAAAGCTACATACTCTCCTATTTCCTTTTAGCTTATAAAAGGGAAAGAAGGGGAGGGAGGAATACCTGAGGCTAAGATGTTACCTTACATGAACAAACTTGGATAAGTCATCCCTTAGGGTTACATTTGAACAAACAGCCTTACGTATGCATCAATCTCCAACATATCTCTGTCTTTATAGGTGAAGAATTATATCATTTTTAATAATGCATTCAAATAGCTCAATATGTTTTAAAATACACAGAAGAAAATATTGTTGGATAAGTACTAGAATGTACCAAAATGAACCAGGAATAGATTTTTTTATATATTGTAGCTTATTAATTACATTGGATGGGTAACTAAAGCATAAAGTATTGAAAAGACAGAAGATGTAAAGTATTTTAAACATGTATTTCAGTCTTTTGAGATTTTTATTTATAAATCCCAGATTGCTGGGTGGAATTAACTTTTCATCTTGCATCCTCTGATCTAATATTACTTATCTCTATCAACAAAGAGCAACAATACATTCCTTTTCTCTTATTTGCACAGAGGTTTATACTCTTATGCATCATTCACAACTAACCATGAAGTTCACGCTAGTTTCCCTTTTGTCCAAATGAAACATAGACATCTATATTTGAGCTTTAATGTTACTTGACGTTTTAAAGAAGAGGATAATGCTCTATTAATGTTTAAAATGATAATAGAGTAAAATATAAAAGTTTCACAATGAATAACTTTATGTAGCGGTATAATTGAATAGCTTAGTGTTGCTGGCTTAATATTCTCTCCATCATGGTGACCCATAATCCTTTTTATATGACTTTATATGCTGCACAGTCATTGTGATCAGCTTTGAAAAATGGACCATACTCTCTGGATGTAATATATATATTCCAGACCCCAGTTTGTTTTAGGATATTTATGACTTGCTTGCTATGGTCCCTCATTCTCATGTAGCAGATGATGTCCTTTTGAATAAGGGGTTAACTTGCCCAAAAGAACTTCAGGTTAGTTCAGTGCATGCAAAGAAAAGGAAGAGGTTCATTGCTCTGCTTCTTATTCATGATTATTTTGGAAGAAAGGAAGAATAATTCACCAGCAGACAGCATTACTTGTACGGGCAGAAAGTTGGTTGAACACATTGCATGCAGCTGGAAGGATGAATACATTCAGGGTTTTTTTGCTCAGTTCCTGTTTTAAAATTATATACAAGCCAGAAATGGAAGTTTAGACCAAATTAGCTGATAGAAGCCAGTTATGAATCCTGACATTATTTAATTGGCTTATTTAACTATATTGTAGAAAGAATAGAAAAAATGAGCCCAGTTTTTTTTCCCCCATGGGTTTCTTTTTGTTCTGGCACATGTATTTTACTAAGATAACACTGTGTAATGTTGTAAACACCCTCTGAAAAACTTAAAGCTACATTTTTCTATGAATAAGATTTATATAATTTATAATACTGTAGTATACAAAGTTCATAAAAATAGAGTATACAAATTCATTATATTACAGAATGGCTGGAGAGCCTGCTTCATGTAGTGATTAAGGCACCAGGCTAGAAACCAGGAGACAGTGAATTCTAGACCTTGGGCCAGTCACTCTCTTAGCTCAAGGAAGGAGACAATGGCAAGCCACTTTCCAAAAACCTTGCCAAGAAAATTGCAGGGACCAGCCCAGGAACTAAATTAAAGGCAACCTCCCCAACAACTTGACTTCTAGCATTTCTCTCCTAGTGTATGTTGCAATTTTTAAAAAATGAACAAAGAAAGCAATACATTGGAAAACAAAGCCAGAACTTTCTATTCATATGGTAAGTTCTAAAGATAAGTATTATCACATCTCTTGATGCCACTAGGAAGTTGTCCGTATGTTTGATTTCAGGAAGGCAGTGAATCTTTTCAAGACAAACCTTAGATCTCAATGAAAAACACAGGTGGTAGATGTTATAACTTCAAACACTCCTGTAAACTATCACAGAATGTTTCTAAAGGAAACTAACAATTAAGAAACCACAATATGTTTCTAAAGGAAACAATTAGGAAATCCCCAATAGATTTTAAAGGCCATCTTTAACTCTTCTGTGAAAAAAGCTTTAGAAAGTACCCCTGATCCTCTGGATAATTGGAACATTTTAAATAGTACAATGTTTGCCTTTGTGTGATTTTAGTTTCTCATGCTTTATAGTAAAAAACACTGTTAAATCTCATGGGAAATATGATTCCATGGTTTGGGAATGTTTAACTGCTGTGGATTCAGCAATAAGGGAGTGGTTCTGTTTTCAGCAGTTGCATAACACTTCACATTTCTACTGTGTTCTGCAATAAGCCCATTTGTGCACTGATGTGGAAAAGATTCTCTTCTCCATGAGGGGTAGAGCTATTTGGCTGAATGCAAGGAAATGATGTGTGTGTGTATGTGTGTGTACACTAGATAGCCCATGGCCCATTAGGTCATTCCTTTTCCCACATATAATAGAGGCATGCACCATTTTCTCTCCCCTCATGAACTTCAGGAGAGTCCCAGTGAAGCCGCCTCCTCCTCCTCCTCCTCCTCCTCCTCCTCCTCCTCCTCCGACCTGCTGAACTTCCTGCCTTTGCTTGGGGAAAGGGGAACAAAAGACTAAGGAAAACTGACCCCACTTCCCATTCCCCACCCTCTCTCCCGTGAGTAAGAGGTCCTCTCATTATTGGCATTCCTACCCAGACCTGCCTCACCAATAGGCATCTCACTTGGTCTCTGTCTGTTCCTCTTTTCACATAAAATGTAGGCTTGTACCATTTTCCCTCCCATCACAACCCTCAGGAGAGCCCTAGGTGTAACCTCCTCCTCCTCCTCCTCCTCCTCCTCCTCCTCCTCAGATCTGTGGAACTGTATGCCCCTTTCTGGAGGAAGGAGGAACAAAGGGAGCTGTGGACCATGAGGAAAACTACCTCATGAACCACTACTCCCAATTCCAACATGTTCCCAAGGGACCCCTCCCTCCATGGAAAAAGAGATTTCACCTTTTGACCCACATAAATCAGTAGACTGAGTATTGAGTGAAACATTGTCCTTAAGAAAAATATACTGAGGTTGTTTTGTTAGGGTAGTGATTTTCATGGGTATGTGTGTTAAAGACATAAAAAGAACAGACTTAAAATCACAATAGTTTTATTGATATTTGTAAACTTAGATCAAAATATAAACATTTGGGAAATCTTATCAGATAACATTATATGTTACTTTCCAGTGGTAAAGCAAGTGGTACAATGGATTTCATAGCTTTTTAATTATTTAAAGCTCAGTTTCCAATCATCCGTTTGAACTAATATAACACATTAAAAGGAAACCCCCAATACTACTAAGACATCAGTTTTCCAATTTTTGGTAGATGCTTGTACAGTCATGTAAAAAATAAAAATCATTTAAAGCATAATTGTAAATATACATTTTTTGAATTTTGTAAAAGTTTTGTTATTCAAAATTTTACTCAATTTTCTTATCCCTTATATCGAAGTCTTAATATAGAAACAAGTTGATGTGCATGAAGCCCATGAAGTTTGATGTAAGCTTAAATAGTGTTAGAGATATCTCTCTAAAGCAAACATCATATTCCATTCACTTCAGAGAATTAAAAAAAAAAGTAGCCTAAATTACTTGTGCAATAATAAGTGGGTATATGTTGTGGGTAAGAACAGAACACGGGGAAAGCTGTGGGTGGTCAGGATATTAGGTTTTCCACCTTGTTCTCCTTCACCACAACTATTGTTTACATATTTCTACATTTCAACTAAAAGTTAGTCTTGTATGTATCAGATACTGGAATTTATTCCTGAATGAACATGCTCTATGCATAATTTTCCCCATTTGTTTATTTAATTAATAATAAATGGTTTTTCAGATGTCTTAGCAATGCTTATAACAGAAAATTTTATATAACTGGAATTTATTTTTGTTTTGTGCACTAAAGACTTGTGCTTAGTGTACATAAACAGAATTTCCCTGTTTTCAAATAATGCAGAAAAGTAAAAAAAACAACGATGTGACTTTCAAAACTAGGTTCAAAGCTGTTTCTAAAATGCTGCAAAGATTTGTCCCTTAGTTTTCAAAAGGAATTGCAGTAGTTTCATTTGATATTGAAGGCAACTTTAAATATTATATTAATATTTAAATTATAAGCTTAGATCATGTAAACATTAACATTTGCAAAACAGTATATAGGTAGTCCTCAACTTACAGTTTGTTTAGTGACCGTTCATAGTTACAACAGCACAGAAAAAAGTGACTTATAATCATTTTTCACACTTACGACCATTGCAGCATCCCCATGGTCACATGACCAAAATTCAGATGCTTGGCAACTGACTCACATTTATGACAGTTGCAGTGTCCTGCAGTCATGTGATCACCTTTTATGACCTTCTGACAAGCAAAGTCAATGGGAAAGCCAGATTCACTTAACAGTCGTATTGCTAATTTAACAATTGCAATGATTCACTTAACAACTATAGCAAGAAAGGTTGTAGAATGGGGCAAAACTCACTTAATGTTTCACTTAGCAACCAATGTTGGGCTAAATTGTGTTCATTACTCAAGGACTACCTGTATGTGCAGTGATTAGACTGATAGGGTAGTATAGGTCAAATGGGATCCTACGTCTCATTCTTCAAATTGTCTTTCAAACTACTTCCATTTTACAAAGTAGTTTAAAACCTTTTCATATGTTTTGAAGATTTAGGACAGTGTTCAGCAGTAGTCAAGCTAGTTTGTAAATCCAGCCATGAGTTCAGTATTCTGAGAACAACAGTGTGATTTAAATCCATACAAATAATTCAAACAGGTCCTTTGCCACATGTGGGGACATGAATGAAGGAACTCTTTTAACAGTTAAGGAAGTGATATCCTTTGAAAGGTTCACATTGCTGTTTCCAGATATCCCTGTAAGCTTGTTCATGCACAACATGTGATGCATTATCAGTATCACAATGTATTTGCTATTTTCTATTAAGTGAATCTCTCCAGATGAGTTGGAATGCTGCTGCTACTATCCCTATCCATCTATGAATGTGTAAGTGTATCTCTCTGTGTACCATTGTCTCTGAAGAAAACAATTATTATGTTCACCATTTTCTTCATACATGCTGTATTTGTGGTAAAATTCACATTTTCATTTCACTCAAAAAAAGAAAGAAAATGGATTTGTTACAGTCATAGGCCAGAGTTCAACTGAAATAATTATAGAGATAAAAGGGCCATTTAAACCATCAAGTCCAAGATCTAATGAATAAAGGGATCCAGATTAAAGCATCCCTGGCAGATGGCTATAAAGGCCTTGCATGAACACAGTCAGCAAAAGATAAGCCATCACCTCTCTTGTAATTGATTCCACAAACAACCTACACAATCTACATCAGGGGTGGGGTCAAACTGCCAGCCCACGAGCTGGATGCATCATAGCAAAACCGCGCCCACCCCATTGCCGGCAATAGCAAAAAAGTTGTGCTACGTTGTGACACGTCATGTGACATTGCAAGTTTGACACCCCTGATCTACATTAAGGAATGATAAATACATCTTGGTATGTCTAAAAGATAGTACACTCAGGTTTCTTAATTTTAATTATTGTATTTGGTCTGCTTACATGGTTTGCTGAAAGGACAAAACAATAAAGATAGTTCAACATGCTACTTTTAATTAATTACAGGTATCGAACAAGTTTGAGGCCTAAATATACTTTAACCTACAAGATGGTAACCGAATTAGAGTGGAGATGTTGTCCTGGATACATGGGTGTAGATTGCAAAGAGGCTGTAGCAGAAAAGCCAAGATCAATAGCTTATCCAGCAGAACTTCCACCCAATGATATGAAGCCAAGCTTGGGTAAATGTTTCTTTAGCTCTTGATCTGCATGGTCTTTTTGCTGAATTTTACGCCAACCTTTTATTGTTTAATGTGCTTTGCTATGCTAGCTAGATTTATTAGTTCTGTTAATTCTGTGAGGTAGGTTATTCCTACATTATTTTATGTGTTATTTTCTACATCATTTCTACCAGTGCATATAATAAAATCATTTCCCATGACAATAGACAATTCTTAACCACTAGTTGAAGTTTAGTAGCTATGTTTTTTAAATTTATATTAATCAATGAAATTGGTCAATAATTAGCACATGGCATATAACCTTTATGATTTTGGCATAACTGCAATATATGTTTCATTAAATGAAAATAAAAATTCATTTTCAAAATTCATATTATAGAATTTGATTATAGAGCTGATTAAGTTTAGGACTATGTACTAATAAATATTTTATACCATTCCACGGAAAAGCCATTCCATTACTCATATTCAAAAATATCTTTTGATCTTATTCATAGTCGAAAGAAAGAGTAATAATTATTACTGTGAAAGGTCAAGTTTTAGCTTTAAAATTCTCTAGATTTTTCATCAGATACATTATCAAATTTATATAATAAATCTGAGTAATATTTTAAAAATTGAAAGTATATGTTCTTTGGGGATTATATACAGGTAGTTCTAGATTAACAATTGCAACGTTCAGCAACTGTTTTAATTTGTGACAACGCTGGAAAAGTATTTTATGATCAATCCTTAAACTTATAACGGTTGCAGGATTCCCACTGTCCAGTGATTGCCATTTGCAACTTTCACAGCTGGCTTCCTACAAGCAAGCCAGCAGTACACTTTCAAGTCACAGTCACATGATGCCACCCTTAACAACTGCAGGTGCTTTACATAATGACTGCAGCAGAACTAACGCCTTTCACATGACTGCAGCAGAACTGACCTTTCACTTAATGTTGTGCCATTTAGTGATGGAGCTGCTTATCCCAATTGTACTCATTAAGTGAGGACTATCTATATCTTATTTTTAATTACTATAACTATTTTGCCTTTTTTATTTCAGTCAGTTTGTTAAGATTCTACTTTTATAATTTTCCCAGCATTTTTGATGTGACCATCTTACAAAAATTTAGTTTGCTATAATAAGATATTATTCAACTCATATTTTCTGTATATCCATTAATAGGCTGTTACTATTAAAGAGAAAATTTTCCTTTTGCCTTTCAAATTGGTCTCTTAGTTGGTTTTGAGTTTCTAACATGATACATAGATTTAAATTTTCTTATGACTCCTTTCTTTATGTGGTTTCTTAGTAATGAAATGTTTCAAGCTGCAAAAATGTGAGTATGTAAATAATTTTTTTCAGTGTGCTCCTTTTTATTGTTCACTACTGAAAAATAATTAAAAGACTGCCACACTTTTCCTCTACAGATTCTAGACCAAAACAAAAACAAGAAGATTTACAAGATAAAAAAATACAGTTTTTGGAGGATGAATTATTCCGGCTTACACAGACTGTGCTAGAACTTCAGTCCTCTATAATAAGTGCGGATAAAAATCCAAAAGTTACTGGGCAAGAAACTGCAAGTCAGAGAGTAATATCTTGGTTGAATAATCTTCATGACCATCCAGGGTTGGACAGTACTTTGGAGGGAAAAACAGAGAATACCTATCCATTGAACACTAATGACTCATACAAATCTGGAACAGAAATCCTAACATCTGAAGAAGATGAAATAAAGGATGACCTGAAAGCCAAAATAAATAGGTTGGAACAACTGAATGGGAAAGAAAATGGCTATGAAGGACAATTAAAACAGCTCCAAGAAGCAGCCCAAGGACCAATAATAACAATGCCCAACAATCAGTTGTATCAGGAATATATAGACGCCAAATTTGAAGCCCTGAGACAGGAAATGTTGAAAGAATTTGAGAAGAAAATGGCAGATCTGAAAAATTCCTGTGAATACAAGCTGATAGGTATACAACAACACTGTGATAATTATGAGGCCAATTTCTTGGGACTAAGAGAATCTGTTGCAGAAAAAGAAAATGACCTAAGAAAACAAATTCAAAATCTACAGAATGTTATCAAAGCACCATTAAACCAACCATGCTGCAGTGATGCTAAAAGCGATGACATTAGAGAACAGATGAACACTTTGGATAAAAAGATAGAGAAAATTGCAGAAGCAAATAAAATTTTAAATGCCAGGATAGATAATGAAATAAAACATATTTCCATTCCATATGCAGAAGACAACTTTGATGAAAAATGGGAGGAAATAGAAGCAAGGATTAATGTTACAGAGAAAAATGCTGAAGAACACTGCTTTTACATTGAGGAAACTCTTCGTAATGTTATAGCTACTAAAGTAGACGAAGTAAGGGACTTATTTGACAAAAAGTTCCAAGCAATAGAAAGAAGACTAGGTTCTACTATTCTAGATATTGCTAATGTTACCGGTCCAGATGATATATATACTACTCAAGGATCAAGACTGCGGAATAATTCAGAATCTGAAAATAAGCATATTGTATTGGAGATTAATCTTATGAAGAACAAATTACAACACACTGAAGATTTTTGCCAGTCTTTATCAAAGTATTTGGAAAGTCTTCAGAAAGGAATAGAAAACACTAACAGTAAATATGATCGATTATTTTTGAAAACAAAAGACAATTCTGATATTTTAAAATCTTTCAATAGCTCTTTCAGTGAAAAGTTCAATTTAATTAAAGGCACTCAGCGTGACATTCATAAACTTCATAGGGATCTGCGAATAGTTCGGTTTGGTCTGAATGCTATTGATAAAGATGTAAAACTCCTTCAGAATGACTTAAACAGCTGTAAAGATGAACTTTTAGGTGTTAATTCTACATATGGGAAGATACAGCTTGAGTTGTTCAGAAAAACAGATGAAATACAGAAAACGATGAACAATCAAACAATTAATCAAAACAATCATTGTTGCAATCACTTAAGCAAAAAGATAAATCAATTGAATGGGGAAGATTTTTTTAACTTGACCAAATGTAGGGATAAATTACCTGGCATCTCAGACTTGGAAGATAAAGTATCAAATGTTGAGAAAACTTGCAATAAATTAGATTCTGTCTCTAGCAGTCTTCAAAGGATAAAGGAAGGATTAAATAAACACATATCCAGTCTTTGGAATTGTTTCAATCAGATGAACATAACTGTAACATCTCATTCAAAAGATATTTTTAGCCTCAAAAATTTTACCCAGCAGTTCAATAGCCAGTTCTACAAATTTACCATTGACCTACAGGACCTGAAGAAAATTCAGCCTCCCATATGTAAGTTGGCTTGCCTTTTCTATAGATTAATTTTTAATTAGAAATATAATTAATATAGTTAAACCAATTTTAAAAATTAAGTGGCAACTTTATTAGAAAACAAGGGAAATAGAACAAAATGTCAAATTATCCCTTATGTTTTGCATGAATGCTCTTTACTTAAGTCCAAGCCTTCACTATTATGCCAGTTTGTGCCAGATATCATATCATTGCTTTACATGCACCATTAAGGTAAAAGTAATCACGATTGAGTCTAGTTGGACTGTTGGATTGACATGGATATTTATATACATGAAACTTTTGAAGTATAATACAGAAGAGGTTTGCCATTGACTTCTTGGAGATGTTTATGTTTCCCACAGCAATACCTTTGGCTTCCCAAGTAGTTCAAAAAATTCAAGGTTAGGTAGATGCTGTCACTATGTTTTCATTATAACTTTAAATATATTACAAAATGCAAATATCTGGAGCTGCAAAATCCCAATTGACTTTGATATGGCAGCAGAAAGATACAGAATACTGTAACTCTTAGATGCCATCTAATAGTCCCACAGATTTTTGCAGCCCAGAATTATAAATATGCTTCAAAACTTAAAACTTGGAAAGCAGTAACAGTTAGCTTTCAGTCTCGTAAATATCAATATCATAGGGCAGATTTCTCACAAAAATGCTTGTGAGCACTAAAGAAAGAAATAATATATATATGTGCATTTGCCATGTGTTATTTTTTTTCAGTGCCTTCAAGTCAGTCTTGAACATGGAGACTACATGAGCAGATGTGTGCAATTTTTTTGCTAATATTTTGATAACATTTTTGGAAGAGGTTTACCATTGTTTTCTTCCCAGGACTGATAGTGTGTTACTGCCCTAAAATCACCCAGCTGACTTTCATACATAAGGCAAGGCAACAACTCATAGTGTCCTGGCTTTTAATCAAGTGCTTTTAATTACTACAACAAACTGACTCTCATCATATAATATACTCAATATTAAAAAAAATTGTATTTCAGACCATTTACATATACTTTTTATATCATATCATATTCAAAAGTGAGTGTGCAACATTTTAAATTTTGTTTATTTTCTTGTATTAAAATTTTCTATCGCTTGCTTCCTGGTTCTGATTCTCTGCAGTCCTTTTCTCTAGGCTGCAAAGTATATTTCATTCTTCTAATAGTTTATTTTATTTACTTGAAGCACAATGGAGCCAAGGACATTTTAAATGACTCAACTCAAATATATGTTGACAAGTTAATGAATATTGTTGATAGACTGTATGTATAAAACATGGACCAAAGCCTTATTTGGTTGCTTAGTCAACACTTCCATTTAAGGTAGTGAGATGCTTGGTCACATAAAGATGATTCAGCTGATAATGGAGAGTATCCTTAGAATGACAAAATCTGCTCATAAATGTGAAGATTTAGGTTGGGAGCAAATTTATTTTCCATAAAAAGGGGATTTCTGCTCAAAAGTGCTAGGCAAACCACTAAAATAGGATTAATTAATGACAAGTATTCACAATACCATAGATGCCTTTTTTGTACATGGAAACTCATGTTCAGTATATCAGAAGAGGATTAAATCATGTCAGCTTTCAAATAAACAATGTTAAAAATATATAAAATGTGCGATAGATGTAGTTAAATATAGTTATTTCTCCAGTCATTCCCATAATATATAAATATACAAAACAGCTGTATAAATATAACTTCCCTATCTAGGAAAACAATAGCTCAATATTTATTTCTGCCAGTAAGAATCTGTATTAGGCTCAACGCTTGTATAAAAGCTGTGTTCACATAGTACATTTACAGATACTTAAATATGGTTTATATGCTATTATTTCAGTTTTGAATTCCTAACAAATATCTTGTATTTAAGTTATCAGTCATGTCATGAGAAAGCATATCTTGATAGTTAATAAGTTTCATTTCAGAATTGTAGGCACAGATCATGGCTTTTCTATAATTTATATAAAAGAATTGTTAACTGTTTTAGCCAATGTTATTTTGCCTTAATTGGTAGAGAATGACAGGTGTTAATCAACTGCTAACCGTGTAAACAAAGCATTTTGTATGTAAGTACTGTCTTCTAGCTGCTTTGCATATAGATGTGTGCTGTTTAACATCACACAAGAATGAGCTTGCTATGGAAGTGGATTGACACCTGAAATAAGTTTTGTCCTTTTTAGATTATTTACAAATGTTTTGCCTATAAATGGTGACTGCTTTATCATTTGGCCTTTCAATGAAACTGTGTGTGATATAAAGCGACTGTATCAGACATCCAAAAGGCCAAAGTAGCATTTAGTGCAGTGTTGTGACATGGATGGGTATGTACCTGTCTGTTTTTCAATGCTGTTTGTCAGTAGCAATCCTTCCTGGAGAGGCAAATATATCTTTAAATGTAATCTCTAAATTTAATATTTGATATTTATAATTCTGCATACATCTGCCTATTTAGTAAGGCTAGTTGTTACTGACCAGGGAACCTGGCTCATGCTATTTTGTAATTATCCTTGGAACAAAAGAATTTGTGATTCCTTTTATATATTTCCTTATTTCTTCCTTGCCAAAGAAAATATCTTTTAAAAATTGATAAAAATAAGTAAATATGAACCTGAGAACATAATGTACACGCTAAGTACAAAGCAAAATGGAAAGCTGAGTAACTTTGGGACAGTCACTCTCTCTCAGCCCACCTGTTCAAGGGGAAAATAGGAAGAGGAAGGAATATTATGTATGTTCGCACCTTGAGTTACTTATAAAATAATAAAGGAAGGATAAAAATAAATTAATAAATTAAGAGGCACGTTGGCCCTCAGTATTATATAATAACATAGTTTTATCATTTTAAAAATTCACTTTCCTTCAGCTTCCTTTCTTGGCATCATGTGAGTCTTGTCTTTCTATACGCTTACCAGTAACATGCATCTCTCTTTTATTCTAGATTCTGGGAGATTTTTCTCCCTACTTCAATAAATCTTGTATTTCTTTTCGAAACTGTGCTGGGGGAAGCAGGACTTGACCTCTTGTTCTTATACACGGCTATGAATTACATCATGCCTTCCATCAGATGTGAAAGTCACATGGGTGGATTGTTTTTCTTGGCACATTAAATGGCAGCTCGTCCCATGTCTATCCTTTTCTTATATTAGACAAATAAGAACTAATTTCCAGTTGCTGTATTAGACGCAAAGGAAGCATGTGCAGTTTTAAATTTGTATCTCATTCAAAGTGTATAATGGAAATATATAGTGAAGATTGGAACAACTTAGAAAGAAGCTTTAAAAGTTGTCCTTCAACCTGGTGAAAATATAATCAAGTAAAAATATGTGAGAGAGACAGAATAGGTGCACACATCTATAATAGTTTGCCTTGATGTCTCTTCCTTTAAAAAAGTTATTTAAGTGGAGACAGGAAAAAAGATATTTAAAGAGAAAATAATTTATAACTATATATTGCTTTAATAATTGTTTATTCATGTCAGAAGCATCACAATTAAAATAAGTCATACTATATGACTTAAAATTTAAAATATAAAATGCAAGGTTAAAATATGTACAAATTAAACAGATCTTGCCCAGAAACTAGCAACATTAATTGTGTTCTGTCATTACATTAATTTTTTTGCCTCAATAATTAGTGCATCTTCTTAGTAGAACTACAATATTTGGGCTGTCAAAATTTGGATGATCAATAAATCAGGAGTCCCCAACCATCAGGCCGTGACCCACTACCGGGCCACGGCCCATTTGGAATCAGGCAACATGCAGTTCCACTTGCAAAAGTGGTGGGGCTTGCATGCAGCAGGCGCTCGTGCTCATGCACACCACCACCTGTGCGAGCGGCAAGCGCTCACGTTCACGTGTGAAGGTCCATTTGTGTGAGCAGCAGGCGTGTGTGAGCATCCACCATTCACACGGGACCATCCCTTCCCCCCCCCCGCTGGGCTGCCATGCCAGAAAGGTTGGGGACCGCTGCAATAGATGACAACAAAGAGGTACAGAAAACTAACTCATTTCTGCCATCTAGTGATAGTACATATTTTTGCTAACCTGATCTAATAGCCCTCCTTATTCATATCCTTTCTGAACTTTCAGGAATTACCCAAATGCTATTTAGGAAGGTTCCTCCAGTCCCCAGAGCAGATTTGATAGATGATTGTAAGAATAGTTCAGAAATTATTCTGCTAAAGATATTTTTTGTCAGTATGCGGGCAGCATACAGGTAGTCCTTGCTCAGCACAACAATTCAGTCCAACAATATGATTGCTAAGCAAAGTGGTCACTAAGTAGTAGCATCATATGACAACAACTGGGCTTACTATCTTACTTCCCTTTCAGTCATTAAGACAGTGACATAGTTAAGTGAAAAATCATGTGAATATAATTTATGGTTTTATTTCCATACAGTACAATATTAACTTTGCTTGTAGACGAAAATGTGCACCAATTGTAAAGCATATGGATGATCTTGTGATTGACAGATATTCTCCACTTGCATTCTTACCATGCACCCACCAATCTACACTCATCCACCCACTCACGAGCCCCTGTCTGGGGCACCCATCTATACCCACTCATATTCTCTGGTGCCTGCCCTTAGCTCTCACCTAACAGCTTGCTTGCCTGGCACTCCTGCCTCTTCCCATGTCATTACCATGGGATGTCCTTGTACAAAGATAAACATGGTCCTGGGATTATGAAGGCAACCAAGACTGCCAGAATTGCTGTGGTATGGTCATATGAAATCATACTTTACAACCATATCGCTTAATGGTATAAATTCTGTCCCAATTGCCATCATAACCCAAGGACTACTTGTATCTGGTTTCTATTTGAACAAAATCCTAGATCTCTTAATTAATACATATGGTTCATTGGTTGCTTGATGTGATCCTTTCATTATAAAACAAAAGCATATGATCAGCCTTGCAATTCTGTATTATAATTAGGTTAATGTTATAGATTTTGTTATAATATTATAATCTATAATTTTATCGATATAGAAGTTTTCTATTCTCTATATATCTTTAGATGAAAAGCCATCAGTGCTGCTACCAAAGGAAGTGCAAGGAGAAATTCCTCAGCCACAATCAGACCCAAGAAAACCATTACAGTCATCTCAGCCAGACAAATTTCCAGCGCCAACACAGCCAAGGATTCCTGTACAGTCACAAACAGAGGTGCATCTGAAACTATCACAACCCCAAAGATCAGTACAAATTCCAGAATTAAGAATACCTCTGCAACCATTGCGTCCACAAATAATCATACAGCCCCCCTTGCAAGGAATACCTCTTCGGCCATCCGATTCCAGAATTCCAATGCAGCCATCAAAACCAGGGTTCTCTTCTTTGCCTGGATCAGGTGGATTATTGATGGAAGCTGGACAGGCAGGCCCTCCTGGTACACGTCTAAGGTCAAGAAAAGGACTGCCTAAAAGAATAAATGGGCAGGATGGCCACAATAACATGCTTATAGCTGAAGGATATGCAGGTGCACCAGGTGAGGAAATCAGCATTTTTAACTGTGATCAGTTCTTTCAAATCGCTGATGAAATCAAATTACTCATTGTAATTTTTTGTTCAGATACTATATTAAAAAATGCAATGAATGTCATCAGTGTTGATTAGGCATAGATAAACATAGACAATATTATCATGGAAAAGATGTTAAAAGGGAAGCCATACTTATATTTGACTTGAAGTGTGTGTGTGTATGTGTGTAATATCACTAAGCTTTCCAGTATAAGTGCTTTCACTCAGGTTTTCAGCTAGCTTGCTTTGCATTCTGTTTTTCTTTGCTATATATCAAATTATTTTTAACATTCCATAGCTCAGTCCTCATTATGATATTTTGGGGACCTTTACCTTATCATTTTAAAGAATTTGTCTTTGCATATATATGAAAATCTCAAGATCATTAAGGGCACTTATATCCTCCCTCTAGTTTTCCAGTGATCATTTGGGAGCCCAGTTTTGTAAGCTTTAACTGCTGAGTTCACTATCAAGATTATCACTTATTGGAACGGGTAATGGATACAAATGAAATGCAAAGAAAGTGGGACTGAACATTACTAAGGTTTTTGAAATACCGTTCTGGAGTTTGTCGAAATCCATTAAGAAGGGAGTTAATTCTTCCTGTACTTCAGAAGTAGATGGTTGCTTAATCAACAGTAAGAAGGAGAAGCGCAGCGTGATTACAGCACAATCTGCTATTACCTGCTACTAGTTCAGGATAAATACTGGTCTCTAATTATGATATTAATGTATTAATAAATCATAATTTATTAATTTTTCCATTCATGGCTGAAACCCCCAAAGGATTCAATGGCATAAATGACTTTTTTTCAGGGCTTAATGCTAAATTTAACTAGCTTTCTCAGAGTAAATATTAAATATTATTAATAAAATGACCAGACTTGAAAATCAGTACTCAGAAGTAAAACCCCAGCTCGGAAATTCTTCCAACAGCTCATGATACATTTGTCTTGGAATTATAGTGGGGGTGTTAAGACAGTAGCTGCTAACTATATCCTTAATTGCTGTTTTACTGAGAAAGGATAGAATTTTTCTCACTCTGTCCCCCACCCCTTTCTTCTCTGAGAAATTACTTTAGAGCAAGGATATCCAACCTTGGTAACTTTAATGGCTAGGTGGGGAATTCGGGGAATTGAAGTCCACAGGTTTTAAAGTTGCCAATGTTGGGCACCTCTGCTCTAGAGTCTAGAGCAGCGGTTCTCAACCTATGGGTCGCGACCCCATTTGGGGTCGATCGACCATTTCACGGGGGTCGCCAAGCAAGGCTGTCCGCCATGTTTTTCCCCTTTTCCGGCGGGTGCCTTACTTCCCTTGGGCTGGGCCAGCTGGTGGCCCAGCCGGTGGTTGGCCTGCTCTGTCTCTGCCGCTTGCCAGCTACGCCTCGGCCGGCGCAGGGGGCGGCACCACGCATGTGCGGCACTCTCGGGCAGGGAAAGTCCTCGACTTATGACCGGTTGGGTAGTCCTCAACTTACGACCGGTTTAGTCCTCGACTTACGACCGGTTTAGTCCTCGACTTACGACCAGTTGGGGGTCGCGGCATTAAAAAGGTTGAGAACCACTGGTCTAGAGCAAAAGGAAAAGGTTATTTTTACCACTATCTAACTTCTTCATTACAGATAGCAGTTCTAAAATCACTGAGTTTGAAAAGAGCACTCCCTAAAATTATTTGAAGGCTGCACTAGTAAAATGGGACAGAGAGAAGAGAATAATAGTTTTTAAAATATTATTTACATATATGTTCTTCTTATTTTATAGGTTATCCAAACCCACCAAAATCTCCATCTCCACAAGGTAATGCTGTTGCTTCTCTTAATCTCTTGAAGCTAATTTCCACTTTATACTTCTTGAAACAATTTATACCATAAATGCTATTTTTGGAAATCTTATTTGAAGAAATCTTGTCTTAACAAATAAAGAAATCATCTCTTAACATAATTTCAAAATATGAAATGATCTCATACTCTACTTAAGGATAATGGAAGCAAGTGGAGAGAAAAATAAATACCTATTTATTACTTCCTTTTTGTTTACAAAGAAAGTTTGCAATATTCTTTTTTATCCTGTAGTTCAGTGAGTAATGCTGAAAATGGATAAATGGCACAGCAGCTTGGGAAATGATGAATGAAAAATAATAATAAATGTGAATATTTTTGTACACGTAAACATGTAATTTTTTATGTCATACATTTTGCACACATAAAATGGTGAATGAGAGTTTAAGCATGCAAAAAATCGCAAATAGGATTTTTAAAAGGTGCAGAAATGTATAGCATATAATAGTAATAGTAGTAAAGTTGGAAGGGACCTTGGAGGTCATCTAGTCCAACCCCCTGCTCAGGCAGGAAACGCTACACCATTTCGGACAAATGGCTAATCAAAGACTTGTTAATTCATTGTTATTCCTGATTATGATACCTAGAATCTTTGGATTCATGTCTTGAACAGGCACCAAAAATTGATTGGCATATCCGTCTGTCTGTCTAAACATGTACACACACACACACACACACACACACACACACACACACACACACTATATTCTTTTGAGAGTTCTCTGGAATAATATCCAAAGTTTGCATATAGTTATGGACTTTCTAATTTAAGGGGGAAAATAGGTGTAAGACAAATTCAGTGCTGTTTGGTATTAATATTTTTCTTAAACATATTTAAATTATATTTGTTTTCCATTTTAGTAGGAGCTTTTACTTCTTTGGTATCTTTCTCTGCTGGCCTCACAAAGAAGCCTTTCCCTGAAGATGTGGGTGTGATACGTTTTAACAAAGTCCTTGTAAATGATGGAAATTATTATAACCCTAACACAGGTAAGGGACAAGGTGGGCCTGCAACTTGGAATTTGCTTGGGAATTTTAATAAATTACAACAGCAGACTTCAATTATTTAGATTAAAGATTCATCTTTAATTTTCTGGTACTTTATATTTTCCCATCTTTCTGGAGGTTACTCAAAATAGAAAGTAACAAGGCAGTCTAGTTGCAGCCTGAATCTGACTTGGTTTCCTTGTCAGTTGACTCTAAAAACCATCTCATTATCTGTTCTGACTACAGTTTTTGATATCTTTACACACAAAGTTTATTCTGTTGCAAATGGCTGCTACAGATTGAAGGGTAGGGTGGTGTAGCTGTTTCACAAGTTTATATAACTTTTCTCCACAGAAAAAGTCAGTAGCACATTTGGACAAGTTTGAAAAAATATTTCCTGGGCGAAAAACAACTTTCTGCTTTTTCTGTTTTCATTTTATTTGTGCTATTGCAATGCAATCGATTATTGTACAAACTTTCAACTGTTTCAGTTTCTTCAAGCTGTATAGTTTCTATTTCTGTCTGCAGTTATATAACACAAGCAAGTGATGCAGAAATAGCTTGATTTAAACCAATTAATTTGCATTAAGTATGAGAAGCAGTGCATCTGTGCAGTATAATTTTTTTGCCTCATCAGATTGATACATATAGTACTGTTTCATTAGCCTAAATTCTTCTGGGTTCAAAGCATAACCAAACCAAGTTAATTCAGAGTAAATTAAGTCAAGACTATAATTTTAAATTCTGGACTAGCCAGAATGAACAGTTCTGAAGTATTCAGTACTTGTGGTTCCATTTAGTACAGTGGTTCTCAACCTTTTTAATGCCGCGACCCCCCAACCAGTCGAGGACTATTCAACCGGTCGTAAGTCGAGGACTACCCAACCGGTCATAAGTCGAGGACTTTCCCTGCCCGGGAGCGCCGCGCATGCGTGGTGCCGCCCCCTGCGCTGGCCGAGGCATAGCTGGCAAGAGGCAGCGATGGCGCAAGATGACCATCGGCTGGGCCACCAGCTGGTCCAGCCCAAGGGAGGTAAGGCACCTGCCGGGCCCCACGCGTGCCAGCAACCCTCCCTGCACCCGCCAGCCTCCCACCTCCCACCCCTGGCCCTCTTTTACTTACATTTTTAGTAGTTGCTCAGCAGGGAGGGGTGGAAGCTTCCAGACAGCTCGCCTTCGCTGCAGACAACTTGCAGCACCGTTTGCAGAATGGGACTTTTGGTGGGATCAGCAGGGCAGAGACAGCCTGGACAATTCCTATTGGCTTTTGAAAGCCAATAGAATTAGACCCTATTCAAGAGAGTCTATTCTATTGGCTTTCAAAAGCCAATAGAATAAAAGGGAGTAGCACAGCTAAGGAAAAGGGGGAAAAAATGGCGGACTGCGTTGTTTGGCGACCCCTGTGAAATGGTCGTTCGACCCCAAATGGGGTCGCGACCCACAGGTTGAGAACCGCTGATTTAGTACATGGGTGATCTTTTTCCACCCTGCATCTCTAGGGAAGGGTCCTTGGTGCTCTTTGAGCTTGGTTGTTTTCTTGTAGACATTTCATTACTCAAACCAGGTAACATCATCAGTGCACATCAGCTTTCAACTTTCAGAGGTGCTGCTCTGCAGGCCACTGGATGTGAGACCTATCCATTCAGTTGGGCTCTAGAAATCAGTTGGGTTTGTTACTGTGGTACCAGCTTCCTTGCTGCATAGCAGCTTCCCTGCCTGGGCTTCTTGATCCCATCTCTGGGTTGGCAAACTGAGTTCCCCAAACTTATGATCTTGGGTCTTCAACCTGCTTTCTTGGGGAATGGTCTGAGGCAATTATGATGGCAATTCATGGCCATCATAAGGGCCTATCCCCAGCTTCTATCTCCATGTCATCCAGAGCCTGACATAAGACAGTGATCGCACACTAGATCTGGTGTTTCTGTTAGAGCAATATCTACATGACCTTTGATTGGGAGGGGTTTTAGTGTCTCCCTTGTCATGATCAGATGAGGCCCTGATTACTGTAGGACTCTCTGGTGCTGGGATCCACTGCTGGAAGGTTGGAACCATTAGATTGGTCCTCTCCTGGTGATTGATAGACCTGGAGAGGTTTCAGAAGAAGATGGGAGTTGTTCCTGTTGATCTGGTGCTTAGTCTCCTGACACCTTGGTTGCCACTTGGAATAAAGGAGTGGCTGAAGCGCTGAATCGTGCTATGCAACAACTCCACTCTCACGGATCCCATCACTCCCTGTGGTTTATGGCAGAGTTGAGATGAAATGGGAGAAGAGACATGTAGAGCACTGCTGGCACTAAACTAAGCACAATCCAACATGGATTAGAACCACAATTAAGGCCCACCTTGTTGCAGCAAGGATGGCAGTACTTCTCCACCCTTATTGCTTCCATAGATTGCTGTTCCACAGCCCTGTTTCAGGTGATACAAGTTCTCTTGAGTAAAGAAGACCTGGGGAACTTTTTGCAAGGATGTGGAGAGGAATTTGTTCAACATCACTCACAGTTAGACCTTGGCCTTGTAAGTCCAGAAAAGATGGCTCAGATAGAATCTTGCATGGTTATCTGAGAGTGGCTTGAATTTGTTGAATCAGAAGAAAGCAGCACACATGGTGTTGCATGACTGGATCCTAGTGGTGGCTAATTGTTGTTTGAGTGAGTGGGTTGTTCCTTTACCTCTCTTAAGGAAGCCTTGGTCCACCGCCTTCTCAAGAAGCCATTGTTGGACCCCTCAATACCAGATGATTTTCACCTAGTATCTAACCTAGAAAGTGGTTGCACAACAACTTTAGAGGACCCTAACTGGAATGGATTATCTGGATCTTTTTTAGTCTGGTTTCAGGTTTGGTCTACTTTTGGATGATCTCTAGTGATTGGGTATCCGTCCTTATCTTACATGACCTCTCAGTGGTTTTCAATATCATTTATTCAAAGGATTATGAGTGGGAGGCATGGTGGTGTGCTTGTTCACCTTTTTTTCTGGGCTGAATTAATTTGGTAGTGATTGGGAAGAAGAGCCTGATCTTTGCCCCCTTCCTATGTGGGGTGATGCAGGAGTAGGTGCTCTCCACTCTCCTGTTTAACATCTAAATGAGACTGCTGGGTGAGCTCATCCCTCGCCATGGAATGAAGTATCATCCATATGCTGATGATACCCAATTCTACATCTCTGCCCTAACCCAGTGTCTAGGGGCTATGAGGGTCTGGATGGTGAACAACAGAGCAAGACTGAATGGCTTTGGTCTGGGGGGCTATCTGGTTTTAGGACTAGACCGTATTTGATGCTGGATGGAATCACATTGCCTCAAATAGACACTGTGTGCAATCAGGGATCTTCTAGACTCACAATTCCTGCTCAAGAAGCAGGTGGCAATCATGATTAGGAAGGCCTTTACACAACTTTATATTGTACACCGGTCATATCTATTCCTGGATCAAGGGGCCCTACTCATAATCCTTCATGCCAAGTCAACTCTCAGTTGGACTATTGCAATGCACTGTAGATGGGACTGCCCTTAAAGTGGGCAGCTGGTGTGTGCAGTTTTGTGAGTTTTTGGTAGATTGCAAGTTACATCTCTGCTGTGTGAGCTGCATTGGTTACCAGTTTGTTTCTGGGTCTGGTATCTTAAAGATCTAGATAAAATGAGATCGGTTATTTGAGGGAACACTTCTTCCTGATTTAATCTGCCCATCCCATTGGAACCAACAGAGTAGGTATGTTACACATTCTATTATTTAAGGAGTTATATTTGGTGAGCTGTAGGCAAGAGGGACTTTTTGGTGCCTGCATCATGGAATCTTTTCGCTCCAGAAATGAAGTCAGCCTTGTCATACCTTTGAAAGTCCCTCAAGGTCCGATTATGTCAGCAGGTGTAGGGACATCAGGGGATGGATGAACTTGTGAGATGGCTCATCATTTTTAATATCCCTCCATCTTATTATTTTGTTATTCTTAGTTCTTTTATAGTTTTTAATGTTTTAATAATTATTATGTTTTAAGTAATGATCATTTTATATATTTACTGTTTTATTGGATTGACTATTGCATGCCTCTCAGAGTCTTTTCTGTGAGATGGGCAGCCATATTTATTATTTTATTTAATTAATAAATAAGAAATCTAACTATTATGTGAGGAATTCTGCTTTAATAAAATGAAATAAAAATGAAACTTTCACAGTAAAGCTGTAATGTTTTTGTTTCTTTGTCTTGAAAACAATAAATATGCACTTGTCCTGTTATACTTAAAGGATGTTATTTACTGATACTTTTTTTGCAGGTGTTTTTACATCTCCATATGAAGGTCGTTATCTGATCACATCTGTTCTAGTGCCTGAGAGAGGTGAATATATTGAAGCGATGTTGTCGGTCTCCAATTCAAGTGTTGCTCAGCTTCACACAGCTGGCTATAAGAAAGACCTACCTGAATATCGCAAGCCGAGATCAGGAAAACGGATTTGTGGTGGAACTGGGGCTTTTCATCTTGTTCTTCATCTCAAAACAGGTGCAGAAGTAAGCGTTGTAGTTACTGGGGGCAGGTTAGCCTATACAGACTCTGATGAAATATATTCTACATTCAGTGGAGTATTTCTATATCCTGAAATTTCTTAGACCTGAGCAGAAAACAGATAAATTGAATCTGAAGGAAATAATGAATTGATAAGTGTTAATATTCCTCTTTCCATTTTTCTCCATTTCAGTAATTTGGCTCCTATATGAATCTATTTTCCTTCTCCTGTTTGTTTTATTTATAGAGTATGGTTATTTATGTATAGACCCAATTTGGTGTAGTAGTTGAGACATCAGGCTAGAAAGCAGGAGACCATGAGTTCTTCTCCTGCCTTAAACATAAAGCCAACTGGATGACTTTCGGCCAGTCATTTTCTCCCAGTCTAGGAAATGGCGAAACACTTCTGAAAAATCTTGCCAAGAAAACTGCAGAGACATATCCAGGCAATTTCTGAGAACTGGACACAACTGAATGTAAGAAAAGAAATATGCATACGAAGAGAAGCTATAACTTAGTCACATTACAAAATATTCAAAATACATATTTTGCAACATTTGCTAGTATCTGAGAGAGCTATGATGATAATATAATGGAACTTTATTCAGATTTCTATATACAACTGTTCTTATGAAACAATATCTTTGATATCTTTTTATTGTCTCTAGCAACTCTTTCTCATACATTATTTTTATTAGCTTCCTTTAGCTACTGGGAGTTTACACCAGTAGTATAGATCACAGGGATACTTTGCATATGATTTAAAAGGGACTTCATTCCCAAACAGATTTCATGACACTTGGCTATATCACAAAATCTGAAAATCTAGTGAAGGGCACCCATCACTGTCTTCCAAAATTAAAAATGGTTGAGATTTTGAGTGATAGCCACATTTCACGAAATCTTTATGTATGCACTTGAATTCTCATGAAGATTTGGTCATTTGCGTTTTAAGAAATGCAAGCATTCTGTTGCTTGAAGGCTGCTTATCTCATTCAAGGATGGGAGCTTCATTTCTATTCCAAGGACACTTCATCTTGGATGATCTGTCATGGTCCATACCCAATGCTGAACGCAGCAAGAGCTAGAACTGCAGAAGGCTGTCTTTTTTTCCTACCTCTTATTCTCTTTTTTAATGTATTTTGTCAGAAAGTGAACAGAATACTTCCAGATGGCTTTTAAAATACAGCTTACACCCATTTTTCTATTCCTGAGTTAGCTATTGAGATCATTGCAACAACTATGTAATGAGTTGTATTGTCCCTCATGTGAGGCTAAAATTGAGAAGTTGGCATGCGTGACTGCATAAATCATACAATTTGTAAACTATAGTTTATAGCTTTGTAATAGGAAAACAGTCATTATAAATTATGGCATGTGGCTTAGTAGCTTGTCTGACTCTGCTCAGTTGTGCCTTATTTAACACACAATATTAAAAGAACACAATTTTGAATCTAATATATTTATTGCCTATATCTAGTTTGTGTAACACAAAAGATTAAAATTAAGAATTTCATTCTTCATAGCTGTCTCATCTCTATAATACTGTTAATTTCTACATAATTATTTTAATTTTTCAAAATTCTCATTTCTTGTCAGTTTTCTACCAATTCTATATTATTTGAATCCATTTTTTTAAAAAATGTATCCAATATTTGCATCAGCTTATAACAAATGTTTTCTTTTTCCCAGGACTTCTTTATTTAGCATTTTAATAATTTACAAGCTCACAAGAGAACACAAAACTGTATTATTCATTCATAAGAAGTACTTTTAGAGCAGACTATGCTAATAGCAGCCTGCCAAATAATACTTTTTTTCTTCTACTTTGTAAGTTACAAATGATGCTAAGAGCTATTCTCATTAATCTTCCCTGTTGAGGTCTCAGAAATAGTTATGTCCTTCATTGTTCCATGAGCTATCCCTGAAGAATTGTTTCTAAGCAACATAAAGCAAACTTCCTCCTGAAAGATGAGCTCATTTTTAAATTGATACATATGCAGAAAAATGTTTTCTATCCTCAAAACTAGAAACATTCTTATTTTCTTCAGAATTTTATGAAAACATGTAAGTACTAAATTGTTCATTTTTTGCAGTTCACTCAAATCGAGTAAAATTATCACACCATAATCAATAAGTGATTGCTTTCTGTTTTACCATTTCACCTGGATCTACTTGAATACAAAGCTGGTAATTTTAATTTCTAAAAAAAGTAATCTATTCAGATTTATTTAAAAATAATACAATGCTGTCAGACAATCATAGGGGCCTAAGAGGGCCATAGCGCTATACATTTTAGAAAGATTTTTATTACAATTAATCATTGTGAACAGCTGCTTTGTTTCTTTAACATTTGAAGTTAAAAAGCAGCTTTTAGAATTAGAAAAACTCTCTTCTGGGAGTTACTTCTCACATTTAGAAACAATATTATATTTCAAGCATTTTAGGACTAGTTAATAAAACTCAAAAGTGTATTATTTGTCCAGGCTCCTAATGTATCATTGCTTTCAATAGAAGGGCCTATAACTTCCTATAGAAGGGATGGCAGAACCTGGGGTAGAGTGAAAAGGGTGATCAGCCTAGAATCCCTACACAGCCACAAGAAAACTACATCCAATCCTTGAGTGCTGTTGATCCTTATCTAACTAAACAAGTGTTAACCCTTAGTTGACAAGATTCCTGTGCACAGACTTTTTGCACTAAATCAGTTTAATTGAACCTTCATGTGTGGACTTGGTCTTTCATGCCTGATATATTGTTATTCACAACATTCTGTATGTAATTTTCAGATTTGGTTTTGCATGAATGTTTTCAAATTTTATAAGCTATTTCAGCAAAATGTGAATGTATCCATTTGTGCTTGGTCTTCCACAAAATTAATTTTGCAAATGGTTGTTCAGTTGTTCCTTTAGCATGAGTGTATTCAAAAGTAGAGCAATGTTTAAGTATCAAGTGTTTATTTTCAATTGGAAATTTGCTGCAGTATACAGTATACTTTAATGAAGAAATAGTTCCCATATCTTTTTCACCATCCAACTTTGTCAAGTCCAGTCACTTTACCTTTTTTCTCCAATAATTGGTTTCATCTTTGTTTATCTTCATATTTTATGGGATTTATGCAGTTCACATTTCATATTTCTAGGAAATGTCAAAGGCAAATCACTTTATATGTTTTCACCATAGTTTTCAAACATTTGCATATAATAGCTGAATTCTTACTGATGCTTGTTGGACTCAGTTAAAAACATTCTAAATATTTATTGCATATGCAATAAAACATTCAAGTGGAAGAACAGTAGAAATGGTGGAGTATTTTTGTTCCAATTTCTAGCCTTTATTTTCTTTTTTCATATCAACTCAGTATTTTGTATTCTGAATATGCACCATGCTCTTTGGATTCTTCCCAGTACTTCTTTCCCCAGTCCCCGCTTTCCTCCAGTAGTTTTACTGTCAAAGGATTAAATTATTACTTTATTTATCCTGAGATGGAAATGTTTCTATTTCCATTGCACACTGACAATTTTGCTAATATTACTACAACTGCCAAACAACTGCATAGGCTATAGAATACAGCACCCAACCACAAGTGCAACCACTAGAATGTGAACTATTTTTATACAATGGCAATAGCTGTATTGTACTTATTTGGTTCTTCAGTAGAACAAAATTAACATCAAAATGCATTTTAACACACTCATTTTTCATTCTCTTGTCCTATCCTAAATACTTGGTACTATAGAGTTTCTCCTCCTGCATTTAGAATTGAATTTTAATCCCCATAATATTTATAAGTATTTATTTATGCTATAAACATTTCTATAGAAACACTAAGACACTTAGGTGCAATTTTACTATAAACTTTATTAAACAATTTGATATGACATTTTTCCTAATACATCCAGTTTGTACCAAAAATCACTCTTCTGGAATGTTTATTAATAAGTAAACAATGTTGTATCAAAGGAAAAATCCAACTAGTTAACAAGAATGTTCTCAAAAGTTTTCTTCTTTCTCAAAATCTGAACTGATCAAGTGTAGAGTTTGTTTTTAAAAAATCTCAAGATTTTTGCCAACTTTCTTACTTGTAAGGTCAGAAAAAAACGTATGTTTTCAGGTATTATTATTGTATTTGGCATTATTTTAAAACCTTAGTTTACACATTCTAATAACCTATATATGATACATCATATTAATTGAATTACCCAATTCTGAGTCATGAAATTTAGTGAAATATTAATTTTCAAAATGAAGACAGATTTTTTCAACCAATATATTAACAGTAACATTTTTTTAAAAAAAGCTTATCTATTCATTTTTATATATTTTTACTATCTTCTGGACAGCCTGAACAGAAAGAAATAGGAAAACTGAGCTTTGTCTGACAATACAAAACACCAACATTCTGGGTCCTGCTTTATGTTTTTTTTAAAAAAAAATCTGCAGAGATTCAGATCAAGTTTTTCAGCTCATTTAGATTGCAGTATTTATTTATTCCAATTTATTCCAATTGACCGGTGCAGCAATTCATTATATTCCTAAAGTAAAATTACTCTTAAAAAAACAGACTGACATAGTAAATAAACATAAATGTACATTTCTTTCACAGAAAGAATTAGCTTACATGTACTGATTCAAAACAGAAATGGTACAAGGATTGTTTCCCAACTCATTAGCATTTGCTACCAGGAAATAGTTTAAAGATGAACTCTTATCAGAAAGTGAATACTGAGACAAGGTTAATCACTGGCCAGCTCAGGCAAAACCCAAGCTTAATATGTAATTATCTAATATGTTATCCAGAAAGATTTAAATAGATAATAAATAATCACCAAGTTAAGACCTGTATACTTGTTGCAATGAAAAGTAATGTTTAGATCAGGATGACTCAAGCACTTTATAAATTTAACAAAGAAAAGAGCAGAATTCTGAGTGCATATAACTGTGTAATGGAATTCTTCCTTGAAAAGGAATTTGGAAATTCTCAACATTCAAAAATAAGCCATAGGTTTTTTCCATACCAGCCACATTATCACAGAAAAATTAACTTCAGATGACTTCATTATGTTGTTAGGGATTCACTTTATCAAAATGAACTTATAAAACATTACTAAAATGCAAATTAAATACTACTGCAGCGTAGAACAAATATCACATCTTTTGTGGATGTTAATGGAATTTTTTTTTGTTTTACTGAATTTTAATCTAAGAAAGTGCTTTATCAAATATGAGCGTGATTACATAATACAGTAATGAATTTGATATAGTACAATTGGCAATGACTAATCAGAATTATATAATTTCAGCATACATTGAGAATATTGTTAATCTTCCAACAGGATGTATATTTGTTTCAACTATACTACACTGCAGCCGAAACACTGTTTATTTCATTGGTGTTAAGAATCTGTACACTTAAAATAGTGTAAAAAATGCCATACCTTGAAATTTCTAATTTTTTCAGATATATTTTCTATACAAGTTCAATAGAAAATAAACCATTCCTCCTAATATTGTGAAACACTGTTTCTAAACACTACTGTAACATGAACTCAAATCAATAGCAGACCTTATCGTTTGATATATTTACATATGTTTCAGTGTCCAGAAAAAAAAACACCCATTCACAAGTGTTGCCTATCCATTCTTAAAATCTGAGATAAACTTTAAGATAGTCTTTAAAATTATTTTGCTAGGACGTAAAGGTAAAAACCTGCAGCAGTGGAAAACAAATGAAAGACAACTACTACTTAATCCAGAACTTTGATTATTTTTTGAGATTTACTGTGCAGCTAATACAAAATATTTAATCAGAAGTGACATTTATAGCAGTTTCAAAATAATTCACTGACCTGCACCTTTTTTATCAAATTGAAAAACCCTGATGCAGAGATCCTGAAAAGCAGTCCCAGTTTTAAAAATTGACTGTATGTATTGCCTTTTATTTAGAAAACAAGTTTATTCCTGAATATTTTCTGTATGTGTTGCCTAGTAACTTTTCCATCAGGCATAAACTAAACTTAATTAGGAAATGGCAACAATTGCTCATTTTGCAGCAAAGGAGTTCTTACCACTCTGTAGACTTTCAATTTCAGGTGGTACTGTAGTTTACAAAAGAAAAAAGTGCTGCGAGTAAAAAGCTCAGGCAGGTCTATCATACTGTGTAGGATTTAAACAAACTGCTAAAGGCAAACCTGCATAAATGCATAATTAAAAATAGCATTTTACTTTGATTTCATTTTTCTAGATTTATCCATTAACCCCTACATTCCTAAGACACACATAAAAAAATTGCATGATGTTCTCAGTTGCTGCATCTAAAACACCTTAAATGCTATTTTGAATATTATCCAGAATTCTTATAGCAGACCAAACAGAAATACTACGAGTTCCACATTTTTTGTATTTCATATACACTGGAAGATGAAAAGCTAAATTCATCCATTTTCCTTAATTTGAAAATTTGCTATTTCAGAAAATTATTTTTCCAGTATCTTTAAAAAAACAGTGGGCTTGAATAAAGAACAAAGAAGATAGTTTTCAATTTCACTAGTTTGTATCAACGAATAGCTCTTCTTGTATTTAATAAGACATATGGTACCAAAACGTTATAATGATCTCTCCAGAAGGAAGCTCTGTGTTTGAGTGATGCTATTTAAGCTAAATCTTCCATATTCACTTCAGGAAGCAATTTTCTCCAGTAGCAGAAAGAGCTGAATTCTGGGCAGACAAAAGCAGAACTCTGTTCTTTATTAATTAATGGAAACAAATGCTCCACGAGTTCATTTAATCTGTAGTAGCTGTGTAGAAAACAAATTGAAAAAATATTAAAATATTAATATTAATAATATTAAAATATTATTAAAAATTATTATCTTGATTCTATAGTACAATATTATATATACTTACTCTCAAGAAGCTTGCCCCACTAAGTTTAATTGTACTTATGCAAAGGATAACAGTGATATTCAAGTTTTAGCAAATGCTACATTCATAAATATACATTTGAAGGTTATAAATACAAGTGTAAAAACATATAAAACTCAGAAAAATAAAAAAGTGCAAAGAAAAGAAGAAACAAAGGAAAGAAATATACAGAAAAAACAAAAGAGAAAAATTACAAACCGTTGCTTTCAATCTTCTCAGCAGAAGTTATAAATGCATTTATATTTATCCTCTTTCTCTAAGGGTATATAATTTCCTTCTTTCCGTAATCTACTCTTTCTAATGATCAAATCCAAAAATCACAAATTCATTTTTTCTTTTTGTCAGCCAAAAGCCCATGTTATCCCATGTGTTAATAAAAATAGTAGTTGATTTTCTGTAAGCAAGCAAGTTTCTTTTGCCTTCTTTACTAGTTCCATTATCTTCATCAACCATTCCTCCACTGTAAATACAGCTAGTCCTCAATTTAGCAACTGTTCAAAGTTACAACCTTGGGATATTTATGACCTGGATTCAAAGTTCTGACAGTCTTGTGACCAAACTTCAGGTGATCAGCAACATAGCCACTGTTTGCAGCATCTTATGACCACATGACCATGTTTTACAAAGGTTTTGCTAAAAACCAGCATTTATTTCCAATTTTTGGCAAAACCACGCCCATAGCAAACTTTAGCAACCATAACATTCACTTAACCAACACAAAATAGTTACAGACCAACCCGTTTCACTACTCTCATGACTCAGAACCTTGATGGGCAAACTCCATTACAGCTATAAGTTGAGGACTGCTTATATTTTAAGGTCATTCCATTTTGTGTCTGTAATATCTTGCAGCTGTACTCATATATAATAATATTCTTCAGTGGCTCTTCTCCAGTTGTTTGTCTAGTTATTAATCCCAGCAAAAATCCCAGTTATTTCAATTTGTAAAATTCTTGTATCATCATCAACCCTACATTTTCTGGCTTTTTTACAAGTCTACCAGGCATAATAAAATGAGACTGACAAATGCTAAATTTTATTGTCTATTTGCACATATGTGAACACAATTGTCTGTTTGCACATATGTGAACACAATGAACAAGGCATGACAAATCCAAAGTTGCAAATGCTCACAATCCTAGAGCTCAAGCTAATCATAAGGTGAAATCTCCAAGAGGTAGATATGTACAAATTTATCACAGATATCTAATGAATTTAGAGAAAACATCTGAAAGAGTTCAGACATGAGTTAAAGGGAAAGCAACATTCTAACTAGTGAGCAGAGATAATAGAAACCCTGAGAAAACCAGGCAGCAGAGCCATTAGAAGCACGAATATCCTTCTTTCCTGGGCTTTTAAAAAGAAAGAGGG